ACATGGATCCACTGGTACAAGAAGGGCAACGAGGCCGTGGTCGCTCCGACTCCCACCGCGAGCGGACTGGTCAAATTCAAGAAGGGCTCGTGCGAAAACTGCGGCGCCACCACGCACAAGAAAATCGACTGCTTGGAGCGACCGCGGAAAACCAACGCCAAGAAGCTTCAAGTCCAGATTGCCCCAGACGACGTGCAGCAGCACGAGCTCAACCTGGACTTTGAAGGCAAGCGCGACCGGTGGAATGGGTACAATCCCGACGATTACTCCAAGGTCATTGCAGACTACCAAAAAGTGGACATGGCCAAGCGCATGTTGAAAGCTGACCGACTGCAGCAAGAAGCCAATAGCGCCGTGGCCAACGAGGACGAGGAGGCGGCTACACGCGCAGCCCAGGCCGCAGACGGAGCCAGCGACGATGCCGCAGCAGTGTCGGACGCCCCCGGCGGCACGACAACGGCGGACGGAAAGCCTGCTGCCGGCGATGCCGCCTCTGCTGCGGGCACCGGCGACGCACACGCGATTGACTCTGACTCTGAGGACGAGCAAGATGAATTCCGCTATGGCGAGGACGTGGCAATGCCCGGTCAAAAGTTTGATCCCAAAAAGCGCATTTCTGTGCGTAATTTGCGCATTCGCGAGGACACTGCCAAGTACCTGTACAATCTCGACGTCGACTCGGCATACTACGATCCAAAGTCGCGCGCCATGCGTGACAATCCCTTCGCAGATTCTGGCAAGGACCTGAACGAGGTTCGCTTTGCCGGCGAGAACATGACGCGCAACTCGGGCGACATGTCTGTGATGGCCAAGACGCAAATCTATGCGTGGGAGGCTGCAAGCCACGGCGCAGATGTGCACATGCAGGCAGATCCGACACGCGCTGAGCTCGCGCGTCGCACCTTCGATGTCAAGAAGAGCGAGCTCACCACGTCGCAGCAATCAGCCATCCTCGAAAAGTACGGTGGCGCTGAACATCTCGAGGCTCCTCCGAAAGAACTTCTTCTTGCCCAGTCCGAGAACTATGTCGAGTACAGCCGGTCTGGCAAGGTATTGAAGGGCCAGGAGAAGGCCGTTCCTCGCTCGCGCTACGAAGAAGATGGTAAGGCCAGACTCCCCAAAAAGTGTTGTTGCGATGCTTGTTGAATGGGTTTGTTGCGGCTAGTGCAGTGACTTGATGCTCACTTTTGTCTTGGGGTCCATGCGTCGTAGTGCTCGTCAACAATCACACCAAGATTTGGGGCTCGTATTGGGAGGCCGGCCGCTGGGGCTATGGCTGCTGCCAGTCGTTTGTCAAAAACTCTTTTTGCGTTGGAGATGCGGGCATTCTTGCCAAGCGAAGAGAAGTACGCGACGCCACTGCCGACGCAGGCAGCAATGCTGCTGCTGCTGCTGCTGCTGCTGCTGCTGCTGCTGCGCCGACCAAGACGTTGGTTGAGCAGCACCTCGAATCACGGGGCAACAAGCGACGGCACGAGGAGTCGGCCGAAGATTCGGCAAGCAACAAGGCTGCTCGACTGGCGGACGCCAAGCGCAAGCTGGAGCAAGACGACCGTGAAGCCGAGCGTCTGCTCGCCATGGACGATCGCTCGCGCCCTTACCATTCGATGCGTCACTCGTCAAGCTCTGCAGCACCATCCGAAGAGGAGCTCGAGGCCTACCGACTTCGTCAGGTTCGCAGTGACGATCCCATGGCTCAGTTTGCTTCTCGATGAGATGTAGCATGTATTTGTGCATTTTTGATTTTTCGACGACGACGCAAATGACAAAGAAAAGCGTCACTGTATTCAAGCAAAGAACCTTTGTCTTTCAATAGATATGCACATTATACACTTCCTCAGCGACTTGGAAAAGAAGCAGCAAGCAACACACAAAGCATCCAACATTTGCACCGTTAAAAGGTATCGTCAGTACGACCAAACTTGAACATCATGCTGCTCAAGAAGATTAAAAAGTTTTGCAGGAAGAGTGCCACGCCAACCCAAGTGTCGCCATTGTCATCGATGATGTAGTTTGCGGCCATAATCCAACAGCTCGCGATCAATCCGCCGAACGCAAAGCCAAACCCCAGGAATAGCCATATCCGGGCTCCGGTCGTTCCAATACAGCCTTCATTGTATGTCTCTCCGGTGATGTGCCCTGTCGAGATTGCATTAATCCTGTAAACCAGACAAACAGACAAGCAAAAGTGTTCAGAAAGAGCGACCAACAATTTTGAACTTGAGCTTCAACTTTTCCATGCATTCACACCACCCCCGCCCCCTGCAATCAGCCACATTCATCCATTCTGGACATCGGGGTGAACTTTCGTAGGGAGCGCGGAGATACAAAGTGGGACGTATGCCAACGTAGGTCAACGGGAAGCTCAAATTTGGCAGCCCCGTTCGGAATGACTCGCGTCCAGGCAGCGCGTTGTTCACCACCCGCCGAAAGTGCGCCAAATCCGAATGCAACTCACATGAACAACGCGACAGTCGAGGCGACGGAGGGCACCCATAGCGCGCCGTCGAACGAGTAGATGGACTGGGCGTCGATGAAGAGCCACCACCCGACAGCAAACTGAGCAGCGCGGGCAGCGGGGGCGCGTCGGATACAGCGCAAGTATAGAGCAAATGGAAAGGGCAAGAACGCGGCAATGAGTGGAAAGGTCGAACGCGGGGAGTCGATGAGCACACCGCTGAGCGCTGAGCGAGGTCAAAATTTGACGACTACAACGACAACCACTACTCACAAGAACCCCGCTCGAGTACGACGCAATCGAGTTGCGATACTCGGAGACGTCAATGTTGCACGAGCATCGAATGTTGTCAAGGAACCCAGACATGATTGAGAAACGCGCGCGCTCACAAAATCACTTTTCAAGACAACTGGTCGAATTGAATGAATGACTGAGTGGGAGACAAATCCAATGTCATTCTTCACCATTTACAAAGCACAACCAAAGTGTGCAGCTGGCACACGACAGACACGATAGACACGACAGACACGATAGACACAAAATATGAGACCGCGAGGAACGAGCTCAACATGACAGCATGGAGGCCAATTTCGCGTACTCGGGGTGCAGCAAGAGCAAGAACAGGCTTTGCACATCGTCTGGAAGAACGGACATGAGATCGTCAGTGCCAAAGGTCAATGCACGCACCACACACACGCACACACCAAAAACAACCAACCACTCACCCTTCGAAATCAATCCATCATTGTTCGAATCGAACAACCGCCCTAGCAAATCAAGTTGCTCATCCGAAAGGAAGGCGAGGCGTGGATGACGCTTTTCCTTCAGGTATCTTGTAGTAATTGCGTTGCACGATGGATCCTTGAGAGCGCTATGCAACAGGACAACATGGACAAACTTTAGTCTTGTCTGAAAGTTTTCGATTCCAACCGCACCCCTCTGAACACTCACCTGAATACTTTGGAAATCAGAGCTTCAGACACAGTGGGCTCGCACCAGACGCGCAATCCAATGACATAGTCGCGCAGGTCGACAAATCCGCGAGAATCCTGCGAACAAACACGAAAAATCAGTGTCGACTGGACTAGCGTTTCCGAAAACGGAGCAGCAGAAGAGGCACTCACATAATCAAACAGTCTGAACAAATCTTGAACCTCTTTGGTCAGCGGCAGACGCAAAAACTCGGCCAAATCGGCCGCTTCAAACCGCCCGTCGTGATTCCGATCGATGCGTGAAAAGACCTCCACCAACTCTTCCAATTCTGCAAGATCGTAGCCCAGCACGCTTTGCAATCGAGAAAACTCGACAACAGCCCTGACACATAGACACACAACTGACATGAGACGCGGGGGACGGTTTCACACGGCGACAGGCCAACAAACCCAGCAAATGGCATTGGAAACGTACGTCACGCCAGGAAGGCCCATGGGATCCGCCATTTCACACAAATGGACATCTTCATACGAATGCTCAGTGACACCAACGTTGAGCGCAGCGGCAAGGCTGTTCCGGACATTATTGGCAAACAGGGCGGGCGATGACTGCTCTTCTTCGGTTGGCACGTGCGGTGGAAGGAACTGCACCTCCAAATAGTTGACAGGCTGAGCCAGGAGGAACAAGAGACCGCGAAGCCTAAATCGATCAACACGTGCACAAAAAGGGGTATCAAAGCGCACATGTTTTAGCTGCGCTCTGCATTGTTCGCCCCATCCAACAGCAACCTGAACATGTGACTTACACGCTCGGGCCACCGTACACCCAACAAGGATCATAGTGCTTGTTTGTGTAGCGGAGGGCGATTGGCTGAACGGGAACGCCTGGGATGAAGGCACCGCTCTTGAACGAGATGAGAGCCTTGCGATTGGTGCAAGTACCTTCCGGGAAGATGAACAACTGAGGCCACTTGCCACCCGAATTGGCGCGGTTGGAAATGCGCTCGACGCACGTGCGCTTGGAGTTGGGATCAATTCGGTCCACGTGAATGGGTTGCGAGCCGCAAACGATTTCTGCGAGAAACGTCCACGGACAAAAGCAATTCAGCAGGATGGGATGTTTGTGTGAGCAACAGAGCACGCAAGCAGCATCATTCGTTGTTGATGGCACAAATCGAAAAACGCAGGACTCAACTGCCAACAACAGGTGCCACGACGTTCTCCTTGCGCGTCACCGACGACGGGAAAATCTTGTACACGAGATGGAAAAAGTCATAAAAGGTCGAATGGGAGGCGAGGCACAGAATGGGCGCTTCTTGCACGGTGGCGAGTTTGCCGGTTGTTTTGATGTGGTAATACCCACAAAAGTGGAGCAAGATGCGAGCAAGGATGCGAAAGTTCCAATGCAGTACCGGACTGTTGAGAGATAGATCGAGACAGCAAGCGTGAGAGTGAGCCAAAAAACAAGCAACCCCCTCCCTCAATTCTCAGAACTTACGCGCGCCACCCAGCCAACGGTTCTGTCAAGTTTGTTCCGTCAATGCCAAAGAAAACAATGTGGGACAGGATGCAGGTGTACACGAGCACACAAATGATGCCAAACAGTCTGACTGGAATCAGAATTGCTCCGCACACGGCCATCTGGTTTTGGCATTGGGTTTGGGGTGTTTTGCAGCATCATGACGTTGTTCTTAGCAAAAAGAGTCGGACGTATTTCCCCCCAGCAAACGTGCAACACACACATTCACACTGCAACAAGGGGTGGTACCATACCTTGATATATTGTGGCACGGTTGCATGCCGGTAATCGTAGTCAAAGGGGTTGATCTCGGGGCGCTTGAGCTGGTCCATGAGCTTGTGAGGGTTGGCAACAGCGTCGCGATGTTCGTCCTGGGCAGGCCGAGACACGCTCGCAGTCGATGCAGCACCTGCAGCACCAGCATCACCAGTAGTAGTAGTAGTAGTGCCAGCACCAGCACCGCCCACACCAGCACCACGGCTGCTGGCTGAGGTTGAGGCGGCATCGAGCGCTGTCTCGCGCTGCGGCAGCATTTTGGAATCCGCATCCTCGGGGGCAAGCAGCGGCGAGGACGACGACGAGATGGACGACGCATACACGCTCGCCAGCGGCCCACCAAAGCCCTTTGCACGCACCGACAGCGGCGGAGGCAGCAGCCGAGCACGACGGCTCTCGATTCGCAGCCGAGCGCGTTCCCGCCAAGTCTTTCGCTGCTGCTGCTGCTGCTGCTGCTTCTGCTTCTTCGCCTGCCCTTTCTGCGATGACGATGATGACCGCTTCAGCTGCAGCTGGTCTTGCGACTGCTCGCGTTGAGCCGCCGCTGCTGCTGCTGCGTCTTGCTGTGCGGCCGCATGCGTGCTTTTCGCCGTTCCTGTCACTGGGGCAATGCGCAGTCGAAGCCCCGAGCGTCCGCCAGCTGGTTGCTGCTGCCGGTCATGCTCTTGCTGCTGTTGCTGTTCAGCATGCTTCTTGGTCGCGGCGTCGCCGGCTGCAGCGCTTGCAGCTGACGATCGTGTGATGGCCATGCGTGCGTGAACGGAAAATTGAAAGCTCAGATTTGAAAAAAAAAAAAAAGGCTTAGAAAAGAAGAAAAAAGAGACTGAAGATTTTGAGATTGTATTTATCATCGTGCACCCATGAGGCTCACAAGCGCGACGTGCAAGCCGGCAAACGCAAAGACCAAGGGAAAGCCAAACGCGGCGCCGTTGACCTTGCTGATGAGGCCGTTGTCGGTCTGCTCGAAGACGGCGCGTCGAGCTCCAACAACCAGACCGTCGCCGATCCCGACCATGCCAGCAACATCCTCCACTCTTTGCTGGCCGACTCAATCAACGACCCAGACGTGATTTGGAGCACAAGGATCGCCCAGCTGACCGCGAATGCGTCAAGCTCGTTCGATCCTGTCGGCTTTTGGACCACGTACGTCAAGATGATCCATAACCACGACGCGTTCAACCATGTTGGGACTGGCCGCATGATTGGGCTGACTCAGAACTTGCTCCATCCCAGCGTCAGAGCTCTGCTTGACCAGACTGAGCGGGCTGTTTTCGCGTGCTTGCGTTGACTTGTCGATGTCCTCCTTCATGTTTTCAAAGATAGTCCATTTTCGAGTTTCACAGTCTCCATCGTGCTGTATCGTGTCTCGTTCGGATTTGACAATGCGTTGCATGTTTCCACCCTTTCCAGGATGCCTCCAAGTGCTCAACCAACCCGCCAAATGAAGGCTGCGAAAAACCAAACAAACCCAACAAAAGACAACCTATTGAATTTGGCGTCAAGGGCGCGCGAGGGAGGGAAGATCATTCAGCAAATTTTCGCGTTCGCCATAAAAAGGACAAGCGGTTGGCCGCTGCTCCCTTCAACTGGAATTCACCACAGCCCAGTGAATTGGCCATTTTCTCGGCATTCATGCAACCATGAGTGAGTCGTGCAACGCTTCTTCCAACTGCGTGCTCGCACACACGAGACAAGCCAGATCAGAAACAAACAAGTGCTTGGATTCTTCAAACGAAAACAGCAAACAAAATTTGAGTCAGTCTTTTTCTTTTTTACTTTTGCTTTTCTCTTCGTTGTTTTACTGTACTTTCTGTGTCATACCATTCTTTCTTTTCTTTCCTTTCTGTTTCTTGAGCTGTCAGTAGCACTCTCGATTGCAAAAATCTGTCTTGTTCAAAGGCCCATGAATCACCCCTCGCTCAAACCCCTTCCACCTCGCTACTCCCCCATCCTCCCTTCCCGTTGGTTCCGAGCTGTCGTTGGATGGCATAAAATCAACAAAAGCACACAAAAACCCAAACATTGTCATCCCTTTTTTAGGAGCGATCTTCCAACACAAAGAAGAACGCCGACCGTTCTCAATCCAACTTTGGTGATTTTCAATTTTTATTTTATTTTAATTTTTTAAAAAAATACAATTTTTATGGGTGCAGCAGGCGTCAACTCAACCCGCGCCATCTCTGCTCTCGTTCTGTTCCCACCGAAATCACCTCTGGCTGGCTGTGTTTCTGAGCTCGGCGGAGTTGGGGGGGGGTGAGTTGACGCACAGGCAGGAGCATGTCTCGAGGGGGTGGGGATTGTGTTGCGAAGTCCAGATTCGCATTCTTGGCATTGGTTTTTCGGTTGTTGCGCAAAACCCAACCCCCCTTTTCGGTTTCCTGCCGAAGCGACGACCTCCCCTCGCTCGAGCCGCGGCTCGCAACTACTGCTGCTGCTGCTGCGACTGGTGTGGATCATGTGTGTGTGTGTGGTTGTCAGCGCGCTCTTGCTGCCCTTTTGGTTGGCGGTGGCTACTTTGGAACCAGATCTATTGATGTTCTTTTTACGTTTGTTTTCAATGTTGATGCTCTTCGCAGTTGCTCGTTGCCTGCCTCCGTGCAATGCACTGGCTGTTCACTCTTCCAGTCTTGCACACACAGCTGGTCGTTCGGGTTGGTGCGGGGTGTCTGTGCGCAGTCGAAATGACTCACCACGAATAAACGGTAAAAAAAAAAAAGAAAAAAAAAAAAGAAAACAAAAAAAGGTCGAAAACAACAAAACATGCGAAAACCAAAACATTGAAATTTTTAAACTTTTTTTACCGCCAAACACCCAAAAGGCAAACAAAATCCCTTCGTTCGTCGACCCGTCGACTGACTTGCTTGTTTTGCTGTTCGTTGCTCTTGTTATTTTTTGTTTGTTTGTTTCGACGACACCCGCAGATGAGGTACTCGCAACTCGGCTTGCTGGTTCTCGCGCTTGTTGCTTTGGCAGCGCCGTTCGCATCGGCGCAATGCAGCGCAGGCATGGAGCAGTGTGCAGCCCCGCCTTGCGCCTTTGTCAACACGACGTTCTGCGAGCAGCTTTATGCACTGAACTGCACCCTGAGCAACTACGGCTTGCCCGTGTGCGCGTCTCGCATCCAGACGTACTGCAATGCTCATTCGAGCGAATCCGGGTGCTGCGACGCAACGCGCGCAGTCCGCTGCCCATGGAATCAAATGTGTGTGGCGACTGCGGCTCTCTGCGCGGACGGCTGCCAGGCGGTTGGCACCTGTCCTGGCGGCGGCACGGGCACTGGCACTGGTGACGCTGGCACTGGCGGCCCTGGCGCTGGGACTGGAGCTCAATGCCCGACAAACTATCACTACTGCGGCGTCGATGGCCCTGGCGTGTGCCCCTTTATGAACGGCACATTCTGCACCGCCATTCAATCTTGCGCCGTTGCACCAGGGGCACCGTACTCGCCTCAATGCGAATCGCAAGTGGCAAGCTACTGCGCCAACCATCCCGAGGATTTTGGTTGCTGCAAAGCCGGCCAGGTCCGTTGCAACACCACTCGCCATTGCGTCAATGACGTGTCCGAATGCCCAACTCTCGCGACGTACACTCCGGGATGCCAGCCCGCCGGACTTCCCTGCCTGTATGGCCAGCGGTGCCCAATGCAATACTTTTGCGGTCAAAATGGAACTACCACGCAATGCACAAACAATCTCAATGTAGGATGTCCTGCCCCGAGCTTGTGCGCCGAAGGCTTCATGTGCGGCGAGACAACCTGCACCAAGACCTTTGGCTATTGCTCCCCGGCGGACGGCGGCGAGACCGATCCCAACTCCCCATCGCGCAGAACCTGCCAGAACTCGCAGCACTATTGCTCGGGCACTGGCTGCCCGTTCGACAACGCGACTTTTTGCGACAGCATCGGGCCGCAATGCGGCAGACTATTCCCGGGCGGTTCCCTCCCGTACTACTGCTCCAAGGCGATCGATGCCTTCTGCGCCGCCCATCCATCTGACTCTGGTTGCTGCGCTGCCGGATCTGTGCGATGCACCTCCGACCGAAGCTGCAGAACAAGTGCGACTGCTTGTCCCCCGGCCATGTCTGTCCGCCCTGGCTGCTACTCGGTCGCTGAGCATTGCCCAGTGCGGTCTGCTTGCCCGAACAAGGCTCGAGACTGCGGATTTGGCGTCTGTCTGGAAGCAGGCGACACTTCGGCGTGCCCCGTCGGCTCCCAATGTCCCAACGGTTACCGATGCGGTGACGCACCTGCGTCGTGCACCTTGACGCTTGGTCAGTGCAACCCCGTTGACCTGATCGGCACGGGCGGTTCCTATTCCCCGTCCGGCGTCGGCAGTGCGAGTTCCAAGCCTCCGTCGGCTAGTGGCAGCTCCAAGCCTCCATCGGCCAGTGCGACCTCCCGGAACGAACAGCCTCACGCGTCCAGCTCGGGTACTGGTGGCGGCTCGGGCTCGGGCAGCGGCTCGGGCTCAGGCAGCGGATCCGGCTCAGGAAGCGGATCCGGCTCCGGCAGCGGATCCGGCTCCGGCAGCGGATCAGGATCAGGCTCGGGAAACGACACAACTCCCATTGGCTCAGTCACTTGCAACGGAAACAACCAACACTTTTGTGGCTATGCTTGCCCGTTCCAAAATCCCACGCTTTGCTCTTTCATGGGTCAACGATGCAACTTCCCCGCTGGAACGTCGTTGCCATTGGAATGCACGCAAGCTATCGCCTCGTTCTGCACCAACAATCCCGCGGCCCCTGGCTGCTGCACCTCGAGCGCGCCACACCGATGCCTCACCAATCGTGCGCTGTGCGTTCCCAATTTGAACAACTGCCCACCTGCGACCACGATGACCCCTGGGTGCTACAATACCTCGTCGGTGTGCCCTGCTGGCACGCGATGCGCAGGCCAGATTGACTGTGGTGGCGATGTCTGTGCTCCTGCAGGCACTAAATGCCCAACGGGCAGTCTGTGCGCCGGCGGCTATCGCTGCGGCACAACGGGCGATTCGTGCACCCGAACTTTCGGTCAGTGTGCCCCAATTGATCGCGGCTCCTCCACGACGGTCAACATTACAAACTTCCCAAACGCTGCGACCGAGTTCCCTGGCCTCAACCTGGGTACCATTTGCGGACAGAATGTTGCCGATTACGTGCTTCGCATGCGCACAAGCTGCGTCTTCACCTCTGTTTCCGTCTGCCAAACGTGCAAGCCATTCCTGGACACTGTTGTCGTTCAAGCCTTCACCGCACTGGATGCTTGCCAGACCGATGACCCTGATTCGTACACCTGGTGGGCCAATGCTGCCAACACAACACAAGCCCGATTTGCTGCTCTAGGCTGCGGTCAAACCACCGCGAACACCAACATCGAGGTTAGCCCTGGCCCTGGATTCGTCGCTGTTCGCTGGTCTCGAACCAAGGACTCCAACCTTGCTCCATTCTCGTACAGTGTGGAGGTTGCTCCTGCCAACAATCCCAACGCCCGAGCGACATTCCCCGTCAAGCCCGTTATTTTGTCCGACCAGGACACTCAAGTGTTGACCGCTGTCATTCGCGCAGGCTTTGTTGGTGGCCAGAGCTACATTTTGCGGTTCCGCACTACACGTGGTTCGAGTGTGACTGTCAGCAATCCTTACACTGTCACGATTCCCGCCGGCTTGAATTCAACACCTTTCCTTACCTTTGCAGAGAACTGGATGTCTGCCGGTACAAAGATTTATCTGGATGCAACTGATCGCCTGGAGCTTTCGCCTGTCCTTGGCGGGGCGAGTCTCTGTGCTGGCAGCGCTGGTTCTGGCACTGGCTCCACTACGTCTGGTACTGGTTCTGGTGAATCTGGAGGTTCTGGTTCTGGATCTGGATCAGGTTCTGGATCAGGTTCTGGATCAGGTTCTGGTTCTGGTTCTGGTTCTGGATCTGGATCTGGATCAGGTTCTGGATCAGGTTCTGGATCTGGATCTGGATCAGGTTCTGGTTCTGGATCCGGTTCCGGTTCTGGTTCTGGTTCTGGTTCTGGTTCTGGTTCCGGTTCTGGTTCCGGTTCTGGTTCTGGTTCTGGTTCTGGCACCGGCTCCAGCTTGTGCGTCTATGGCGTCACAATGACCTGGGCATTTACTGGATTCACCGCTTCCCCATCAAACTCGGCCGGCTCACTGCAAATTGACGCGAGCCAGCTGCCCACCGCAACGATTCTCACTGCGACCGTGACTGCCACTTTCTACACATCCACTTCGACTGCTTCGACCACTTTGGCCACCTCCATCAACGTGTATGTTCGGTCTCCCCGCGATGACGCTGGTTGCACCATTAGCGGAAGCACCACTGGTGTCTTCTTGCAGGATGTGTTTTCACTGCAATGCTCGGCTGGTATGACTGACATGGGCCGTTTGTTCTTCTTCCGACCACTGTCCGGTCCTGCTGGCGGTACGACTGGCGGTACGACTGGCGGTACGACGGAGCCTGGCGGCACGACTGCGGCACCTGCTGCGGGCGGTGCCACAACAGTGGATGGCATTTCCTTCTTCCCGAAGGCGTCTGCGCAAGCAGGACTCTTTTATATTGACACTTTGCCGCCTGGCACCATCCAGGTGACCATCCGCTCGTCCTCGCCGTTCGGTGGTCAGTACTACCAGACCTTGACGCTGACAGTCACTCAACCCAGCAACTTGAACTCGGATGACGCCGCGCGCGGGGTTGTCTTGAATCAAGCCCAAAGTGTTTTCAACTCGGATCAGTCGCGTTCGGGCATTGCCCTTGCATCGACGCTCGTGAATGCAATTGCCGATGCGGGTGCTGGCGCGGACACCAGCAGTCGCCGAGAGATTCGCTCGCAGCTGATCACTGGTGCCGTGGCTATTGTCAATGCCACCCAAGCGGAGACTGCGGATGCCGTCACGCCGCAAGATTTGACAGACACTCTCGGTTTGTTCCTTGAGCTGACGCGCTTCCCTTCCGAGCTCACCGCTGACGGTCTGACGACCGCCCTTGGTGCCCTTCGCATCGTGGCCGGCTTGTTGCGCACGGTTGGCATCGAGGACAGCGCAAAGGTCAGCTTGGCTGGTACCCTCGGCCAGCTGCTGCGTGCGATTCCGTTGCTGCAAACCACCAACAACTCCCCTGCGTCGCGTGAGTTCTCGGCGCTGGCGTTTGATGTTTTGCAACGCCTTGGCTCGGCCGCCCGTGCCAATCGTGCCCCTGGCGATGTGGATGTGATTGAAACCGACGATATCGTCATTCGCAACGAAAACCGCGATGCAAGCGACCTTGGCGCATCGCCCATCTCTCGAAATGACGGCGCCAACTTTACCGTGCCTTCGTACGCTGCCGGGTCAGCCTCTGTGGTTGGCGTCGAGTACGTTCACCACTTGAACAACCCGTTCGCTTACGACAATGCGACCGACGAGCAAGCCTCAGACACCTTCTCGCTGCGCCTCACTGACGCTGATGGCAACGAAATTTCTGTGAACGATCTGGATTCGGACGATCCGATTGTTATTGAAATCCCAGTGCTCCGCGCGCTTGTCAATCCCAACAATACGTTTGTGTGCATGTTCCGCAACGAGACCACTGGCAAGTTTTCACAAAAGGGCTGCTCGGTTGTCTCGAACGGTACCGCCTCTCTCCGATGCCATTGCACGCACTTGACTTCGTTTGCCGTTTTCGAGATCAATCCGATCGACATCGATGAGGTTGCCGACCATCTGGGCGAGCGCATTGCCGAGCGCCCGTGGCTGATTGTCTTCTTGGCCGCGATTGTCTTTGTCTACCTGGTGATTCTGCTGCCGTTTGCCATCCGAAACGACCGTCGCGTCAAGCGCGAACTTTTGGAAGCGTCGTCCAAGATTGGAGGCGGGTTTGACAAGGAGTTGGCGGCAGGCGACACTGTGGCCGAGCTGTTGAACGTCACTCAAACCCTTGGAACGGACGACGGAAAGCCAGCCATGCCCTTCAAGCAGAGGCTGATGCTCAACATGAAGAATCGCCACATTTACGTGTCGGTGTTTGTCAAGAGGCATCTTGATCGAAACTTTTCGCATGTGGCGCGCGCCACTGTTTGCACAACGACCTTGCTGATGTGCATGGGCCTCAACACGCTCATTTACAACCAAGTGAGCTTTGAGGGCATGTCGCTCGCCATCAGCATTGTGAACGGCATCATCTCGACACTCATCGTCTTCCCGCTGTCGACCTTGGTCATTGAGCTCTTCCGCCACTCGTTCCGGCACCCAGCCGAGGTGCGCAAGACGATGGCCAATCTGGAGAGCGCCATGGAGCTTTCCACAATGTCGTCGACTGGTAACTTTGGCTACGACGAAAAGCCCGCTCAGCCTGGCCAGCGCACCCTGGTCGAGCGCTGGAGCGCGTGGCGCATTCCCCACGCCTGGCAATATGTTGCCTATGTCTTGTGCTTCCTTTTCAGCGCCACCGGCATCTTTTTGACCATTTTCTGGTCGTACAGCCACACGTTCGACGACGAGGGCGTCTACCGCATGTGGTTTATCTCGGCTTCCGTGTCCATCATCCAGTCGATTCTGATCTCGTCCACGCTGAAAGTGTTTATCATGACTGTCATTCTTACATGGATCGATCACTGCCGGCGCCGCAAGTACCACTACACCCCGTGAGATGGCTGTTCCTGTTGGTCTTGAGTTGGCTTCGTTGTGCTCTTTGTTTTTGTGTTGTGCTCTTCGTCTTTGTGTTGTGGGCAATTGTTTTCTGTGCATAATGAGAACCCGATACGACACATTGCTCCTTCTTTCCAGCGTTGGATTTTGAACTTGCGTTTCCAATGTAAATGTACGAATTGCAACAATTGCTCTGTTTTTGTTACTAGAACTAGTAAAGCATCAAACTTCCATAAAAGAACACCGACGAAGACCCGAAAAACAACCAAAAAAGACACTCGAGACCGAAACGCCCGCAATCGGTCAAGACAGCCCAGCCTGTGCCTGTGATCATGACTCTTCGGCTAATGGGTTGCTAAAATTCTGACCGACAAGGTCATCCTCGAACGGGTTGACAATAATATCTTCCTGTTCCTGCTTTTTCACGTCTTTGCGCTTCAGAGTGGCATGTTTTTGGAGCGCCTTGTTGACCTCTTGCGCAAGAGCTGGAGAAGATGCAACCAAAAACCAAACGCAACCACGCAGTGAGAGCAATGCCGAGTTGTTGGTGTGGTGGCATGCTCTTCCTGCTGCGACAACTCACCACTGGAGCACGAAAAGAGCTCAGAGTCTTGCGTGTACGTAACAAACACGATGCCGTCTCGTCGAATATTCCACTTTGCCAGCGATTCCATTTCCATAAACCGATGTTCCTTCCAGCCAAACACGGTGCCCTTCTTGTAGAGTCGGACGCCTTCGGGTGAGATCTAAAAGTGTCATCCACGCAGTTTTGTGAGATTCGGTGGGTGGGGTGCAGTCAGACACCAGAGCAAGCCACAGGCACATGAAAGCAGGGCGCAGAGAGAGAGAGAGAGAGAGAGAGAGAGAGAGAGAGAGAGAGAAGGGAGAAGGGAGAAGGGAGAAGGGAGAAGGGAGAAGGGAGAAGGGAGAAGGGAGAAGGGAGAAGGGAGAACTGACATTGCGCGTAACGGAACAAAAGGAGCAGCGGTGGGCGGGCCGAACCGCAAACGCAACCGCTATCTCCTGTTTTTCCTCCTTCTGTCACCTGTCCCACAAGCGAACGGTGATTTTTGTTTTGTTTTTGCCGGTGTTTTGTTCCAACTCTGAACTAAACATTAACGCGTCCACGACAACAAGCGCCATAGCAAGCCAACAGACCTAGCAACACAAAAGTAACACAAAAGCGATGATCAGATCTCGGCCGATCAACCTTTTTTTTTTTTTTTAAAAAAAAAGAACAGGAGAAAGAAAGAAAAAAAACAAAGCGGACAACCTCGCGTCGCAGAACAAGCAACGAGTCTGCTTCTGCTAGCTCCAACAACACTCATTCAATCTCACAGGGCGAGAGAGAAACGGCGAAGGCAGGGCAACGACAGCACAACCGGAAAAAAAAAAGAACAACCGAAATCCCAAACCGCAAAACCACCAGCCACGAGCCATCACTTGCTTCCCTCCCACAGTACTCGCTTTTGCTGCTGGCTTTCCTGCGCCAGATAGTTGCAAAAGCTCATCGCTGCCAATGGCAGAGGGGAGCGACCAGCAAGCAGAAGTTTGCCGCCTCCTAGCTCGGGCGTTTGGGGCAACACAACGCACAAGCAGCGAATCGAGAAACCCCTCTCCCTTCTTCTTCCCGCACAGTGGCACCGTCCCATCCACTCTCACTCTCACGCACTCGATTTCTCTGCTCGCCCTTCGTTCCACACACACACGGTTTGTGGTCTGTGATCGCAGCTTCAACACGTTTGTGAGCTGTTCGCTTTTTTTTTTTTTTTGTATCCGTCCTCGTCATCGTCCTCGTCATAGGCGTTCTTGCAAGCGTCCCACGACGAGCCGACCACCAAGCAAAGCCAACACACACGCAGCATATCCACGATTGGCGACTGCAGCGTGGGAACTAGGGGGACTGGGGAGGAGGGCGAATGCGGAACGCGATTGATCGCTGTTGTTTTTTTTTACCTCAAGCTTCATGAATGGGTTGTCGCCGACAAACTCGTCGAAGCCGGCCTTGGTGGCACGGAAGGAACCGATGCGCTGTCGGTTCTCCATGTCACTGGATTTCTTCTTGTGGTAGTTGGTGGGTATGGTTGCTTGTTGTTTGGTCAAACGCAATCAAAAGAGAGAGATTGGGTTTGTCGTGAAGGAAACCAAAACAAAGTGGTGTTTTTTTTTTTTTTTTGGTTTCTTTGTTGGTGACGAGTGTGGTTTCTCGTCACTCTTGCAGGGCGGATGGATGCTGATGGAAGCGATTCGTCAAAAGGTCTGGTTGCAATCGATGAATTGAAAGCCAGACGATGGACGCAAGTGGCAGCGCGCGGAGAGGGGGCTCAAACAGAACTGGTAGAAAAAAGGCGAATAGAAGAAAAAAAAAAAATACAACAATGTAAAAACCAAAACAATAGAAGAGTGAGTTGTTGGCTGCAGAACCGCATTTGGAGACACGTCCACCCACAACTCAACAAAAGGTCTAGCCCGACTTAGACTGCACACAACAGCCGTCCCCTCTTCGAGGGTCCCGGCCGATTGTGTGTGTGCCGGATATATCGTAACTGATTTGGTACCCCTCTAAAAAAAGCTTCTGAAATATGTTTGAAGGTTGTGTGCCGTCCAACAGTACAAGTCGGGCTAGAAAAGGGGGGGGGGTGAGAGGGGTTGCATTGCATGATGCGCGAGAGAAGGGCAACCAGAGATCAATCAAAAGTCGCGGCGCCAAAAATCAGAGATCGAGAGAGAGAGTTTTGAGGGACTCTGAATCACAGCGCACACAAGTCGATCGCAACTTGCGCGGGAATAACGCGTGATAGCCGACATTGAATCGATCCCTTGCGCATCGTTGCACGAGCGTCTCGTCGTTCAGGTCAAAAGGAGCTGATTGCATGCTCCTTTTTGTTGTTTGGCGCGCTTTTTTTTTTTTTTTTGCCAGTCATTTTTTTTTTTGTTTCGCAGTGAGAGTGCTCGCGTTGGGTTGACGATGAGCGCCGCTCCCAGCAACAAGCCGCCAAGCAAGCGACCGCGGATTGCAAACAGCGACGACAACCGCCGCAATGACGCCGCGTCAGTGCCGGTCCAGCAGTTGCCGCGGCCTCGAGGCAAGCGCATCCACGACTCCGACGACGACGACGACGACCGCGCTCACGGCTCGAGCAAGCGCAAGCAGCGACTGCAGTCATCCGACGACGACGATGACGATGATGATGATGATGAAGAGGAGGAGGAAGAAGAGGAGGTCGTTGTTGCAAGCGTCAACGCCAAGGCCAAAGGGAAAGGGCGGGCAGCGCAGCAGGATGAGGACGAAGCAGAGCCCGCCACGTTCGCGGACATCATGGACCGCGACTACACCGCCGAGGAGACAGAGGTCTTTGCAGAGGTAGGTACATTCGCGCCTTGCGAAAACACAGGTCACGTGAAGAAGTGGAGCGGAGAAGCACAGGACGAGCTGCACGAACAAGAGGGAGCAGAAGAAGGAAAAAAAAAAAAAAGCAAAACTTTTCCCGCCAAAACTTCAATGGCGGTCCATTGGCTGCATTTGCGCCTCCTTTCTCACATTGCCATGACCTGCCCTCGCTGGAATGTTTGACTCTTTGATAGCAAATCGCGGAAGGTATCAAGAAAGGCGATGAACTTAACGTAAGGCACCTCCAACAACGAGGCACTGGTTGGTACATTTTTTGGCGGTTTCTAACTGAATGTCCAATCCTACCCTTGCTGTCACTGTGTGCATGCGAACCGAGTGCAGAAGACCGTGAAAACACAAGCTGGCATCTTTCTCGAAATCGATCTGCAGAACTTTATGTGCCATGGCCGTTTCCACATGAAATTTAGCCCGCAGTTCACCTTTGTGACTGGCGTGAATGGCAGTAAGTCTTGCGCTTGTTTTGTTGTTGTTTTGCTAACTCTTGTTGTTCTTGCTGGTGTCGTTGTTGTTATTGTTTGGTCTCTGACCCATGCTGCTCCTTTTCCAAAAAACAAAAAAAAAGGTGGCAAATCTGCCATTCTTTGTGCATTGATGGTCGGGTTGGGTGGCAAGACTGGCAGCACGGGTCGCGGCAGCTCCATCAAAGAGCTCATCAAGACTGGCGCTGATCGCGCAGTGGTGCGCATTACTCTAAGCAACGAAGGACTATTTGCGTACCGACCCGCTCAGTTTGGCAAAAGAATCATCGTCGAGCGCGTCTTCCTGAAGTCCGGAAGCTCATCCTACAAACTGATCAATGGCGAGACCAACGCGACCGTGGGCAAGAGCGCCCATGACCTTGCCCAGCTCAAGGACGCGCTGCGCATTGATGTGGACAACCCGATCTCCGTTCTGACCCAGGACCACAGTCGCGAGTTTATCAAGACGGCATCGCCTGACAAATTGTACGACTTGTTCCTTCGCGGAACAGACCTGGAGCGCATGAGCAACATGTATCGCTCCTTCAAGGAGGGCAACACCGCCATCGGCCTCGACCTCAAGGCCAAGAGCGACGAACTCAAAGTCATGAACAAGGAGGTTGAGCGACTCAAAGCGCGCTACGAGAGCTCGAAGGCTCTACAACAGCTTGGCAATCGCATTAACGATCTGGCCAACGAGCTGGCGTGGGCGTATGTGGCGGAGGCCGAGCAGATCGTCGAGAAGGAGACGAATGAGCTGACCAAGTGCCAAAAGCTCGTGCAGAATCTCAGTGCCGAGGTTGCAGCGGCCGACAAGTCCTATCGCGCCGCCTCCAACGAGTATGAGGAAGTGCAGGCGACTCGAACAGCAGTCCATCGAGACACCGAAGAGCTGAGTGCGTCCTCAGAGATGCTCAACAGGAAGACCGTTGCAGCCCGTCGTGCGGTCAACCAGGCGCAAGAAGAAGTCAAGCGATTCGACAATCAGGGCAACTCAAAGCTCCAGCAAGTCAAACAAGTGGAACGGGACATTGCAGAGACTCGCCGCCGTGCACTCGAGTCAAAACAGTAAGTTTTCCCCTTCTCCAAACCACTGCCACATCAAAAAGCCGGCTTCCTTCCGAATGCCCCCGTCCCCCTCCCTCTCCCTCCCCCCCAACCATTATCAACCCGCGCTCTTGGTATCTGTTAAATAGGGTTTCACCAGCGATTTGATGCTCACCTGGTTGTTGCTCTTTTCTTTTCGTTTTTTTGTGTTTTTTTTTGGTTGATCCGCTCTTCAGAAAGCGCGGACAGGCCGTCGAGCAAAATGTCGAACAGTGGCAGCGCAAAATTGCCAACATCAAGGACGAGGCTGACGCGATGAGGCGCAAGCTCGTGGTTGTTGAGCAGCATGGCCAATCGTTCTCGACGGATGTCAACAGCTTGCAGGAGGTTGTGATGAAGTTCAATCGCGACATCGCGGCGAAGCGAAAGGAAATCGAGTCCATCACTTCGGTGAGCAAAAATCGACTCGCCGTGTACGGCAACGAGGTCCCGGAGATTCTGCGCAGGATTGACGCCGAGTCTCGGTGGAAACACAAGCCAATTGGTCCGATCGGCCGTTACCTTGAGCTGACCGATGCCAGCTGGGCAGTTGCGGTCGAGGCTTGTCTCAAGGACACGATCTCGGCGTTCGCCGTGGATAACTTTGACGACGCACGTCGCTTGGAAGACATTATGAATCAAGTGTTTGAGTCCCACAAGCGGCGTCCAATGATCATCACCCGCCGGTTTGGTCCGTTGTTTGACGTGACGCGGGACTCCCCATCGAAAGAATACTTGACCGTCCTCCGGGTCCTCCGCTGCTCCGAAGCGATGGCGCTGAACACGCTGATTGATCAAAACAAAATCCACACCACCGTGCTGTTGAAGGATCTCGAGGAGGCCCAGCGCGTCATCTTGCGCACAGACTACGCTGCTTTACCCCATGGTGTGACTACTGGCTACGACAAGATCGGCACATTCTACGAGGGTGGCACGCGCTCGCAATCCTCTGTTGCGAACAAGTACCGCGGTCCGCAAAAGTTGACTGCAGCGCAGCCCACGTCCCAGAACGTCGAGAGTATCAAGCACGAGCTGAGAGCATTGGAGCAGCGCCTTCATGAAAACGACAGGCAGCTTGCGGAGACCAAGCTCGCTGCTGACGCGAACAAGCGCGACGAAAGAACAGTAAGGGATTCTTTGTACGGTACGGTTTGTTGACCTGGTTTGCTTTGCTCCAAACTCACTTTGCAATGTTGTCACTTGACAGCTGCGCTCGGCAATTGCGACCAAAGAGCGTGAACAGTCGCAGCTCGCAGCCAGAGCTGAGGCAATTCAAAGCAGTGCAGCTGAAATTGAGAACGATGCCACGGATGTGTCCGATCTGGAGCGCGAAATGCAAGCCCTTCAGGAAGAGGCCGTGTCGTAAGTCTTGGTTTCGTGTGTTTTGTTTTGGCTGCGCTCGAAGCAGGATGTTGAAGCTCATTCGAGCCTGCCCGCTTGCTTGTTCGTCCCACACCAACTACAGGTTCTTTGCGCGAGCCAAGCAAATTCATGAAGCACAGGTACTGCCCGCTCAAGCGCAGTTTGCCGAGTGCGACAAACAATCCAAAGAAGCGAACAAGCTGCTGGCTGACATTACGCGCAGCAGTGAAGAGCGAGACGAACAGCTCAAAGCAAGCGACCAAAAGCAAACGCAAGCCAAGAACCTTCTGACGCGCCGCACCGCGCAGCACCTTGAAGCTCAGCAGCAGGTTGACCAGCGACAGGCAGTGGTTCTCGATATGATCAACACCGCCAAGAGCACAAAAGAACAGGCCCAACAGCTTTGCAGCGTTGCAATTCCCACCAAGCGCACCTCAGGGACAATCCAGAAGGAGATGGAATCGACGAAACAGCGTCTTCGTGACGAGGAGAGACAGTGCGTTGCAGTTTTCGACTCTGTCTTTTGTTTGAGCATTTTTTGCTTGTTGCAGAGAGGAAGCAGCGCAAGCTAAAGTCTGTTCTGCGTCGCTCTGCGTCGTTTTTGTTTCTGGTGACACAGGCAGGGCCGACATGAAGATATCACCCGCGAGTACTTTGAGAAAACGAGCATGCTGGAGAAGTCCATGGCCGACCACAACGCCCTGAAGGATTTACACGGGGTAACAGACTCAAACCCGCATTTCTTATTGGTGATGCGCTGTGCTCAATGCACAACCCTCTGACTGACTGCCTGATGTTTGCTTTTGCGCTTGCTACCACACACACACAAAAACCCCCAACCAAACAAACAGCGCTTGGATGTGATTCTCGTCCAACGTGCCGTGCTGTATCGAGATTTCCGCATCTCGATCGCGCAGCGAGCGTGTCAGTATTTCATCCGACTACTGGCGCTTCGCGGATTTCAGGGAAAGCTCAAGTTCCATTTCGAATCTTCCAAACTGGAGATCAGGGTGCGTCCTCTTTTTTTGTTTTTCTTTTGTGCATCCTCATGCATCCAACCATGTCTCTGTCAACCAGCCGAGCTGCAAACTCACTACACCCCCGCTCTCCTCCTATTTTGTCGCATTGAATCTCCAACCTCAGGCGCAACCGCCGTCGCAACAGGATGGTCAATCGTCCGGTTCGAAAGACATTCAAAGCCTGTCTGGTGGAGAAAAGTCGTTTGGAACGATCTGCTTCCTCGTTTCCTTGTGGCATTCGATGCCCTCGCCCTTCCGCGTGTTGGACGAGTTTGATGTGTTTATGGATCAAGTCAACCGGAGCTTGAGTGCCAAGCTCCTCACAGATTTTGCAGCCTTGCAGCCGTTCAGGCAGCACATTCTGATTACTCCACAATCGATCGAGTACGTGTATTTTTGAGGGTGGTGGGTTGACCTGCTGAGCTTTGCTTCTCACTCACCTACATCCCTTCTGCTTCCGTTTTCCCCCCAACTCCAGCCCGCAGGTTTCCGGACGGAAGGATATTCGGGTCGAAGTCCATTCGCTCGCCAAGCTTGATGGTTGACGTGAATCTGCATATTGGATTTTTTTTTTTGGTTATGCTTGCTTGAATTGCAACGGAAAGGAAATTTTGAGGAAATTTTGGTTGTACACAATGAAGTTAAATTGCGGTTGGAAGATGGCGACACTGACATATATTGGGAATGTTGAAATCACAGAACGTGGATACGTTAGTCCATGAGCGACCCACACAAAACGTTGGCGCAAAAACAAGCTTCCCAAACCAAACAAGTGCACAAAACACACAAAAACCATGCATAAACGAAAGAAAAAAAAAATCAAATGTGGATAAGAATGTGAGACGAATCAACAGCCAGGCCAACGCGAGCGTCGAGCGTGACAATGGTATCGCCGTTGACAACGTATTCGGTTGGGTTGCGGTTGATGTCGGTGGAAGTATGGGTGCCTTCCACGAGCGTGCCGAGCGTCGTGGCATAGTACCAGCGGCCAGGATTCAGGGTCATCGGCACCTTAACAGTGCCAGAAACAATCACATCCAAGCTGGAGACGCCCGTGGTGCCGCTGGCAAAGCTGCCTGCCGTCAGTCCGATGGGGGTGCTGAGAGTTTCGCCGAGGGTGACGTGTCCACCGAGCGGAAGATCGTGCCTGCCGTCGGAGATGGAGTCGATAATCACAAAGCGGTTGCTCGACAGATCGGTGGCAGTAACCCAGTACACGTCGCTGTCAAACTTGGGGTTTGGCGGGGAGAGGACAAACTCGGGCGAGTCGGCAATGATTTGAGCGCCGTCGTTCTTGGTGCAAATGGACATTGTGACACGGCCTTGGTTGGAAAGATCGCTGTACACAACCATGAAGCGATCGACAGCCAGGGTCGAAACGGTGATGAACGTCCACACGCTCGAGTCCTGGAAGCCACCGTCGTTGATGGTGACCAGGGAGCCAAACTTGACAAAGGGCAAGCTGGTGGTCGAGTCGATTTCGACGGTCATGAGGCAGCCGCGCAGGCCGTCATTCACGCTGCGATCCACAAACACAACGGCCACCGTCGAGTTGTCAAGGGCCGCCGAATCAAAGAAAAAGTAGGCGGCCACGACGGGCAGGGTCGTGTTCAGGCCGGCCGTGCACGCACCGGTGACCGTATCGACGATAATCGGAGTGGCACCCAACGGGCCGCCGACTGGGGGCCAAACCATTTGGTCCTCGGTCAGGTACGAGACAATGACCGTGTTGCTGTCGAGCGCGTCAATGCTGGAGGCGGTGCGGCCGCTTTGGTACTGCAGCGGCGTGTTCATCGTCAGAGTAACAGCCGACGGCGTGATGGCAACATCGATGGTGCGGATGAACAGGTTGTTGCCGTTCAAGCTGTCATAGTACGAAATGATCAAGCGAGTTGCGCTCAGACCAGCGATCTGATTGTCGATCGTCTGGCAAGGGCTTGGGCAGACATTCACGGACGCGCTGAGCTGGGAGATGGTGTCGGCCACATTGGCGTAAATATCGCGATGGTTGGCAGTGACCGTGGCAACGTAGACGACACCGCGGCCGGCGACGGTGAAGGTCGTCGCGCTCAGCACGATAACATCATCCACGGCGGCCATTCCAGCCAGAGAGACTGCAGGGCTCCAGATCACAGACGTCTCGGTTTCAACACGAGTCACAGTCGCGGCGGGCACGAGGCCGACTTGGGCAACGCAGCCGCTGGCTCCGCAGTAGGCCACAACAATCGTCGTAGTGTCCAAGTTGGCCGTGACCACATGAGTGACTTCATCGGTCGAGTCGAAGGTGCCTGCATTGCGATAAAGCGACGTGCCGGCGCCGCGCCTCATTGTGCCGTCGGCAGCCACAGTCACGGGCGAACCCGCACGGAACGAGAGCAAATCCGCGTTGGGCTGGAGGGACACAGTCACCGCAATGTTTTGCTCGTCCTAGTTTGTTTTTTTCAAGTTTGACACACAAAAAAAAACAAAAAGCAAAAAAAAAAAAAAACAATCGTGAGGAATGGATGAGCAAGACAGCTTCGATGGATGGCAACGCGAGGCCGATGAGGTTGATGCGGTGCATTGCATGTCTCAGCAGCACATGTAGCATGCTTTGTTTTTGAAGGATTTTTATTTTTCAAAGCTGTGAAATGTTTTGCTTTTTCCTGCTGTTGCCGTTTTCACAAAAATAAAAAAAAAAACCCACTCTGCAACTGCGGTTTGGTTGTTTGTCTTACACTGACAAATAGAAGTAACATCATGCCATAGAAAGTGGCGCGATCCCATCAAGCCCCCAAAACAAAAAAGGCCACGAAAGCCTGTTTTTTTGTTTGTTTTCGCACCGCTTCCCGCAAACAGCCAAGATATTTTTTTGACAGGTGTGATCTGTTTTGATGTTGACATTCTGCTTGTTGAAAATCGAGCAACTCGCGTTTGATAGGACACCCCGATCGCAGTCACTTCCAATCAACGAAAGAAGAAGCAAAGCAGAAGCAAGGAACGGAAGGGCGAAAGCGGCGGATTCGCACAGATTCCCATAAAAAAAAAAATAAAAAAAAAAAAAAGCCTGGTTTTTTTGTTTCGCATTTGCATGAGGAGAGCAACGATCGCCCCGGAAATGCACACCGCCGCTGTACATCTCGGACATGAAGGGGTGCACAGAGACGTTCCAGCAAGATTGGGGGAAGGGGGTAGAGTTGCCTCGAGACTGAGACCGGGTGTACCTGTGTATGGGCCTTGTCGAGAGCGGCAACAGCAATGCCAAAAATGATGATGGACCATGCGGCCGCAACGAGTGCAATCCGCCAATGGCGCTTGAGCACAGCCATCGACGACGGCGATGCGTCGTAGTGATCGCGGTTGATCTTGACGCGGGAGTGTCCAAGCGCGCCGCTCGTCTCTTCGTCGTTCATGGTGCTTTAGTCAAAGTGGAATGGAACAGAGCACAAAAGACAAAAAAAAAAAAAAAAAAAAAAAAAAAAAAAAAAAAAAGCCGGAAGTCGAATAGTGTGGAAAAAAATGCGACTCAACGCTCAACACGTGAATAACACGCCACATCGTGATATGTCATGCTTGGATCGGCAGGCGGGTTTGGGGGAGGGGGGAAAGAGGGGAGGGGGAAAGAGGAGGGGTGTGTGTATGGAAGAGAGATCGTGATGTTGATACTGAGAGTGATTGAGATTGAGAATGATTGAGAATGATGGAGATAGAGTGAGTGAGTGAGTGAGTGAGTGAGAGGGAGAGGGAGAGTGGACACGACGTTTGTTGCGCCCAGTCTTCCAGTTTCGTGACCATCCGACTCTCCTGCTCTCTCTGCTCTGGACGTGACAAGCACAGAACACAATGTCGGACGTGCGTGCAGGGTCAATCCAGCAGCACCACGACGACAAGCTGGGCAGCAGCAAGTCGCATGCAGGCATGGATGGCCGACATTCGGGCAGCGCAGGCACCTTCGTCAGCAGCATCAGCGCAGTGTTCAAGGGCGGGCACGGCAGCAAGCATGGACGGAGCCAAGCGTGGACACCACTCGGTGGCGCGTCTGCCGCTCGTTCGTCGACCTCGTCGTCGACCTGCAGTCAATGGTTTGGATGCTCGTCTTGCTGTTCATCTTCAGACGACCGCACCGAGAGCCCCTCCAAGTAAGAAGAAGAAGAAGAAGGGGAACAAAGGGGGCTGCACGCGCGAAGGTGTCAAAAATCCCATTTTGCCAGTTGCTCAGACGCACACCCCTCGTCCACCCTTCATATCACACCCCAATCCACCCATCACACCATAGCACAAACCCCTTCTTGCTGTCGCCATATTCCACTGCTTTGCCTGAGTGATGTTGTTCTGATTGACACGCAACGCTTTTTTTTTTTTTTTTTTTTTTTTTCGTCTGCAGACATACCTTGGATCGAGTGTTCTTCCGTCGACTCTGGCAAATCACCAAGCTCTTCTTCCCGTCCATTCGAGCACAGCCGTCGATGTGGCTTTGTCTGCTGCTTGGCCTCGCATTGGGACTGCAGGTCGTTTATTACCTGATTGGCATGATCCCAAGTCGGTATTACTCGATTCTGCAACGCAAGGACGAGAGCGCGTTCACTGCCCAGACCATCTACTGCTTTGTCCTCGTCGTGGCGGTGGCCGTCATGAACAGCGCGAGCGGTTTTGTTCAGGCGCAGCTCTACTTGCAGTATCGCCAGCGCTTGACGCTGTTTCTCCAACAACTGTACTTCAGCAACACGACTTGCTACCGCACCAACGTGCTGGACAGCCGCGTGGACAATGCGTGAGTATAGCTCGGGTTTTAGCATGGTGCATCGGGAGGGGGGAAGGGAGTGAATTTCTGCTCACTTGTTGTGTTTGCTTTTGCCTGGCAATCTCACAGAGATCAGCGCATTGCTCAAGACGTGGATAAATTCTCCACCTCGTTGAGTAAAATCCAGGCGAAAATCATCATCCTCCCCCTCACAATCCTCTACTACACGTACCAAAGTGCCAATGCAATGGGCTGGGTCGGCCCAGTCAGCGTTTTTGGCTTTTTCATCGTTGGTACCGTCTCAAACAAGTTTTTGATTTCGTTCATTGTGCCTCAAGTCGTCAAACAAGAGCGCCTCGAGGGAGATTTCAGGTATGTTTGTGTGTGGAACACGTGCGCGTTTGAGCAGCTTTTGGGTTGAGTTCCTCTGCTTTTGACCTGCCACGATGCTGATTGAACTGCTTGGGTGCTTTGAAGGTACGCTCATGCCCATGTCCGCTCAAATGCCGAGGCTGTGGCATTCTACCACAGCGAGAGACGCGAGGAGGAGAATGTGACGCGACGCTTTGCTGAACTGATTCGCACCCAAGAGCGGCTGATCTTCCGCAACGTGTTTTTGGACAGTATGTATCTCTCGGGGGACTGCGCTGCTTTGACTCTGCTCGCCCTCACAAGCTAGTGCTGCGCTTGATTCCATACTGGCAGTTTCGATTGGACTCTTCGATTATGCCGGCTCCATTTTGAGCTACTTGGTCATTGCTGTACCAATCTTTGCTGGGCGCTACGATGACCAACTGAGCAACATTTCCACTGTCATTTCTCAGGTTGGTGGCTTACTTTGAGATTATTGGCGCGTTGTTCGTCCCGGTTTGGCCGTTGCCACAGTTCGGTCCTAACATTGCGATTTCCTTTGAACTCTCCAGAGTGCCTTTGTCTCCATTTACCTGATCAGCTGCTTTTCAACACTGATTGACCTTTCCACCGAGTTTAGCAACCTGGCTGGTTTCACTCACCGTCTGGGTGAGATGATGGAAGTATTTATGGACACTTCTCTGCTGCGCCCAGTTGCCCAAGATAACGAGTGAGTGTGCTGTCTTTATGTCCGATGCGACGTCGTGCTGCATCCTCACAGTCTCGCTTTGGGACACGAATCATCCTTTTCGATTCAGTGACGAGGATCCGGACGAGCGAGCAGCATCCACCCAAAAGACCATCGTATTTGACCACGTTTCGTTCGAGACACCCAAGGACCACGTCCAAATCGTGAAGGGTAAGAAAGCAGTGCGAACTCATGATTGCGATGATGCTTTTCGTGAAACTGACCACGATTTTCATTCGATGCAGACCTCAATCTCGTGATCGAAGAACAGATGAACATTCAAGTGATGGGTGCCAGTGGTAGGTTACTTGCGCTTTGTTGTTGTAGGGGCAGCGTTCTTTGCGGAGGCACATGCTCACAGCGATGACGCTTTGTGCGTGCTACAATTCGTCAGGGTGTGGGAAAACTTCCCTTCTCCGTACTCTCAACGACCTCTGGCCGCTTTCTTCAGGTATTGCGTCCCGTTCTTTGGATGGGGAATTGACACTTTTGAGGAAGTGGATCGGAGGGAGCTAGGCAAGGAAAGCGTGTGAACGTGGGAACATGTACTCATGACTTTTGGCTTGCAGGCACCATCACCAAGCCGCGCCATGTCGGACGCAACGGCCTCTTTTACTTGCCACAGGTGCCGTTCGTTTCGGATGGAACGTTGCGCGATCTGCTCAAGTATCCAAACCGCGACGATTTGACGCACGATAATCTCGTCGAGCTGTCGCGAGTGTTTTGTCCGGGAGCTGTCCCTTCGAGCTCCGCATCGTCTGCTGCAATCTCGTTGGCACACTCGGGCTCTTTGGTGCGGGTCGACCCTGGTATGTGTGTTTGACCGTTGCGGGTCATTAGAATTTTTGTTGCGGCTCATTTGAAATGGCGTGGGTTGCTGTCTTGGATTTGATGTTTGCTGTAGCTCTCGAGTTTGAGGACAAGGTTTTGACGTCGATTCTGGCGGAGGTCAAGTTGGGCTTTGTGGTGTCTCGCTGTGGCGGGTACGACACTTGGCACGATTGGACTTTTTATGATTCCTTCTCGCCTGGTGAAAAGCAACGCCTCGCGTTCGTTCGCTTGTTCCTACAGCGGCCTCAGTTTGCCGGTAAGAGGTTTGATCGATGAATGCTAGCTTTTGGCAATCGCTGTTTGATCTGATATCGCACACATTGGTGCATTCTCAACAGTTCTGGACGAGTCTACCAGTGCAATCAGTGGCGACCTTGAAAGCGAGCTGTACTCGCTTTGTCGAGCGCTGAACATTACGACCGTGTCGATTGCCCATCGTCGGTCTCTTCTCAAGGTAAGTTGCCGCTAATATCGTCGCAATGCCGGCTGAACTCGACTCACCGCTTTGAACCCACGCTTCATGACACGGCTGCAGTTCCACGACTACCTCTTAATGTTCAATGGTGAGGCTGGCTGGAGTTTGAAGCCCATTGACGCGGCGATGCGTCAACGAGTTTAGCCAGCGTTCTGACAAACTCGAAAAGTCGTTTGTGTTTGTATGTTTTGATTACGAGCACAATATATTTGACATTCCTCAATTTAGCATCGCATTCAAGTGGGGGTGGACGGTGCTAGCTCATTGGCTTGGCGAGGTCGACGAATTGAAAATTTCATTCATAATGAACAGGATTGTGTCTTGGGAGCGCCTGCGATGAACAACACAACCGTTTGTCGGTTAGTTCAAAAACCAACAACGAGCAGGTCAATCAATCAGTTGTTTCGACAAGGCACGTTCACCAGAAGACCCGAATCTTACCAATAAACAAAGTGCGCTGTGATGGAGAAGAGATATTCATTGATGGACTCGATGGGAGTTTCTTGCAGCGCATAGTCAATCCGTGCACCCGAGTTCAGTTTTCCTGGATGCAGCAGGGCGGCTGTGACGCGCAAAAAGGGAATAAACAGAAAGGATGGAAGATGAGTGAAGTGGATTGAAGCCACACACAAAAGAGCTCTTGTCGCGAACTACCTCCAGCTGGAGTATCAGCGGGCGGAAGCGGCAAAGCACTTTGATTGGGAGCGGCGGCGGCAGCAGGGGCGGGAGCGGCGGCAGAACTACCGCCAGTCAACGATTTCGCCAAACCACTCAGCGAATCAAATGAAAACCAAGAGCTGGTGCTTTTGGTGGCCTCTTCCACCATATTGAACGTATTCTTGATTGTTGCGCTCACGCGGGAAATGTTATCGCGCAGCTCAATATGAATGCGTTTTCGTCCGGTATAATGTGGCACCAGTTCGGGCTTGACGTCTGTAAACTGCGGGTCGATGATTGGCTCCATTCGGAAGGCCTGGGTAGCGGAAAATGAAGCGTACGGATGAATCACCCCAAAAAAACAAAACAACAACCAAACAAAACAACAACAAAACAACGGTGGTATCAGTGAATGCAAAATCGACACCAGTCTTACCACTGGATCAAACGGATGGAAAATGTTAAAGTACTTGGGACAGGTTGGCAACTGATAGTGCCGCCCAATGTGGTCATGCCCACGGACGGTGAGGAACATGCCCATGGGCGAGCCGGCACCAAACATGGCGTCGCATGCAAAGTTTAACCGAGGATAGTGCACGCCCACAGAAACGTGGCCGAGGCCGTGAGAGCGTTGGTTGTGGTTGTGATGGTTGTGTTCGCACGACAGGCAGTTGGACAAGGCTCGCGGCGACGAGGGCTCCAAAACGGAATTTAGAGAATCGACGAGGTTGCGAGGATGTCTAGCGTCGGCATCCTCGGCGCCAACGGTGGTCGGCACTCCGCCCGTTGCATCGCTGGGAGCAGCTTCATGAGTGCCAAGCAGAGGTTGGTGCGCCAAGAGATCGAACCCAATACAAGAGCCCAGACTGTGGCCGAACAAGCACACCTTGCCCTTGAACGTTGGGTTTCGGGCGATAAAGAGAGCATGCAGCCGGTTTAGCTCTGCCGCCACACGGTCAATGATCACCTGGGCATACACAGGGCTGGTGAACAGCATCACATCGAGCACCGTGTCGTTGACGAGTTCGCGCAGTTTTCGGATGGTGTCCAAGCTGATGTTTTGGAGTTTTCTGGGAATACGGAGGGGAAGCGCAACGAAAGCAAGCAACCAAGTAAACCGTGATTGGTTAGCGTGCCGAGCAAAAAAAGAAAAAAAAAATACAAAAATACAACAACAACAAAAAACCCCCACAACAACAAACACTCTACTACGCCGAATCAAAAATTTAGATTCGCCTGAAAAGCAACAACGTACTTGTCGACATCGCGATGCAAGTGTAATGCATCGTGCCATTCGATCGGAATGAGTTCGACACGCCCGCGCTGCGCGCTAAAGTGAGTCTTTTGGAAGGCCGCAGAATTGGCTCGCATGTCGTCCACTGTTCCAGTAACCCACACCAAGGACAAAGAATCATTACGACGTCAGACTGGAAGGTGGCACCAAAGCATCAACCAAGAGCTTGTTTCGGCTTTGGGCTTCAGACAGCAAGAGCACGTACCACAATCGGGCAGGGCACGAAGTTGCAGGTCGCATGCACTCCCAATGCCGTGAATGACAAACACCAAGCCTTCAATGTCATCGAGCTCGCCTGGAAGATGATTGGAAAAGTAAGTGCGTGTCAACAGCACACATGGAATTTCAACGCAGAACTGACCTTCGTCAACGCTCGAAATGTCCAACCCGCGATACACTTGGCGTGCAATGAAATCCGAGCCGTCCAACTCTCCAGAGACAGGCTGATAGACATAGAGCATTGTCAACTCGCGCGAGTGGAAGGTAATTTTGTCGCCTCGATCGTTAATCGTCACTTCCCGCGCGAACGGCTGTTGTTCAGGGAGCTGAGGTGTTTCCGTCAAATCCATTGGTTGTACCGTACTATCAGCGCTGTTCTGGAACACATCCACATAATGCGACTCGATCAAGTCTGCGGTGGCTTCCTCCAGCGGAATGAGCGGATCGCCCGAGCGGTCTCCCGCGCAAAACCAGGACGCTCGAGTGACGAGCATCGGGAGGCCTTCCCAGTACACGGGCTTTCCGAAACGCGACGGGACGTGCACGTCAAATCGGCCTCCACAGACTGACACGACCTCGTTGGCAGGGCAGCCAGGAAAGGCAGTCGCGTCAGAAGCTGCACCGTCAGCATGGCGTGGCAGTTGCAGCTCGTGGTACGCTTGCTCCAGACGACTCGAATCAATCCGGGTGAATGGTTTCCAGCCAACGCAGAGATACGAGCCAGCGCCCGCCGCGACGGACGACGACCGCGCAGCGGCAAGCAGATGGGCAGCGAGACGAGCCTGCTCGGACGGGGGCGAGCTCGCGTTCCCAGCAGCGGCGGCCGCACTCGAGTTCGCAGTGCCGGCACTTGGCTTGCTGGATCCTGCTGTGCCTCGTGCGGCAAAGGCAGAGAGCAGCGGCCACGCACCGCCAAGACCCGCCGTCTCGGTCACCGTCGCCGCCAGCATGGGAAGATTGACGGGCGACTCTTTCGGAGGCGACCAGAAGAACCAGTGCGCCGAAGCGACCGGCTGCTGGGGTGACGACGAAGCACCAGGACCAACAGATGAAGAAGAAGAAGCGCCAGGGCCAGCGGAGGACGAGGAAGATGCTCGGGTGGCATCGAGCGAGGCCGGCGCGTTGTTGGCAGCCGACAGGCGATTGTCGGCGTTCCAGGTCATCATTTTTGCAACCCGAAGCGACAATGTAGGGGGGTGGCGAGGACTAGTTCGGATAAAGATGATGATGCTAACAATGTATGTCAGAGAAAAAAAAAGGGGGCGCTTTTGTGTGCAATGCGTGACGAGGGGGGAGGGAGCGTCAGTAAACGAGACCGCACAAAACAAGACTGACTGACTGAGCGTGGAAAAGGGCTCAGACAAAAAAGAATGTCGGCGATGACACCATTTCTATATGTTGGTTGAAAAGGATCAGAGCAAAAGCGACACAGTCACAAAGATTTGAGGATGAAGATTTGATCTTGACAAAGTTACCTTTTTGACTACACCCATCACAACACAAACACAGCATGTTGGTCATCATCAATCTCTAAAAATGAACAATGTGCGCATCCGCTGGAGTCTGCTCGACGGGACAATAGGGACACTTGAACCTCCCGCCGTTCTTGGAGAGGCGCTCGAGCGAGAGCTTGCACACAACATGGCCACACTTCATCATCATGGGCGGATTTTCAGGAGAGGCCTGCTCGCGGGACACGGGGCACGCAAACACTGAGTGGAATTGGGAATCCTTGCCCAGTTCAATTTCGACCTACAGCCAAGAACACACAAACGATGAGCATTCTCGCAAGAGTAAAAGGGCAAGCAGCGCAATGCTGTTCAAAACGACGGGATGATAATCCCTCCGAAAAAAACTCCCAACATACAGGAAGCTCATCCTTGCTTGTCCACAGCGTTGAACTGGCGCCACGGCCTTGCATGACGGAGGCCATTTTCAAAAGAGTTGGCAGAGCGGCGCACCCGGCCAGGAAGCTGACAAACAACGGACTGTCGTACGTCATGCCAAGCATGGCGCAGCAGTCGCGCGTAAACGCATGCGCGATTTCCGTCCAATGGATCGAGTCGACCAATTCCATGTAGGGCGTTGGCGGCGCGCGACCATAGTACAACAGACAGCCCATCAACCGCTGCACCTCGTTCAAGTGCGAATGCGAAAATGGCACAAACTGGACACGAGCATACTGCAGCGCATCGCGACGATCAATCTGCAGGCGACGGAGAAATTCCAGCTTGTGCAGCTTGAATTCCAGCGAGCTGCCAATCCGTTCCAACGCCTGGCGATTTTCGCTTGCCCAACTGACACAAAAACAAAGGAGTGGTTGAATTAGTGAGGAAAGAGAGGCGCCATGCACAAGCGAGGGGCGGAACACGCATACCGAAGCGCTGGCGCCAAGTCCTGCTGTTTGAAAGCTTCCATGATGTTGTACATTTCAATGAATGGACCAAGTTGCGGCTGCTCCAAGGTCAATCCCGACTCCTGCGATGTTTGGACAATGCGACAGACACATTCATGAAGTGAGAGCAATGGAACAGACACACGTTGAAAGTCGATGTTCGATACCACTCACGCGAATAAATGTTTCGGCGGCCGCAAAATGACCCTGGCGCAGCAAATGCTTGGCAATCACTTCGTTCAGCAATGCCGCTTGAGCTCCTTCAAACGCTGCCGGGTTGGCAAACTTGTCAATGTCGGTGACGAACGCCTAAACAAACAAAAAAAAAAAGCAAAGAAAAAAGCAAAGAAAACGGACGCGGCAATTGTCAAGCAAACACAAGCAAACGCCATCCCCGTGTCAGAGTGCAGTGTCTTCAGCGCTTGATCAGCACCACATGAGAAGCTGCTACCCCAAACCTTGTCGATCGTCTTGCCAAAGCGAGACACGGTCGCGTGCATGTCGCGATGCTCTTCCGTGACCTTGTCGCACGCTTCCTTGACTGACTTGGCCTTGAACACGAACGACTTGACAATCTGCTCCCGCGACTCGCTCGGCACTGGCGCAGCGTTCGTCGTCGTCAGAGTCGGGGTCGGGGTCGCCGAGTCGGACGTCTCCATCATCATTGCATCCGACCCCGCGCCTGTTCAACACACACGGACAAGGACAAGGACAAGGGTGAGCTTCTTCCAATGCACCACTTTGCAGCAATAACGCGTCAGTCCAAGAGTGCGGGTGGCTGCTGAGCTTGCAGTGGCAGCAGCGCAAGAAGCGATGACAGACAGGCAGCGTTCAGTCAGTCCGCTCAACGAGAAGCGTCCGTTCTGACGCCCCGCGCGTCGTCCACAGTGTCATAGGCGTACAAGCAGGACGAAATCGACGGAGAAGGAGGGGGGGGGGCTTCATAACCCCAAACCCGGTCTTTGCAGCCAAAGTTCGTGCTTTCTTTTGCTGTTGCTGTTGCTGTTGCAGTGTACCTGGGTTGGGGTCGACGAGCATCAGACTCTTGGCCTGCTCGAGCTGCTTGATGACATTGTCAAGATGTTGCAGCGTTTTCAGCGTGGTCTGCTTTTGCTTGGTCGAGAGCCGCTTGTGCTCGCTCAGCAGCGCGTCCATTCTGTTGTATGGAGATGTAGATTCTAAGACTGGGTCACTCAACTACATACAATACGGCAATCGTGCTGAAGGGTTTGATGGTCCCCTTGTATTTGTCGCTTTCTAATAAAGACAATCTGGTGTCGTGATACTGTATTATGGGGTCGATGGCGCGCGTGCAGATGGGTTGGGGTGGAACAGGCAAATCAACTTTTGTTGGGTTGAGACCGATTCAATTGCAACAACCTACCTGTTTGATGCGCCACCTCATCGTGGCACATGCTTCGGGCGTTTTCAACGCAACCTGCTCCTTCTTGGTGGTCAAACCGCTGATAGCACTCGATGTGCGATACAAACGAAGAGTACTGCATCAACGAACGATAGGTGAACGTTGAACTTGACATCGCATTCGACGACTCAGCAAGTTTGAGATCCTGAACCGAACATGAACCGAATATGAAACGAGTAGGGAAAACGTACTGAAAACATAAACGAAGAAAAGCGAACACAACAAATAAGAAACGGCTATACACCATGCAAACCACAATAGTTCATTAGCAACATTCTAAGCCTCTTCCGGCCCGTCTTCGTTCCCGGCAATCTCGCCCGCTGGAACGACAGAAAACTCGTTTTCCGTCATTCGAACTTCAAACTCTGACTGGTTGTGCTCGGACTCTTCCGTTCTGTCACTTTGCCCTTCCGATTTTCTCGAAGAGGCCTTTGCGAGAGGATTAATCGACATGTTGTGCTTGGTTGAAGAATCTGTCACATGCAAATCAGCTGAGTGGCTTGCTTCAAAATGGCCCCACCGTACAAGCCATATTCCCATTTGTCAAACGTTACTCTCTTTCTTGGTTGTGGAATTGGGCTGGTAATCCTTATCAGCATGAAACTTCGCCAGAAAGGCTTCGGGGTTGAACCATCTGCCAACCACACCCAAACCCAAAACCCAAAACCCAAAACCCAGCATTAGTGACGACTGTGACTCGTTGACAAGAATCTCATCCCAACACAGCGAGCAACGTTACCGGCCAATGACCGTGGGCCCAAGAATGAGCCAGTAGCTCACGTTCACCATGACCAAAATCATGGCCACGCAAAGCACGCGACCCCAAACCTTTTTCTGCCAAGCCATCACATGGATGACGGCGTAGAAGACACCGCTGATCACGACGCACCAAAACGCAATCTTGGTTTCGCGGAACTCGTTGAGGAACTTTCGGATGCGGCGCAGTTGGACCATCAACCACTGTGATAGCAAGATGCGTCAAATCGAGTGCATGCCCGAGCCAATCATCGTTTCGAGGTAGCGGTCGACAGAGGTTGCTTACCACAACGAGCAACAAGTAAACGATGCAAAAGACCATGAGGCTATAGAGCGCCCACCATTCCATTGAGCACAGGTCGACGTACACGCCCGCAGAGGTGGGCTGCGGAACAATCGGTACGGCGTTCGTGGCTGGGCGAAACAAACAAGTGAGGCCAAAGAAACTGTGCACGCAGCTTCCGCTCTGGACGATGAAGCATCGTACCTGTGGCAATGATGCAGAAAAGGATAACGGGGCTGCAGACCATCACCAATCGACCATACATCCAGGCGCGCGGATTGGAGACGTTCATGCGCATTTTCGTTGCAATCATAATCACGTAGAGCCGGTACATGCGAAGAATGATGCAGGCACACCACATGAGCGCCCCGAAGCAGAACTGAACCCACTGTTGCACGGCAGGCAGTTTGGTGGTGTTGAACCAACCAGGAAAATGGATGGTCAGAACATTGGGTTGGAGACAAAGGAGATCGATCGTGTTCAGCCCGAGCCATCAACGCCTTACAAATGCCCAAAAGTTGCATGATAGCATCGCACCGACTTGAGGAATGGTACGAGTGGCACTGTCGGATTTGGCGGTTGTGTGAGCGGCAATTCCAATTGTTAACAACCAAACCAACAAACCAACGAGCATCACGCGAAGGGTGATTTACCTCATTGCGCCGATCAGCCAAATCCAACCCGCTGGAAGCATTGAATGGAGCATAAGGAGTTGTCGCGAGGGCAGTGTTCAACATTGTGAGTTAAAATTGAACAGACGGCTGTTGTGGTTGTTGTGGTTTGGATTTTGAGTCCGTTTCCCCCCCCCCGCTCCCAATGCATCCGACATTACAGACGAAACTTCATAATCCCTCGTGGATGCGCGAGTATGCATGTGAGCTGTGAGGGAGTGGGCATAGATGGGCTTTGGACCAACAAGCAACAGCCCGCAAGCAGCCCTGCTCTGAATGCACACCAGGCCTCCTTCTTCCTCCCCCCCCCAAGCCTCAAAATCAGCCCATCAACATGCAAGGAGCATCTCCAGTCCATCGCTCATTCTCCTCTGTCTTTCTCGTTTCTAACTCAGCCAGGTCGAGGCAGCAGCGTGCGAATGTCGCTGATGAGACACATGTCAACGCATTTTCGCATCATTTTGGTTGTTTGGTCTTGTTGTTCAAAGTTCTCATGGTTGAGAGTCTCACGCTGAGGACCTCACATCTCCTCTTCCATCTCACAAACGAGACTGCCCTATGGTTGTATTTGGTGGGAGGAGGGGAAGGGCAGGGGGAGGTTGTCTGAGCGCGAAAGGGGAAGGGAAGAAGAAGAGGTGGGTTTGGCCAGCTTTCGCAGCACATGCCTGTCATTGGGCCGATGAAAAGGGCGCTGATTGAATCGCATGCAGGCGGCAGCACAACGTTGCTGGTGTGATGATGATGATGATGATGATGATGATGATGATGATGATGATGATGACGCGAGAGGAGAGAATGGACTTGGGTGTGTGTTGTGTGTGTGTGTGTTGTGTGACCGCAAATTTCCGTCACGATCCATTCGCTCCAACGGCTCCTGCTCTCGCCCCTGCTCTCTAAGAGAGACAGCGGCGCCAACAACGGAGACACCGACGTACATGCTGATGACAGAAGCAGGAAATCGAGCTGCTTGGCGCGGATGGGCGCCCAGTTACGCCAGTAGACGAGGTAGCACGCAACCGTGAAATTGACCAGGAAATTGACGAGCGCGACGCCGTACAGGCCCCATTCTGCAGCGAACGGCGACTCGTCCAGGTTGAAGTCGACGGTCTTGTCTGGCATTTGGGATCTTCAAGCGGTGCTTTGATCGGACAACTCGAGCAGGAGCGTGGGAGGCTGGCTGGGGAGTCAAGCGGGGCGCGCGCGATGGATGGGTTGGACTGAAGTGGCAACGTTCACGTTCCTCGCAATCCCTCAACTCAACTGAACTGAACCGAAGGGACTCAAAAAATGAAAAAGGAATGAAAGCTTTTAAAAATAAGAATAGCAATGAAAACAAAACAAATACAAACAAAACAGAACAAACAAAAAAACAAAAGAAGACCAACCACAAAAAGAACAACGTCCGCGAGCATCATGCTGTCATCGATGTCGGAAACGGGGAGCACCCCCATTGACAAGTTTGAAGGAAGATGGGAGGATGGGGGAGGGGAGGTGTGCTGCAGTTCAACACGAGTGCGAACAAAACCGAATCACAAACGCAAGAATGGGGCTTTTTGTTGTCACCAAACCGCAAGCTCGCGCCGTCAAAAATCATGCGAGGTCATGGCGGGTTCTGAAGAGTCAAGAGCCTCACGTTTTGAAGGTGACACACGCGTCACGCACTGCGGGGAAGGTGGGGGAATGTTTTGCTGTGGTCGCCTATTTGCGATTCCTGATTTGTGATTCTGCTTTTGTATTTTACCTCAAGCCGATCTCGTTCTCCACAGCGTACGAGGAGATCTTTTCGGGTATTAGAACAATGCTACCAGCTTTGGCGAGACTAACCCTGACACGGAGACCCAGGACATCGTCAACAGCCGGTGCGTCTCGAGCGACGACGATCTGGTTGAGTGATTTCCGCTGTCCCGCGGCTCCCTACCGATAAATCTGCCACTAATTGATTCAAAATATAGTTGACATCAAGTATAGAGTGAGCACGTGCCCTCGCTTGCGTTGGGGACGACACGACACAAACAGGCAAACCGGAGCCACATTCTCAGCGTCGGCGAGGCGCCGATCGCCAACCAAGGTACACCGCTGTTCTTTGCATGCGCTCCTTAGACTACTATGTATGTTATTACGGCCAAAGTCACTGGTTTGGTCGACTTGTACGCACAAATAGAACTTTGAGTGGCCTGTCCACTTTATGTTTCCATTTCCACAAAGAGCAATCGGCGCCGGTTTGACGGCCGCCAATCCCGTTCGCCTTCCTCGCACATACACAAATAAATCAGGCAAGTAATTTAAAAGTGAAGCGGGGGGCGAAGAAGACAACAGGACGGTGCTGTGGTCTGAGAACGGACGCAGCAGAACGCCAACAAGTTCTCTTCCATTCAACAATACGGCGTTCCAACCCCCATCGACCCAATCTGACCTCTTTACAAGTATGCAGGTCACTCTTGCAAAAACAACATCACTTCACACACAATGGTAGAGCAGCAGAATGGCAAATTTCTGAAATGGGTTGTCTCGCCATTTGCACTCAAATCAGCCTTCTCATTGTGCAGAGCGACTCGGAGTACGAATCGGACTCGGACAGCGAGACCTACGTCTTCTTCAAGGATCGTCCCCAATGGGCTGATGTCAAGCCGCTGGAGCAGGACGACGGACCCGACCCAGTCGTAGCCATTCTTTACGCTGACGAATGTAAAGCGAGCCTTCGCCCCTCTCCTCAAGCTCCATCAAAGCAATGCCAGTCTCGTTTGTATACATGCGAGACTGACATTGGTAGCTTGTGTCCGACCCCGTTGCGAGAGTGACGGCCGCACACGAGAGGATTGCGAAAGGGGGCACCAACAGCGCGACTCGCTCACTGATTCTGCATCTCGCTCTGACGCGTTGGTTCTGTGTGTGTGTGTGATTGCTCATCTGCAGTCAAGGACAAGATGAACTACTTTCGCGCGATCGTGCAGCTCGACGAGCGGAGCCAGCGCGCGTTCGACCTTACGACCGAGGTTATCAAAGCCAATCCAGCCAACTACCATGCATGGTAATGAATGCTCGTTCGGGGGTTGTTCGGTCGTGGTATTCGGCTATGAAAGGCCCCATCCCATCCAGTGCTCACATGCTCGCTTCGTTCGCCTCGCTGGCAACTTTTTTTTTTTCCTTTTTTTCTTGTGACACTCTCGAAAGGCACTTTCGGCGACTTGTGATGGACGCCTTGAACCTCGACTACCAACCCGAGCTCGCCTTCACCCATCGTCTTGCAGAGGCCAACCCCAAGAACTATCAAATTTGGTTGGTTTTTTGAGGGTTGGCGCGATTTGCTGCGATTGCCCAGCTGCACTATTTGCGTTCCCTTTTGTCTCGCTCCGGGGTTTCTCCTTGCTCACACCGCTCTCTTGTTGACAGGCACCATCGTCGAGTGGTGGCTGAAAAGATTCGCTCGCCTTCGAACGAACTCGAGTTCACTGCGACCCAGCTGGACCATGATGCCAAGAATTATCACGCATGGACGCACCGGTATGGGACAATCATAATTCTTGTCAAAATCTCCAAGAAGGATATTCCACAAACTCATTTTTTTGGCCCATCTGTTTTGCAGACACTGGGTTGTGGAGGCTTTTGGCCTGTGGGACGGACAGCTGGACTACTCGGCGCTTTTGCTGCAGCGCGACGTTCGCAACAACTCTGCCTGGAATTACCGTTACTGGATCCTGTCCAAGACCAACGGGCTTGACTCCTTGGCCAAGATTGACGAGCAGCTTGCGTGAGTCTTTGACTTCCGCTCCGCGTTTTGGTAAAATGTCTCGGGCTGACCTTGACCTCTTTGTTTTCTGTTTCGTGTCAGCTTTGCTTTTGCTCTGATCCGCAAGGCACCCAACAACGAGAGCGCGTGGAACTTTGTTCGAGGGTGAGTGTACAAATACGTCAACGGATTGTGCTGTCTTCACCAACGCCGCTCATCTTTATATTGTTTATTGCCCTTTCCTCAGCGTGGCGAGCTCACGGCGGTTTGGCGACACCCCGTCGATCGAGGCATTCTGCACTGATCTCTCAAAGTCACCAGTACACTACCCGTACTGCCTCGGCCTGCAAGTTGAGATTCAGGAAGAGAAGGCCCTTGCCGGCAATCGCGATGCTCTTCTCGAGCTCGAGAAAGTGAGTGCACCAATCTATCAACATTGGTTTTGCGAATCATTTTTTTTTTTTTTTTTTTTTTTTTTTTTGCATTCACCTCACTTTTCGATTGGAATTCTAGTTGTGCGACAAGCTTGGCAATGAGGTCGACACGATTCGCGCAAAGTACTGGAATTACCGCAAAGTGACTGTTCGCGAGCGCTGCCCCCAGTAGGCGCACGCTCTTATTGTGCACGTTGCTAGTGAAAGGCACCGTCTTGTGTTGTGCACTATGGCTTTTCAGCCAAATACAGAATTGTTGAAGCATTGATCCAGTGTCAAAAACGAAAAGATAGATATCGAAACAACTCAGAAGCAAAATTAACCCGGAGCAACCAACCGAACAAACAACCAAGACACACACAAATCGAAAACAAACAGACAAAAGGAAACCAAAATCACCAGCAATTCTGATCTTTCCTCACCCCCCCCCCCAAACAAACGAAAACGCAACGACAATTTGTAATAGACATTCTCATCGTGAAACGCAGCTGTTGGAAAAAAATGTACAAGGTTTGGTTTGTCTAGGCTTCAGCAGCTGCAACTGTTTCCGTGGCGGCCGCGTCGTCCGGAATTTCGACCTCCTCCATGGTGGTGAGGGCAAACGTGCCACCTTCTGCTCGAATCTCGAATTCTGATTGGTTTTCAACGTTTGACTTTTGCTCGGTGGATGATCGGCTTGTGTCCGGGTTGGATTTGACCGATTTTGTTCCTTCAGGATGCGGCGCAAGAGAAAGTGAGACACCCTTGTTCGCTTCATCCTCCAAAACGCAAACAAAAAAAAAGTACCAACACAAGACGACAATGAACGCGTACCTTTGGACTTGGACTGCTTGCTGGTCGAGTTGTATTCGTAGTCTTTTGTGGCCTGGAATTCGGCAAGGAACTCTTCTGGGTTGAACCATCTGTGGAATACAATCACGACATCGGCAAAGCACGCCCGAGTTGGACAAGAAGGTGAGATGCGAGCTTGGACAAGTGCTTGTCTTCAGCCCACTGTTTTTTTGCTTACCGCCCGTAAACGATACGACCGACGAAAACCCAGTAGGCCACGTTGATGGTCACCAGGATTAGGCAGGTCGCCAGAACGCGGCCCCACACTTGTCGCTGGTACGAGCCAACGTGAATGACAATGTAGACGATGAAGAGGAAGACGATGCAACCAAAGGCAATCTTGGATTCGCGGTACTCGTTCAAGAACTTGCGAATGTTTCGCAACTTGTAAATGAAAAACTGCCACATAGGGGTATTTGGTTTCGGTCAGTATCTCGATTGTGCTTTCAGAGTTTTGTTTTTTGGGAGAGGCCGAATCACCGCGTAGGAAGAAGGACTCGGCATGCATAAAAACGAAAACAAAACAGAACAAAACAGAACGACAGATTAACTCACAGCGCAAACGGCAAGGTAGCATGTGGTCAGCATGAAGAGGACGTAAAGTGCCCATGATCGCAAACTGCACAATTCTTGCATGTATCCGTCTGTAGTGGGCTGTGGTTTCGCGCCGTTTGCATCGACAGCTGGCAAAAGGCGGCGGTGTGTTGAGAGTGAGCGGACCGTGTCATTGACAAACCAAGCAAGAGCACAGCTCTGCCAAACACAACGGAAATAAGCAAGCACTGTCACCACAACGGACGTACCCGTCGCAATGATGGCGAAAGTAATGTAGGGGATGCAAAGTGCGACGAGTCGAATGTAAATCCACAACCGTGGATTCTTGGCAATGGACATGCGCATGCGCGAGGCAACCAGGATGACATAAAGCCGGTACATGCGCATGATGATGCACACAATCCAGAGAAGCGAGCCAAATAGGAACTGGTACCACTGCTCGACGCCGAGACCAGCACACGCCATGTGAACAAGCGTGAGCAAGAGCAGTGGTGATTGCGTGTCACCAAGCCGCCACGCAATTCCCCATTTCGCACTCGTGCCAAACAAATAAAAAAAAACCACAAACAAGCCTTACAAAGGTCCAAAAGTTGCACGCGAGCATGGCTCCTACTTGAGGAATGAGACGCATCACACTATTGAGAGCCAACAAGAGTGAGATTAAGCGTGAGATTTTTGAGCGCGTTTCGTGGCAATATGCACAAGCGAGCCCCCCCAAAAAACGCAAGCCCTGTTTTTGTGTGTTCTTGCTCGGCGAGCGATAACAAGCCTCGCGCCACGGTCGGAGCGCGAGTAAACAAGCTATTTTGCGACGCGCTCGCGTGGAAACCGCGCAAAACCACAACACACGCCGCAAAACAACACGACATGGTTTACCTCATTGCACCGAGAAGCCAGCTCCAGCCAGCTGTGACAAAATTCACGGCACGCAGCGTTGGCAAGCACGACGAGAAGGAGAAGGAGCACAGTCGCGGCATGGTTTTTGTTTGGAAGCAAAGTCGGAGGGGAGCCGAGCGAGCGGCACAAAAACAATTGTTAGCAAAGGAAAATTTCCCGGCAATACATTTTTACCCCGAAAAATTTAAAGTGCGAATTCGGGGTCGAGAGAGAGAGAGAGAGAGAGAGAGGGGCGTCCAGACACAAAAGACAAAGCGTCGTATATGTCCTTTGCACGTGTAATGTCTGAGTGGCTGTGAGTTCCGCGTGTGCTCGGCCAATCAATCCACCTGCCTCATAGCAACCGGTACTTTGTCTTTTTTTTTTTCTACTAATTTTGAAAAAATGTTCGACCGGCTTAAGTTGAGCCGTCCCGTGGCTCTCAGCCTCCCGCTCTCCAGCGTGGATTGCGCAGAGTCGTGCAATACGCACAAGCATTGGGGGGAGCAGCCTCCATCGCCGACAAGCAAAAAAAAAAACAAAAACACAAAAGCGGCCGGCGAAACGCACCATTGCGAGAACCGTTTAATTTTTTTTTGTCGCTTTTTTTTCTTTTTTCTTTTTTCGTAGCTTGTTTCGTGATCGAGGACGCTAAACCACCGACGGCCACCGTTGATTGTTACTTTCCTCCATTGGAAAACGGCACCACCAGGACAATTCACGTGGAGGATGACACATTTTTGCGAGATCATCATCACAGCGGCAGCCGAGTTCGAAGAGAGAGAGAGAGAGAGAGAGAGGGAAGGGGGGGGGGAAATGGCATTGGGTGGAGCAGGAATAGCATTGGAAAGGTGCAAAAAGCGAGGGGGTTGGCAAGAATAGTCCGATTCATGTGATGGAACAAAGAAAAAAAAAAAATACGAAAATTGAGTCAGAAGTAGAATCAGCTCGAGAACCAAACAAAACGAACGGCAGTGGATGCAGCAAAAGGCATTGGAAAAAGAAAGTGCGAAATGCGAAGTGCCCTAGTCGAGAGAAAAAAAATATCAGGGCACGAGCCGGGGAGGAAGAGGGGGAACCGGGGGGCGGATTGACAACGAAAGCGAGTTATTATTTTTTGTTTTGGGTTTTTGCTTCTTCTTCTTCCGACAAATGACGAGAGCTCGAGAGCTGGTGCGAAATTGCGCTTGCATTTACCAAAGGCCGAGAGAAGGAAGAGATCTAGTTGCTTGGCGCGGATGGGAGGCCAGTTGCGCCAGTAGAGGAGATAGGCCGCCACCGAAGCGTTGACGATGAAATTCACAATTGCTATTCCAATCACCACCCACTCTGCCGTGTATGGCATCTCGTTCGGGTTGAACTCGGTCAGCGTCATGGTTGACGAGCGTTGCTGTTGCAAAACTGTGATAAAACGCAGAGGAGATTTGAATGAAAAGGAAACGCGGGAGAGAGCGGAAAAAAAAAAAGATTGAAAGTCGAAAAAAAGAACGGTCAAAAATAACAGACTGAATTTGATAAACTGGGCCAAAACGAACTCGAATTCACAGCTGGTGGGAAATCGAGAGATGCCTTTGAAAACAACACGTGTTCATCCAAATGCATTGAAAGTCAAATCCGAGTATCATCGTATCGCACAACAGCAGCAACGAAACAAGCAAAAAAGTCACAATGAAATTGGTGATCAGTCCTTTTTTTTTTTTTTTTTTTTTTTTTTTTTTTTCGCTTCCTTTTTCACAGGTTTGCCGCTCGTTCTATTGCATTGATGATTGGGGTGTTGTCGGATGCTCGCTCTGTCTCTGTCTCTCGCTGGTCTCGCTGGTCTCTCGTCTTCTGAACGTGCGCTCCTGAGTGAAATTCCGGGCGGTGGTTTATGATCTGGTGTGCATTGGGATGCTCGTCCACCAAAATGCACCATTTCCCATCAACAGCGATCCCTCCCTCCCTCTCTCTCTCTTACTCTCTTACTCTCTCTTACTCTCTTATTCGATCTACCGAACGTTCATGTCCTTGGTTGTGGCTGACGGCGTGGTTGATCCCAGCTGTTTTTTTTTTTCTTGTCTTTTCGATGACTTGGTCATTGCTTTTCGTCTTTACTCGTCCTGTTCTCTTCCTGCTCCAGGATCAACGGAGTCCACCCAATAATCACAATCATCATCACCACCACCACCACCACGACGACACAAAGCTCAAACTCTCGTATCTGCAACGACCCTCAAACTCATTCTGTGGTTCACCCACCTCCGTTTTTTTGCTGCCAGCTCTCGGACCCCAAACCCCACCACCACCACCACCACCACCACCTGTTCTGTTGCCCAAAACAAATGTCAAGGCCATGGCAGCGTTTGGGCAACTCCTTTGAGGACGAGGGCGACGAGGACGATGGCGGCACCACGACTGGCGCAGGCAGCTCGGGCAGCGCGGGCGGCTCTTCGCCACGGCACTACTCGTCCGCCAGCCACAGCGAGCATTCGGTGTCCAGCGCAGAGCTGTCGGATGCAGGAGCACACGGCAGTGCCCCAGAGTTCCGCTCTGACGGAAGCCCGCGGGCGCTGGGCCTGGGCACACCATCGCAGCGAAGCTTTTCTGCACGGAAGAAGCCGTCGCGCCTGTCCTTCCTCAGGTCACCCTCGCGGCAAATGTCCGTCTCGAGTCCCGCGTCACCGTACGACACTGACCACGACGAGTCAGACCAGGAGGAGATGGACGAGATCCACATGCACGATCCACATCTCGGAGGGCCAAACTCGTTCGCCATGAAGGAATTTGGCGCGCTCTACCGCCGAAACCCGACCGTGCGGCTCAGCATGCCCGCGCCCGAAGTCGGTATGTACAATCACCAATGGCGAATCAGTCATGGAGAGTGTTTGAAGTGGGGGTGGGGTGAGGAGGGACGATGCAAGGTGTCTTGAAATGCATTGCTCACTTCGCGCCCGTTTGCCGCATTTCCCCCCGCAGTCAATCCGAAAAAGCCAAAGCTACCAACCTTCTCAGGAGTGTTTGTGCCGACCTGCGAGTCCATGTGGGGCGTCATCATCTTTCTACGGTTTGGCGTCCTCACTGGCCAGGCGGGCGTCGGGTATGCCCTCTTCTCGGTGCTGCTTTCCGCGCTCTGCGTGTTGATGAGCACGTCCTCCCTTTGCGCTGTCGGCACCAACGGCAAGACGCCCGCGGGTGGCACCTATTACATTCTAACGCGATCGCTCGGCCCAGCGCTCGGCGGCTCGATCGGCCTCTTGTACTACTTTGGACTCACCTTCATGTCCACCGTCGAAGTGGTCGGATTCACAGAAGGCTTTCACATTATTCTGCTCGACGCCTCGGAGCTCAGCTCACTCACCGGCAGCGCCTACTGGGACCAAGTACTCATCGGCTTTGTCGTCCTGACCTTGTTGTGTGCCGGCTCGTTCATTGGCGTCAGCTTTGTGCACCACATTGGCCTCGTCTTCTTGTCTGGCCTGCTTCTCGCGTACGCCGCGGGCTTTGTTGGCTTGTTTGCCACCACGGGAGGCTGGGCTGTCGGCGAGGTGGACATTGCACACGACGCCAATTCCACGCTCAGCATCACTGGTCTGAATACGCAAACCTTGCGCGATAACTGGGCTCCAAAGTACTCGGAGGGCTGGGACTTTAGCATTGTGATGACCTTCATGTTCCCATGTTTCATTGGAATCTTCTCTGGCGCAGACATGAGCGGCGAGCTTCGAAAGCCCTTCAGCTCCATTCCTCGCGGCACGTTTGCTGCCATCATGGCGTCGTCCACGCTGTACTCGACCATCATTTTGTTGCTCGGCGCGGTTGCAGCCCGCGAAACCTTGCAATACGTCGAGCTCACGTTTGCGTTTGTCGCTTGGCCGACCAAATGGGTGACGCTCATTGGCATTCTCCTCGTTTCGCTCGGTTCTGCCATCCAGCTGTTGACGATTGCTCCGCGCATTCTCAACGCCATTGCGGCCGACGGTCTTCTGCCGCCCATTCGTTTCCTTGGCCTTGACCGCATGTGGTCGCACGAGCCGCGCCGCGCCCTGTTTGTCACGTATCTGCTCGCCATGCCGTTCATCTTTGTCTCCAATCTCGACACCATTGCAACCATCGTCACAATGTGCTTCCTCCTCTGCTACGCCATGATGAATCTGGCCTGCTTTGCGCTCAGCGTCGTGCGCACGCCCGACTGGCGTCCGCGGTACCGGTACTACCACTGGTCGATTGCGCTCTGTGGGTTTGTGTTTTGCATTGTGCTCATGTTCTACATTGAGCCGATTGCCGCTTTCGCGTCGATGGTCTTTACGTTCTGCCTCTGCGTCTTTGTCCAATTCTACGGCTCCAAAGCAGTGTGGGGTTCGGGCTTCCGCGGAGTTCGCTTCCACCTTGCCCTCTTGTCCCTGCTCGCCATCGAAGAGGCCGACACTGAGCAGGACTTGGGCGAGCTAATTCGTCAATACCTCCCAGCAAGCTCGCCAAAATTGCACGAGAGCATCAAGCAACTCTGCTCTCGCCTCCTGTTCTGGCGGCGGCGGCCGCGTGGTCGCAATAGCGCCCAGCGTTATGACAGCGAAGAAGTTCTCGAACGAGACACGTCTGCCTTTGAGATGACGCCACAGCCACCTCTGCCCCAAGCTGGCGCCGATGGTGGTCAGCCTTCGAGCGGCGGCGGCAGCAGCGGCAGCCTGCCCAGCGTTTTGCCAGACAGCCTCCCCCTGCCAGAGCACAACAAGCCCACCGGCAAGTGGCGCCCACAGATTCTCTGCTTTGACCAAATCTACGACGATGGCCGGTTGGCGCACCCAGGCCTCTTGTCGTTTGTGCACCAGCTCAAGGAGCTTCGCGGCCTGACCATGGTAGCCTCTGTCGTTTCCACCAAGCCTTTCTTCCCCGAGCCACCGCCCGGCACCAACCCCGAGCGGTTTTACTCGTCCACGCGGCGGGCCTCCTATCGACGAGTCACCGAGCACGTGAACGAGTGCAAGCGCCGCCTGCAGCTCAAGATGATTGAGTACCGCATTTCTGGCTTTGCCGAGGTCGTGTCTGCACCGACCTTTGAGATTGGCAAGTCCATCTTGCTGCAAACCGCGGGTCTTGGTGGCATGAAGCCCAACACTGTGGTCACGGGCTGGCCAACTTCCTGGCGAGCCCAGCCCGAGGTGGCACGCAGCTTCCTCAACACGGTGGAGGAGATTCGCGCCGCAGACAAAGCCATGCTCATTCTCACCGGTCTGTCTGCATTCCCCGGCATCGACGACCAGATGACTGGCACGATTGACATTTGGTGGATTGTGCAGGAGGGTGGCTTGCTCTTGTTGATTGGCCACTTGCTCGCCAAGCACAAGGTGTGGCGAAAGTGCCGCCTGCGTCTCTTCACTGTCGCCGAGCTGAGTGACAACTCGATGGCGATCGAGGAGCAACTGCGCAACATGCTCGACCAGCTGCGAATTGCAGCCGAGGTCAAGGTGATTGAGATGACGCGAGAGGACTTTGATCCCTTCACGCACGAGTGGACCATTGCCGCGCAAGACCGCATGCGACTCGCCAAGACGACCGTCCAGAATGTTGGCAAGGGCATCTTCCCGTCACTGGTCGACGAGCTGTCCGGTGTGAAGCACATTCCAAAACAAGCGATGAGCGCCTTCGAGCGCGCTTCCCGCAGCATGGCTACGGAAGACGTCGATGGCACTGTGGAAGACTTTACCAACAGTGCCCCCGAAGAGCAGCACGCTGGCATTCCAGAGGCTTGGCGCACCGACCATACAGCGTCCGGTGCTGACAGCACGGGCGGCTCTGCGTTGCTGACGGAAGTTGCGCTCTCCACCCCCGAAGCCACCACCACCACCAACAACAACAACAACACCAAGAAGAGTCGCTTTGCAGTGTCCTACGTCGAGGGTGCGCCGTCAGTCATTCCTGCAGCAGCTGCTGCTTCCACATCTTCGGCACAGCCCCCGGCAGCAGCAAGCACGAATGGCACAGACGCTGCACAGACCAAGCCTACGGACAAGGCTCAGACGTTTGTGCAAAAGCGGCAAAAGAAGCAATTCAAATCCTTCCTGAAGATTAGCGCTACCGATCGCCTGAAGAGCGCCATCGAGGGCCAGTCCCGCGACGCATCTCTTGTGCTGATCAATCTGCCCGTTCCGGACGAAGCAGCATTCCGTCGCCCCGAGGAATGGATGAATCTGATTGAGCTGCTGACTGGATCGCTCAAGCGTACGTTGCTGTTGCATAGCGCCAACCAGCAAGCCATCTCTGTTTACAATTAACGCAACCCCCTCCTCAAACCTTCATTTTTTCTTTCGTTTTTTTTTTTGAAAACAATCGATCATTTGCTTGTTCGTTTTCGAGTCGTCTTTTCAGTGCAATGTTTTGATGTAGCTGTAATATGGTTTTTCTGCAATGCAACGTTGCAAATTGCAATTTAGCATTTTCTAGTCATTCACAGTCGTGAGAGTCGAGACTGTTGGTTGTCGTTGATGCACGTATGCATGGATGGCGAGTTTGTGGACATGTTAGCACCGAAATCGGCAAGTTAAATTGAAGACAAGAACAATCGAGCATACATTTGCTTCGTTCATATTGACACTAACATCTTGCATTGTCTCCGTTCATATTGACAACTAACATCACATGCCACCTGAAAGCGACTTCAGAGGACGTGCTTCTTCTTGAGCTCTGCCTGAGTCGGGCGGTGCTCCAGCTTTTCGGTGAGCTTGTCTTCAATGATGGCCTTCTTCAGCGAGTCTTGAGTCGACTGGAGTGATGGCGCAACGCTGCGGTCTAGTTGTGCGTGAACAAGAATGCAGCGAGACACATAGGTGAGGTACGAGAACAAACTGTAAACCATTCCAAACGCCACGCAAGTGTCTGGCTTACCGTGCATGATGTGCTGCTGAACAAGATCGCTGACTTCGGGGCGATTTTCAAGCTTGTGGTTGAGCTTGTCCTCGAGCATGTGCTTCTTCAGGTCGTCATGGGCATGCTGAAGAGCTGGGGCGAGTCCTCCATCTGCGCAAACAGGCAATTGAAAAACGCTCGACAAGTGAGTAAACACAGCACATCGATCGGCATCGGAATTTGAGTAAAAAATTGATCACAAAGGTCGGGGAGGAAGCGAAAAAAAAAATCGATCTTGTCGGGGTTTTGGTTTTGTTCAAAATGAGCTTGCTCCCAAAAGAGCAACTACAACATCCATCCAACCACCTCCCCGCGCTCCCTCCAGTGACGGGTACGTCACCATGAACACTACGCACTCATTTCTGCAGCTGGCACAAGAAAGCGCTTGGCAAGAACGGAATCCCAAAAGAACAACGCCGTCATCAAAATAAAATATTCGAAATCGGATTGTGTTCGAAAACATCAACGCAGGCCAATCCTCTCGTGCAGGAGTGCCACGTCGCGTGTGCCACCACCCCCAAAAGTACCACATAAAATACATACCCTTGATGATGTTGTGCTCGACCAGGTCGTGGACGGGAGGACGGTGCTCAATCATGTGGTTGAGCTTGTCTTCCATGCGCTGCTTCTTGAGTTCCTCCTCGGCGGCTTGGAGGGCAGGAGCCAAGTGCGAGTCCTTGAGAATGTTGCGCTCGACCAGGGTCTCCTTGTCGGGCCTGCTGGCCAGCTTCTGGTCGAGGGTGATGCCAGTAGAGGCCATGGTGGCGTCGCGAGCTGCAATGTGCGGCATTGTGGTGTTTTGTGTGTAGGTAGAATCAGAACAAAGGTTTTCGGTAAGACAATCGATTCCGACGATTGAGATTTTTTGTCAACCAAAAAAACAACGACTGCATGTCCCATGATGCCAAAATAGGCCCTTTAAAAACGAAAAGGCCGATATGACGCATGATGAAAATGTTTCACAAAGGGGTTTTTGGACGTGTCTTTCTTCTTCTCTTCCTTCTTTGATATTTTCGACCCCATTCCTACGTCGCTTCCCCGCATAGGAAAATGAGCAACGCAAAGCACTCGAACCGCACCAGAGGAGGGGGCGACAGAGGGGCGACGAAGCCGAATAGAAACAACAAGCGTCATCATCAAAAGCGAAAAAAGTGCGAAGAACAAAAGTGCGCATTCGAACCAAGACAATCCCTTGACCACAATTTTCCCAGAGATCCCCTCCAACTCAGACTTACAGTGCAAATCGGCGGCATCCTCGGTCGAGTTGATGAGGGAGGCGGCTTCCAGCGGTTCGGGACGCGCGGCCAGCTTGGAATCGAGCGTCTGTCGGAGTCGTTCGCGCTCCAGCTCTGTCTGCGCAGCCTGAATGGCAGGCGCCGTTTCGAGGCCTGCCAGCAATCAGTTGGCAAGGTTGTTTTTTTTATCGGATTGGTTGTTTCAGAAAAAAAAGAAACCAAGGAAGAAGAAAAAGAAGAAGAAGAAGCAAGGAAGAAGGTAAACAGAAGCAATGAAACAAGAAACAACGCCAAGACCAACGCACATCCGCAAAAGGCACACGAGCCAAGTAAACAGTTTAAAGAACACAGTCAAACAAGACGAGAAAGTAAATACAAAGAGGGGCACATTGGGGAGTGGGGGTCAGTAACAAGTCGGAGAGTGCGAAACAACAGAAATCAAAACGAGCGTACTTTTCAGAATGTTGCGATCGAGCAGCTCGCTCGGTTCCATGCGCTGCGACAGGCGGTTTTGCAGCTTGATGGCCGCATCAGCATGCTCAGCTTCGTCTACACACCCATGTATTGATAAAGGACGGGATTAGCAAAGGAGAAAAAAAAAAGGCTCAAATGCTCAAATTCAATAAAAAAAAAAAAAGCAGCAAAAACAGCAAATTTTGTCAGAATTTGGAAATTGAGAAGCATGAAATGTTTCCAATCGGACCACGAGCGCACGATCGCGAGTCTGCCGCCGAGCGCCGAGTGCGTAGCAAAGCCAGTCCAGTTGCATGTCGAATGGTTGCAGCAGCGCACTGGCAGGCTGCTGGCGAGAGTCCGAGGGGCAGAGAGGGAGAGCGCGAATTTCAATGGGAGCTGCCAAATGCGGCAGGTTTTTTCGCATCTTTCGGAGTCATCTCGCGTGCTTCCGCTTCCCCCCTCTGCTCACTCGCTTGCCAACGACTGCATTGACTCGGTAGCAACACGCAATGGTGTGGTGAACGACGGCGACGGCGCGACGAACAGCTGCTTTTGCACCAATTTGCCGATTGGAAAAGTGCCAGTTTTTCATTTTCACAACCCCGAACCGTTTTTTTTTTCTACTTCACTCACTGGAATGGACGGAAAGGGCGACGGCAGCCGACATTCTTATTGGTTGGATTTTGTAAAAAAAAGGGGCGCAGAAAAATCTCAGTGAAACAAGAGTGAGCTCTTTCTGAGCGAAACGAGCCCAATTCACGCTTTCTTTTACTGTATCCGACCACCAGTCAACGCTCAATTCATCCAATTGACACAGCTCTGTTCAACCCGTTCCTTTGCCTTCTTTGTTCTGTCGTTCTTCCTACCCACTCTCTCTTTCTCTTTGGTAAATCCGCTGTGCCATTGCTCAATGCATTTCCATTGACTTGCTTGTGCTCTTCCCCGCCGCTCCCCCCTTCCTCGCCGCCACTCACCCCACCGCCCCCTCCCCTGCCGAGTGGCATCTCACAGTGCACCACCCGAATTATAGAAGCGATCTCGTGAGAAGTGGAAGCCCCACCATCGAGACGAATCCCCATCGCTCTCTCCACGTGGAACTTGAACCCCCCTTGAAAGCCACCACTCTCGCCTCCAACTGCCTCGCTTGGCACATCACTCTCAGCATCACTCAGCATTGGCATCTGAGACGAACTGACCGCATCCCGTTGCATTGCATTCGCCCTTATTACAGAACTCCCCTATTGAATGGCGCGCTCAGGCCTCATCCCAAAGTCCAAGACCAACCACCGGCAGAAGCGCAACGCAATGCCGCGCGATCCCGCCGCTGCGTTTGCGTCTGGATCTTCGGGTGTCCGCAAGGCCAAGACCCGCCGTGGAAAGCGCATCCTGGAAGACCGCGCGCCAAAGATTGAGGAAAACCCAAAGTCGTCGCTGTTTGTTCGTGGCGGCAACACGTCCGAAGTCATCACAAACTGCCTGCGCGAGTTTAGCCTGCTCCGCAAGCCACACACAATCAACCTGCGTCGTAAAAACCCAATTCACCCGTTCGAGGATGCGACGTTTGTCGAGTCGTTCTCGAAAAAGTACGACGCGTCGCTGTTTGCCTTTGGCAACCACTCCAAGAAGCGCCCGCACAACTTGATTCTCGGGCGTACCTTTGACCACCAATTGCTTGACATGATCGAGTTTGGTGTGCAGGACTTCAAGTCGCTGAGCGATTTTAAGAATGAAAAGAGCGTGCAGGGCTCCAAGCCGTGCCTGTTCTTTGCCGGCGACGGGTTTGAGCAGCTCCCCGAGCTCAAGCACGTCAAGAACCTGCTGGCAGACTTTTTCCGCGGCCCCGTGGTCGACAAGATTGCCCTCGCAGGCCTCGACCACGTCATCACCTTTGTTGCGCTGAGCGACAAGAGCATTCTGCTCAACCACCACCGCATTGTCCTCAAGAAGAGCGGCACCCGGCTACCACGCGTCGAGCTCGAGGAGATTGGCCCCTCGATGACCCTCGAGATTCGCCGCACCCAACTCGCCTCGGACGACCTGCGACGAGACGCTCTGCGTGTGCCCAAGCAGCTTAAGCCAACCAAGGTCAAGAATATCGAATACGATTCGCTTGGCAACAAGCTCGGCCGTGTCCACATTGCACAGCCCGACCTTGCCGAGTTGCAGACGCGCAAGATGAAGGGTCTGAAGCGAAGTCACGCCCAAGCGGACGCTGATGATGATGATGATGACGGTGTGGACGCCAGCCAACCCGAGCCTGTCCAGCCGCGTGCCTTGCCTGCTGCTGCTGCTGCTCCTGCTCACAGCCCTAAGCGAGCGCGCGCTGATTCGGATGCGGCTCCTGCGCCCAAGGTTGCCAGCCCCGCCATCAAGGCTGCTGCCTCGCCCAAGATTAGCCCTCGTGTCACTCGCAGCAAGGCCAAGGTTGCTCGCAAGTAATAGCTGCAACATGTGGTGTGTCCAACAGCTCTAGCTCTGCAGAAAAAACAAACCTGGTCAGTCGACATTGAACAAAACTTGTTTCGTTTTGAACAATGGCGCGGATTTGCTGCTCTGTGTTGGTTTTCTCTCTCTCTCTAATGCTGTGATTTCCTTCTGCCGCTGATGATGTATTTGATGTCTGGTTGTGAATGTCGTTGTTGCTTAATCTCCAATTTCATATTGACAAAACAACAAATCCAATCCTTCTTTTTCTTTCTTTCTTTTTTTCCCACTGATCTTTCTTTGTTGTCTCGTTTTCTGTCTCCATTCTCCCTCCCTCCCTCCCTCCCTCCCAAACCACCAGTCCGATGCTGAAGCAGACTGGGTTGCAAGCAGCCGGTCCGAGCGCATCGTCGCCGCTGGCTGGCGTGACTGGCGTCGACACTGCCGTTGACGAGCACTTGTCCCTTGCCACCGCACAGGTTTCTGAATCCTCACTTCCCCCACTTTCCCCGCATCCTTCCTTGCTTCTCGCTCCTGCCACTCGTTTGGCTTGTTGTTAAGAGTGGATCGTCGTCGTGGTCTCCGCTGTTTTGATGACTTTGAGGATTCCCCCTTCCTTTGGTTTTGACCCGTGATTGAGACGCTTGACGCTTGTGACTGCTGCGATGACTTCCCCCCCTTCCTCCCTGCTTCTCTCAACTCACACACGCTCAACCTGCAATGTATTCACTCTCATGATTTCGGATTCTTTCGTATCCGAGTGTCGTGGTGTATCGGCCGACTGATCATCTCTTCCCTCCTCTTTGAAACACACAGTCGCGCATTGGGTATCGACAGCAAGACGGACAAGGCGCTGCTGCGGGACCACCGTCGGCCGTGCCGAGTGCTGCACTGTCATCCAGCAGTCGCTCGGCGTCGCTGGAGGAGCCGACGCTCGACATGTCGGCTGCCATGATGAGCGCGGTGGCGGGAATGGTCGCAATGCCAATCTCGACACAAACACTCGAGCCTACATCGCCTCCGTTGTCGCCGCCGCCACTCGCAGCCCAACCCGCGCTCGCAAGTGGAAGCTCGTCCGAGCACCCATCCATCCATGGCTGGCTGAACAAGCTTGGCGCAAAGGGCTTGGTGAAAACGTGGAAGACGCGATGGATGGTGTTTCAACCATTCAGCTGCCAGCTGCATTACTACGAGAGCCCCAAGGATGTCTATCCTCTTGGGTAAGTGAATCCGTTGGGTGGTGGTGGTGGTGGTGGTGATGATGATGATAGCTAGTGGTCGTGCCTAACGTGGTTTGTTGTTTCTCTTCTCCTGCAAACAGAACGATTGACATTTCCAACGCCACATTCACCATTGACAACGATGCCAACAAGCACAGCGACTCTGGTCACTTTTCCATCAAGTAAGAGACGCGGTCTTTGCTCCTTGATTGCGTGGAATAGGCATGTTCGTATTTGCTAACGGTCTTGTCGTGTCACGCAGCACGGAAGCCCGCCGATATATTCTTGCTGCGCGAGACAAGGAAACAATGCTGGGTTGGTTGGGATCGCTGCAGGAGGAGCGACAGCGCTATCAAGCGCGCATCCAGTCAAATACAAACACAACCGCAACCACTCCTCCCGCGCCCGTGAGTGCAGCTGCGTCTCTGGCTCCCACGCAGGCGGCTGTCTCACCCGAGCCCGCACTCGCGCCCAGCGGCACAGCTTTGCCTCCCTCGACCGCTACAACTGCGCCGCCCGCAAGGCCGAGCCTTGGTACGGTCTCTCCATCCGGTTCGCCTGCATCTGAGCGTCGTGGACCACCCCCGAGGCCTCTTCCGTATGCCGTGTATTTGGAAAATAGCATCGCGGCAGCAGCCGAGACCGGCTCTAGTGCCAGCAGTAGTACCGAGGCACCACCGCAAGTCACCACCGCCCAGCCCACACCGTCAGCACCTGGTAGTGGCGCGGATGCCACAAGCACGGCGGCTCCGGTAGCGTTGGAGCCAGCACCCAGCGCTCCACCGTCTGTCAGTACGGCCTCAACCTCGTCGTCAAACCGATGGTTTTCTTCCCTCAAGTTGAAGACTGCGCTGGGTGGCTCTGGTTCGGCGACTGGCTCTGGCTCTGGCTTTGGCTCTGGCGCTGGCTCTGGCTCTGGCTCTGGCGTTGGCTCTGCATCCAGCTCTCCCGGCAATGTGTCCCATCCGGCTACCCCGGGGTCGGCACAGCGCAAGGCCAGCGACACCACCGACTCCAAGCCCTTCCAACGGTTTGGCTTTAGCATCAAGCTCGGCAAATCGACGGACAGCGCAACCATCGAAAGCTTGCGCGACGAGCTGGCGCAAGCAGAGAAGGACATTTCGGTTCGCGAGGAGGTTCTGCAGTCGCTTTACCAGAGCATCAAAGAGTTGGATGCTGAGCGACAGTCGCGCGCGGCCCTCGACCGCTGCGCGTCAGACAAAGAAAAGGAGGAGCTGCTTGTTGTGCGCGATCGACGGGTGATGGAACTCGAGAGCAACATTCACGAAATGAGCAACGAGCGTGACACGGCTCGTGCCGAGGCAGATGCTGCGCGGGCGCGCATCGCCGCACTTGAAGAGCAGCTGCTGGCCATTTCGGATACGCTCGTTGAGCGCGATCGTGAAATTGTCTCGCTCAGCGATAAAACAATTGATCGACACCAATTCCAGACGGCGCAAGCCGAGATCAGGAAACTCCGCGAGGAGAACACTGCCTTGGCCGAGCGCAACTCGTTTCTCACCTCTGAAAACAACGCTGTCATCCAGTTCCGCACCGACAACGACCGCACTATCGCTCGCCAGCAAAAGAAGATTGCCCAGTTGGAGGGCGACCTCTCGCGCGCTCGATCGTCCTACTATGCTCTTCTCCAGCGCCTTCCGGCCTCGCAAGCGGGAACGGCCAGCTCTGGACTGGGTAGTGAAGGTGGTGGAGGCATCGCTGACCTCGATCCAACCCTGCCTGCGTTTGCCGAGCCGAGTGACGCGCCCAACGATGCTGCGCTCGACTCGCTCGGCCAGTACGATCAGTACGGCTTCTTGGAGCCCTCGAGCTCGGATGCGCTCGGCTCGCTGATCAAGCACAGCAAGAAGCAAGTCGCTACTCAAAGCGAAAGCCTGCAGGAGACTCGCTTGCAGCGCTGGAACCGCTACATGCAGACACATTCTGGCAAGCCGATCGATCCCAACGCGAAAGAGTTAAAATCCCTCGTGCGGAGCGGCATTCCGGAGGAGTTCCGGACAGAGATCTGGCTCGAGTGCATTGAACGGCTCACCGGCGACGACCGCCGCATGATGGGTGCTGGGCACTACTTCAAGCTGCTCGAAAGCAATGTGCGCAAACAATCGCGAGCGACCCAGCAGATCGAGCTCGATCTGCTCCGAACGCTGCCGCTCAATGTCAATTACTCGACGCCCACAGCGCCAGGTATTGCAAACCTGCGTCGTGTGCTAGTCGCCTACAGCTGGCACAACCCGCAAGTCGGTTACTGCCAGGGCATGAACCTGATTGCCGCCATCCTCTTGCTCCATCTCAACGAGGAGGACTCTTTCTGGGGCCTTGTCGCGCTGATTGAGCATGTCATGCCGCCGGACTACTACAATGCCTCGCTGATTGCCAGCCAAGCCGACCAGCGTGTCTTGCGTGATTTGCTGCAGGAGAAGTGTCCGCGTCTCTTTGCCCATCTCGACAAGCTCAAGATTGATCTGACCATGATTACTTTCAACTGGTTCTTGACGCTTTTCGTGGATGCACTGTCCCCTGAGGTGAGATTGAAGGGAGGCCAAAGAATGTGTGGGTCGGTTGGAATCGGGGATTGCGTTTGTGTGTTCCTAACTTGTGTCTTGTCTTTTTTTTTCCCCTCTGATCCCTAATTGCAGGTTCTCTTCCGTGTGTGGGACACATTCTTCCTGGAAGGCAACAAGGTCCTCTTCCGATATGCGCTGGGATTGCTGCGCGTGAACGAAAAGACCTTGCTTGCAATGGACGACTCGCTGGCCATCTTTAACTATCTGAAGAATCTTTCAACAAAGTCCTTTGACCCGGATGTGCTTTGGAAGGTGAGCGTGTGTGTCTGTGCGCGGGCACTTTTTCGATTGCATTTTGACAGACTGGAGGTTTTCTCACTGCGTTGTTCTTTGGCTTCTTTTTCGAGTAGGCGAGCTTCCCCGATTTGAATCCATTCCCAAAGTCAAAGATTGCCCAGCGCCGGCAGCACCACCTGACAATGGTCAAGAACGAAGTCAACGATCTCGAGCGAAACCGTGCCGATTACATTCGGCGGAAGGCTCGTGCCGAAATCGAGGCGCAAGAACGTCTACGCACACAACGACTGCACGAGGAGGAACAAGAAATGCTCAACTCGCAGCAACAGCAGTTTCAACACAATGCCGCCATTCTGGAGCAAGAAACAACAGCGACAACAACGGCAGCGGCAGCGGCCACTGCAGCAACTGTCACTAGCTCGCCAGAGCGAGCCAGCTTCACCACGTCCATCGCTGGCGCAACATCGCCACCGCTGCCTTCGTCGCCGACCGCATTGCGCACAACCATGCCCTTCTTGACGTCGCCCCTGAAGACTGCACCAACGCTTGCTGTAACCCAGTCCGACGGCAGCTCGATCGCACAGCCCACGCCCGCACTGCTGGACGGTGCGGAGCACGATCAGACCCTGCGAGATGAGCTTGCACACGCCACGTCAACTGCCTTGTTAACGTCCCAGTTTGGGCTCGAGTAACGCGCGAGGTTTTTCGGTTTTTTGGGCTCGAGTAACATTGTTTTCGTTCGTTGTTTATGTCCTTGTTGTGGTTTCACCCTCTCCTTCAAATATCAACCGCTATTTGCTCGCAATCACCCTCATTGTTGTGTCGAGCACCTCTAATTCGCACACAATACACAATGCGAACTGAGCGAGGGGTGATGGTGATGACAAAGTCAAGGGTTCGGTTCAGTCTCCCATTCGTTCTCCCCTCTTCTTCTTGTTCATTCCCGCCGCCTTGCTGCTCGTCCCATGGCGACCCCTTCCGGAGCCGGCAGTGGCGTCGCGTCCGCTTCCAGCAGCAGTGGCCACAGTAGTCGTCTGAATAGCATCAGCAGTTTGAGTGGCAGCGACAGTGGCATTGGCGCGGAGGTCTTTGTAGATCCAATCAAGTTGCTCAACCAGCGCGCTGCGGATGTGCCACGGCCACGCAACTTTGCGCAGATGGTCCATGTCTTGCACAGCCTGATGTCACAGGTACACACTCGCCTTCTTGCTCTCTCTCTCTCTGTCTCTCTTGAGTGAGAGTGTGTGAGAGTGTGTGACGTGAGGCTCGTTCTTGATTCGCTCTCCGTCTATTTCGCTCTGGTGACCTCGTCCGACCCCCTTGCTTGGGGGTTGTTTGTTTCCCCCCCCCCTCCAAGCTGCAAGCTGGACTTTTGGCTTGACGCCTTTTGTTGAGTTGGTCGACGCGACCGTCGCTGGTGTGCGTGTCTTGCTTTTCAGCATGGCAAGGTCGCGCCATTTTTTATTTTTTTATTTTTTTATTTTTTATTTTTTATTTTTTATTTTTTATTTTTTATTTTTTCCCAACATTCTATCGGCTTCTCAGTGTAAAATGCATTCGACAATGCCATGTGGAGCACTACAGTAGACGAGCATGTGCAACCGTACCGTGCGGTGTGCAAATTGCTCTAGAATGTGCCTTCTTGATTGCCGGGCGCTTGTACAAAGTTGGTGGCACAGCGAATGTCGGGTCTGAGCACAGAGTGTGCAAGCTTTTTTTTGTTGGTTTTCATTCACTATTGAACTGACTTACAACTTTCCTTCGTCGCGACTGCTACAGGCCAATGTTTACATGTCAGAAAACCGCCTCGAGCAAGCCTACGTGCTATTCATGAGATACACAATGTAAGAGATTTAAAATGCATTCAGATTATGGCTTCGAGTCGATGAACGAACAAGAACACATGCTGGGGGAAACGGATGAAACCCACTCACGAGCTCACGAGGTCGCTCGCAGAATCGTTTTGGAGCTCTCACGCTCGTTTCCAGAGGCAAAGGCATCACCCGAAAACAAGCAGAAAGCAATGAAGTACTTTGCTGTAAGACACTATGACGATCCGGCAGTTGGCAAGCACTTTTTTTGTTTTTGTTTTTTGGGCTCATCCCACAAATCACACAAATCACACAAATCACACAAATCACACAAATCACACAAATCACACAAATCACACAGCTATGCAAAACGGCACTTTCACAATTAGAAAGCATCCGCGCGCAATTACAGGCACGGCACGAGGAAGAGCAGAAGAACTACATTGTTCAAAAGCAGGCAGAGGCACTCGCGCGGGCCAAGCAGGAGGCAGACGACGCCAAACTGGCGCGCGAGGTGCTTTCCCAAGACGCACAGCTATTCCGGGAAGAGCAGCGCCGAGACCGTGACTCTCGCATGGGCACACGGCGAGAGCCCAGCGAGGCCCGTCGTTCCACCAACACGCGCTCGATACCGGACTTTTCCGTCGTCGTGGGCAACCGACCCGTCCCACTTCCGCCAGCAGATCCCGCCATCTCGGGCACCTACCAACCGTCGATAACATCAAGCTCAGCGCCATTATTCCAGGATCCCTCACAGCAAAGCCAGCCGCTTTCTCGCTCCACGAGCATGTACGCCTTGAATCGCCCTCCTCCCCCGATTCCGACGACCGGGCCCAGCTTGAGTACCAGCCAAAGCCAGTTGCTTTTGCCGACGCCCTCCATTGATCGGAGTGCAAAGCCCTTCCTCGGCGGACAGGCATCCGACGACCCAGACGGCGGGTCCCGCCGTTCAAGTCGCGCCCCGTCGCCAAGAATGTCCCCTTCGCCGTCCGTGCACTCCCTCACGGAACTCACCGTACCAATTCCGCTGCAGCCAGCTGCCAACTCTGCCGGCACGGCACCGCCACCTGTTCCCCGGAGCGCCAAGCCCACTCTGTGTAAGTTTGATCAGTCGCTCTCTTCTTGTTGTTTCCCCCTCTCGCTTTTGCCATGCTTGAGTACACTGCTGTGCATGTCGTCTATTTCGAAGGTGCTGATCTGGGCTTTTATTTGTTGGTAGCTGGTCAATTTGAAATGTTCAACGAAACGCGACTGGTGAGCGTCCCGCACGACACAATGTCGACCTTTTTGGCTCTTGCGCAGAGCAACACTGACCGCAACCTCGAGACTTGTGGTATCCTGGCTGGACACTTGGTATGTTCCGTCCATCCCCCCCTCCAAAAGAAAGCAACGAAAGAAAACAAAAAAAAAACATGTTTGTGCATGGTCGCTCACTCCCCCTCTGCCTTGGCAGAAAAACTCGGTGCTTTCGATTACACACCTCATCGTTCCCAAGCAATCGGGCACGGCCGACTCCTGCACGACCAGCAACGAAGAAGAGCTGATTGACTTCCAAGTCGCCGAGGACTTGATCACCATTGGCTGGATTCATGTACATTTTTCTTTGTTCCTTCGCCGTTTTTTTTGCAACCTGTTGAAAGGTGCTACGCGCACTCACGAGTCTGATTTGGGCCTTTTCGTTCTTTTGATTGCGCCGCGCCAGTCGTGCTTCATGTCATCCATCGACTTGCATACGCACTGCTCCTATCAGCTCATGCTCAAGGAGTCGATTGCTAGTCGATTGCTATCGTGTGCGCTCCATCCTATTCCGAGTACGCACATGATTACATTTTGCTGGTGGCGAGTGTCGCGTTGGTGCTTACGCTTTTTTTTTCTGCTTCCAGCAATGCTGCGTTCGTGTTGACGCAACCACACGGTTTGGAGTACCTTCAAGGATGTGACAAGAAAGGATTCCATCCTCATATGGAGCATCCGCCACTTTATGAGGTAAACGGGAGCGATTGGCTTTTGTTCGTGTTGGAAATCTTGCTTTTGGCGTCACACTCACATTGTCCGCGCCTGCCCTTCCCTGCGCCCCTTTGCATTTGACATTGAATTTGCAGCAAGGTGGCCATGTTACCTTTGACTCTCAACGAGGGGTTAAGATTGTCGATTTGCGCAAACTATGAGCTTTATGGTTTTTTTTTGTTTCGTTTTTTTCGCTAGTTTGTTCTCCGCCTTCTCTTGCCGCACCTCTTGTGTGCGTGTGGGTGTCCCTCTGTATCACCATACTATATCTTCCATTTAACTAAACCTACTAATCCAATCTTCAATCTTCAATACATTCTGCAGTCCGTTTTTTTTTTTTTTGATCTTTTTCCTGGTTCCGTGTCGTTTTTCAGCATGAGCAGCAGCAGCAGCAGCAGCAGCCGTGCAGCGTCCGCTACGCCTGCGCACCATCAAGGGGCAGCTCAAGGTTACGCTCAACCACCAAGCCAAGACAACGCACAGACCCAGAGCGCTGCGGTCGAGGTCGACTACGAGGCGCTACCCGACTCGTCGCATGTGGCCGTTCACATGCTGGCTGGCGCGCTCGCTGGCACTGCCGAGCACTGCTTCATGTACCCCGTCGATGTCGTCAAGGTAGAAACTCCGCCGCCACCGCAGCTTCTTGTTGATGTCGTCACGGGCAAAAGCGCGGTCCCCTTACCTTTCGACGACGGCGATCTCAACCAGAAGCAGCCGAAGCCGAAGCCGAAGGCGGAACAAAAAAAAAAAAAAAAAAAGTTGTTGATTCTCAATGCATCTCCCAGCCAAAAAAAAAAAAAAAAAAAAAAAAAAGCATCGTCAAAAAGGGCCACGCTGCTCGCTCGCTGCTGGTTGGTGCTGTTGATGATGAGCAGCGATCGGCCGCACTGTCACAAACCACACCCGAAGACATCTGCGCGACAATGCAACAGTCACACGCAGAGCCAGGGACACGACGAACAAGCTGGCGGACTCGCTGACTCACGTCGAGGCGAACAAAAAAAAAAAAAACGCAAACGTTGAGCCATTCTGCTCACTCACTCACTCTTTTTGCTGCTTTGGCTTTGACCTCTTGCTCTGTTCACAGACGCGAATGCAGAGTCTCAAGAGCGGCGAGGGAAGTAGCAATACGTCGGTGCTGCGGGCGCTGAGGAATCTCACACGATTGGAGGGCGCAGGCGCGTCTGTGCGCGGAATGAGCATGGTCGCAATGGGAGCAGGCCCAGCGCACGCGCTGTACTTTGCCACCTACGAGAAGTGCAAGCTCGCGTTCGCTCCGACTCACCAAATCCCGGGCACATCACCGTCGCCCTTCGTGGCTGGTAAGTCAAGTCGTTCAAGGAACCGATTGCGCCGCCTTTTTTTGTTCGAATGCCAACTCACTGCCCTTCTGGTACTATTCAACTCTGAGTAGCGGGCGCGGCCGTCGTTGCCACTCTAGTTCATGATACCTTTATGAATCCATTTGACGGTAGGTTGATTTTTTTTTTTTTTTTTTTGGTTTCCACATTCGCAACTCACCTTGATCGATTCTTCTTGGCATCACCTCCAGTCATCAAGCAGCGACTACAGATGGAAGGCAGCCCGTTCAAGCGAGCACGAGACTGCTTCAAGCATATTTACCGTACCGAGGGTCCGAGTGCTTTTTACCGAAGCCTCTCAACACAGATCGCCATGAACATCCCCTTCCAGACGTGCCATTTTGTGGCGTACGAGTACTTTTGCTCGGTTCTTAATCCCTCTGGCCGATACGATCCATTTTCGCACGTTGTGGCCGGCGCAGGTGCCGGTGCAATTGCTGCTGCCATCACAACGCCACTGGACGTCGTGAAAACACTGCTGAACACGCAGGAGGTTACCGCCGTCTCGTCGTCCGGCAATAATTCCAATATTCAATCTGCGGCCTCAGCAACAGCTTCCGCATCCGCATCAGCATCATCGTCGGCACAAAACTTTACTGGCCAATCTTCGACGTCCACTCGCGCCATCCACACTGCCACACCCTCATCACTAGCATCCCAAGTATCCACAGCAGCATCCTCGTCCTCAATAGGCGCCTCTGCTGCAACCACTTCCTCTTCCGCATCGCAAGCATCACGACTCGTGAGCCAGCTGCAAGTCTTCCCGCTCGCCCACGCCCACGCAGGCGCGTCGGGCGCTGGGCTGCCACTGCTACACAGCCAACTGCACACCTCGGGCGTTGCTTCCTCGACCTCGAGCGCAGTACCGCCAGTCGTTGCAGATCGGTCGGTGAATGTCAAGGGCGTTTCCGAAGCAATCCGAACAATCTACGCCACGCACGGCCTCAAGGGTTTTCTGATGGGTTTGCGGCCCCGCGTCATCTTCCAAATGCCCTCGACTGCCGTTTCATGGCTTGTTTACGAGTTTTTCAAGCACTCCCTTTCCTCGGATCCCATGACCGAGCCGAATCTCACGACTTGATCATTTTTTGTTTCGTCTGGTTGTTTTTCTTTCGATTTTTTTTTTGACCGATCTTTGACTAATTTTTTTTTCCTTTGAAGTTTTCACTTCTCTTCTTTGGTGTCTGACACGACACTTGATCGATCTTGGACTTGCAAACCAATAACCAACCAGCTCGCCGATTCTTTTTTTTTTTTTTTCGATGAACTTGTTTGGCCACGAAAAGTGTTTGTGCAAACTCGTTCAGAAGGGGAAAAAAAAAATTGGATGTGGCTGCTGTGTGTTTCATGCTTCTTGCTCGTCAAATAAACATTTGAATTCCGCTTACGGTTTGGGTGCGTTGTCCATCTGAATCTGCACGAAGAGATCGGCCAGTCCATTCCCGCCAAAAAAGTCCAACCCTCAGGATGACACAGGCCAATGCGCAAATACCCCTCAGCGAGCCGACTCCATTGGTGTATGGAGACAATGTGCAAAACAACAAGACCTTTCGGCTACTTGAGCTGCACGACGATGTGCTGCAGGCGCTCAAGCGAGGCGATTCGTAAGTTTTGTTTTCCCGCCAAAAAAATTGACAGCGCATTGCGCTCAGCTACAGCCTGACCAGCGGATTGCCTAACTCTCTTTGAAACAATTTCATTTGAATGAATGTCGCAGACTCTGCATCAAGGGCGCCCCCGACCAAGACGCCGTGCTGGCCACAGCAACCCAGTCGTTCGCGATCAAGCAGGCGGGAACGTCCAACACGCTCCTTGTAGCAATGCCACGCGTCCAAAAGTACGTCACCTCGCCAAGCCAAGACAACCAAGACAACGATGCTTCACCGATGGCGATCGACGGAGAAGAGGCAGCAGCAGCCGCGTTTGAAGTCGCCTCCTCGCTGCCGATTCTCGCTTCGTGCCACGAATACCTGGAGGCTCTCCCGTGCAAACCGCGATTGGATCAGCTGGATGCGCTGATAAACGAACGAAGATATGCCGGGGAAGATCAGGAGGATTCCAACCCTGCTGGCAAGGTAATAGTTTGTCATCTCGACTGGCTGGACGTTTTGCTATGCTGCAGGAGGGACTCACTCGTCCGGCGCTTCCACAATAGTACTCGTTGGAAGAGATTTGCAATCGAGTACAGGCAAGCGAGCAGGAGATTGTTCGAGCACTTGAGCAATCGAGCGCCTTGTTAATTCACGGTAAGATTTTGTCGGTCGTGTTTGCTTCCATCCCCCTGAGGTTGGATGTGGCCGATAGGCAGTGTGTATGGCTGCGACGGCATCGCAAGCAGATTTCTTAGTGAAACGAAAAAGGACCTGAAAAAAACGCTCACTCCAGATTATAAACCTTCATGTTGTGTAGGAAAATGGCGTGCCATGGACTTTGCATACGCGCATCTCGTTCTCGACCTGATACTGAAAACGATCACTGAGCACGACTGGTCCTACCGCAAAGTGCCATTGGAGCTATCCGCACAAGATCTGGAGCCGCATGGTATTTCGCGGGACGTTGTGGAGCATTGCTTGAGAACCAACGGCCGAGAGTTACCGACCGAATCTGGTAAATATCATCGCGATGTTCCGGGCTCGTTGCAGTTTGGCTTTGCAGTTTGCGGTACGGTCTTGCTGACGGCAGATTGATTCGTTGTTGTTCGTCCTGGCGCGCAAATTTTCAGAGGCCAACGAGTCCGGCAGCGCGACCGAGCGCTACTTTGAGATGTCTGCAGACAAAATCTGCCGACTCTGCGCCTTGTACTTGCTCAAGCAAGGAAAGGTGAGAAGTTCTTTCGTTGTCTTGTTATGTCTGGCAGCACCAATTCGGCCCGTTTTGACTGAACGCATTTGAAACTGAATGTTTGTCACACCACCCCTCCTACTACTGAAAATGTCGCCAATTTCAGCGATGGCAATTCGACGAGTTTATGGAGGCATGGCAATCAATCGTCCCGCCCGAATTTGTGGTGGAGCTCGCCCTGTTGCAGGTACTGTAGAATGTCAAGAAGGGCGCGGCAGATTGTTTTGTTTGGTTTGCACATGTTTGGACGTCGCTCATTCTTCATTCTTTGTGACATTATTCAGGGCCTTGCTCTTCATGAGGGGCAAGGACAGCAGCGTTTCATCTCGTACTTTAACGCGCAAGAATTGCCGACCGACCCCGCCGCGAGGTTTTCTTCGCTGTTCAAGATGCGACCGCGTTGGACCCATGCAGATATCTTACCCTATGTCAAGTAAGCGAGCCTTGGAGGCCGGGGAGGGGGATTTCTTTGGTTTGGACTTTTTTTGCTGATGGAAGAATTTGTCTGTGCTGCAGTGATCTTACGACTCCCAAGGAGACGGCTGATGCCCTGTTGCTCAAGTATGCACGCGGATCAACTGACAACACCAATACCCGGTGGTTTAATGCGCGATGATGTCTTTCTTTGGAAAAAAAAAACAAGAACAAAAAACCTCGCTTTTGCTTGTTGGTGACTTGATGATCACAATGCAGTGTCGTATCTTGTCCACGGTTGAGCAGCTGACGAACAAAGCGGCAGTGCAGTTCTTTTGAGCGGAGTTGGATGAAGTCTGTCAAGCAGATAGATCTACGAATCGTTCGTACATTTTCAACCTGTTGTTTCACAATCTCATGCTCACAGCAGGAAAAGGCACTCTCAGCGAATGTTCGACCGACATGCCAAATTTCAGCATTTCCCCCCTCCTTTTTCTTTTTTGCACTCCTCTTCTTATCCCTTTCTGAGCTTCTGAGACAAGCACAACAAAAACAAACAATGGATACATTCAGCCAGGGCACGCTGATCCGCCTCGTGTCACTCACATCGTTTGCCATTGTGTATGCGCTGGGCCTCGACTTCTTCTACTTTATTTTTATCGCAGTGGTCTTGTTTGCGGGTCCATTCGTATGGAACTGGGAGAAGAACAAGATCAAAGCCCAGCGAATGCTCGAACTGCAGCGCCGCATGACCAGGGCCGCCAGGACGACTGGCACTGCTTCAACGCTGTCTGCTTCTAACACTACTGCTGATGCTAAGTCAAGCGTGGTGCCGTCGAGCGGCGCGGCCGGAGCAGAGTCTGAATCCGAGCCTGCCGAACCCGTCTTTGGCGCGTCTTGGGACCCGGAGCGGCAGCGCGATCGCCGCAATGCGTATCACGACAAGATCAAGTCAGAACAGCAGCCGAGCTCGTCGCCGAGTGAGGCCGAGTCGACGTCGCCCGCGGCGGCAGATGATGCACATACGTCGCCCGCAGCGACTCAGACAGACTCCACCGAGCCGGCCACGACAAGCATCGCATCGCCAGCCGAGCTGCGGAAGCGTCGACCACAGCGAGCAGACTAGCAGAGTAAAAAAAAGTACACACGCCTGTCTGTTTACTGTATATTTTTGTAATCGTTGTATTTGAGTCAAATGTGCATCAGCGCGAGAATCAGCGCGAGAAACAGCCGCCGTTCACAGAGTTCAGAGCTTCGACGACAGGGGCTCGAATTTGAGCGGGTACAGAGACATGGTCCGCTTGAACGCAACCACGTCTTGGATGTGGATCGGAGGCGTCGCGAGCTGAGGAGAGGGCACAAGCGATGGGTCGGCGGAATCTGCGACATCTTTGGCAATTTCAGCCACAACTGCATCCGGGGCCATGCCGGCAGCGGCTGTGCCGACAACTTGCGTCGAAACTTTGCGACGGAGGGGACTGGCGGAAGAAAAGTGGCGTTCGAAAAACCCAATCAGCTCGGATTGCGTGATGGCGCGCAGCACTGCGACTTCCTGATCAACTGCAATGCCAACACCAAAAAGCATCCACAGATGATGCGTTAGTGGCACAATCGTCGTTATTTTTTCACGACTCATCCACTCTCTGTTTTGACATACCGCGGTTGAAGTTGTACATTTGCGCAGCAATTTCAGCCCAGGCGCGTGTGGCCGCTTGGCGCAAAGATTTGTCCTTGACCAATTTTTTGGCAATGGTTGCTTCGACGTGAGCGTTGAAATCTTCCTGGGGCATGGATTGGAGCAGTTTCTGAAGAAGGCCGTTGCAGAAGAAAAAGAAGAAAGAGAACAAGGTGAGCAAAAGCAAAGGCAAGCAAAACCAACCCGTTCAACCACAAAAAGGACATCACTGAACATACGCCAAAATGGAGCAAGAACGCTTCAATGCGATGGTCGACAAATGTTGGATGACGGCTCGATTGGACCACAACGCGAGCACCATGAACGCCTGTCAGCAAACAAAACAAAAGAAAAAAAAACATGCACTCTTCAGCGTCGATGCAAACGAAACATACAAGGAAAATGTCGGCATCCTACCGTATTGGTGCTTGATGCCAGACCCGACAATATAGCCAAGCTGCTCCTTGGTGCGCAGCTGGTTGAAGCACGGCTCGGCGAGGATTTGGCAGAGCAGCGAGAGCGTTGCATTCTTGGGCACCTCCTCGAGGCCAATCTGCACAAAAAGTCGACAGATCAAGAAATGTAAGGGCGATGGGTGGGAACAGGCTACCACGAAATCGCGCCTCGTCGTTCGTTGGTTGTCAACACCAACGCTCACCTGGTAGTAGTTTTCGACAGCAGAGATGTCGCGGATGGCGTTCTGGCTTGAATAGAGAAAAGTCTTGCCTACATTGCCAAAAAAGAAAAAAAACGCGTCGCATGTCCATCGTTAAAACCAAATTTCGCCTTGAACCAAAAAAAAAGGCAAAATTACCTTTCGGCACAACGTGGCAGCGCCCCTTCAGCCGCTCCATCGGAAGCAAAGAGGAAACGTTTTGGTGTCGCTTGAGAGCGGCAACCACAGTGTCCGATAAAGCATTCGCTTGTTCTGCGGTAATGTTGCCGACAATCAGGGACTCAAGATGGATGCGAGACAAGAGCTGCGGCACGAACGCATCCAGTCGCTCCAAAGTAACATCTGCACCATATCAAGAAGGATCCCAAACAAACGGGAAAAAAAGTCAGATGACGCGAGGCAAGACGGCGCACTCATTCAAACAACGGAAAGAGGTGTGAGAGCAGTCAGGGCAACTCACGTTCCAGCTCTGCGAGCTTTTGCTCATGGTTCCAAATACGCTCGCTGAGCAAAAACGAAGAGAGGTAGGTCACTTGACTGCTGGGCTGCTCGGCAGAAAAGTTCTTGAGCTCGCGTGTGTACTGCGGTGAGACGGGTGAGTCAACAGAACCAGGCAAGAAAACAAAAAAAAATCGTGGTACGACAAAAAAACTTACTGCATCCTTGACTTCCTCAAACCGATTGGCGTTGGTTTTGAACGACCCCAGCCGATCGAAGATGCGCTCGACGAGGAGTGGGAGCTGGTGCGAATAGCCATCCACTCGAATAATCAATCCGCAGAAATCCGTCACAATGGCATAGTCAAGACCAGCAATCTCGGCGTGGTATGCAAACTCGTTGAGGGCGTCGCGAAGCAAATCGCAAAACAGACGACTCAGGACAGCATGCAACGGGTCGACATAAGATAGTGGGCTGGAAGATGACGCAAAGCAGCAAACAGAGTGGGTGAAAGTCAACAACCAGACAAAAGAATATCAAAGTTAAACATACCTCGTCAACTGGAAGCTCACCCACGTCTTGGGGAGGAGGAATTCTGCATCTTGCTTGTGCCAGACGCGAGACAACGCAGAGTCTTGAATGATGACGGGGAATGGCTGGGGCTGCACGGCCAACCACACAAGAGAGTGAGAAATCACGCTCAAATCCTGCAATAAGCTTTGATAATAAATCGCATCGTGGCGGCGGATACCTCGTTTGGTCGCGCCCGGAGCTCGAAATCGGTCGGCACAAAGTCGTTGGGGAGAGGCAGCTGCAGTTGCGGATGGCACGTAGCCAAGCTCCATGCCTAGGTTTGACAATGAAGAGGGGTTGAGTGATCACGAAACGCAGAAAACAATCCTTTGTATACCAAGCAAGGGCAACAGGAAAGCTTTGCATGCTAGTTCAGTTTACCTTCAACTTGGCTTCCGGAATTCGTTCTCGCTTGTATCGAGCACCGTAGAATTCGAGGGTTTGGTCGGCCACATTTTCGAGAGTTTGGGAAGTGAGAATCAGCCTGGTCAAGTCAGAGCAGCGACAGTCAAAACGGGAATTTGATCCAAAAAGCTTCCACGAACCAAAAAAACAAAAAAAAATTAGTGCAATGTTACCGGAGATTTTGCGGAGTGAGAAGATCGGTAAGCGTCGAAATCAAGACGGGATCAAACGCAGCGTAAGTGTCGTGGCCGGAAAGAACGCGCGAGGGAGCATAGAGATGCAGGTTGTTTGCAATCGCCGATGCAGCGCCCATGGGCGGCTGGCGGTCCTTGAAGCGGAAAGCAAGATCTCCGAGAGCCTTGCATTCTTGGAAAATGTGCTCCTGGGGGCCTCGCGCGCGCATCATTGCAATGTACTGGAACACGGCCATCACGACGTCATCGGTCGCAGTGAGACCCTTTTCCGTCAGCTCAATGTGGATGGAAAAGAAGCTAAATCCGTTGTGACTGTTGACCAATCCGGCCGACAAGCCATTGGCAAGAGCGCATTCCTGACAATGCAAACAAACCAAGCAAACAAGTAGCAGAGGGCATGAAAATGGTGAGAAAACCATCGAAAAAAAAAACAAACAAAAACAAAACAAAACAAAGCCCGACAACCCCAGTCCCACAAACTCGACTTGGTACCTTGAGATAGGACAGAATACTATTCGTCCCTTCGTGGCCGATGAGATGGGACATGTACGACGTGGGGTGGGAGGCACTGTGTTCCAGCTGGCTCGGAAGAGGGAAGAGCAGCTGCAGGTAGCGGAGATCCTTGACGGGAACCACATACAGCTGCTCGCCGACCTGCTCCGGACCGTAGGGATGCGTGTCGAAGCGCGGGATTGCCAACTTTTTGTTCTTCACGGCGGAAAACTTGGACGTGACCAGCTCGGTGAGCACATCAAGCGAGTACGGCCCAACCAGGGAAAGCGTCATCAAATTGGACGAGTAAAAGTCTTCGTGAAACTTGAGCAGTGCTTCGCGCACGTTAACGCCAGCAGCTTCTGGCCGAGTTGCCAGCGTTTCGTGGTTGCCGGTGCCAAACTTGGCGAACGGATGTCCAGGTCGAGACGTGAACTTTTCCAGCTGGAAATTCCGCCACGCATCCGACTAGTAAAAGGAGCCATTGATGCGAGGAATTGTTGTTGAGTGCAATCAGCAAGTGATGAAGTGATGGTGGAGTGAAATCCAGCCAAACAAAGCGAAAATCCCACCCTTCCAATCAGAACAGAGTGGCAAAATGCAAACCATCGCCAACCCGAGCAAGGACACCAATCTGGTCCGCTGCTCCTTTTTGCGTTACCTTGACATTCTTCTCGTGCTCGGAATTGACCGCATTGAGCTCCTTCTCGGTGGCGTTGGCGCTGAACAGCGGCGCGATAAAGAACTGAGCAAAGCGGTCGACCGCTGCGTCAAAGTGTGCTGCCGCCACGTCGAAAAAGTAGACGGTGTGGTCGGCGGACGTGTACGCGTTGGACATGCCGCCATGCTCGGAGAGGAAGGCGTGGTACTCGTTCTCGAGCGGGTAGCGCTCAGTGCCCATGAAGAGCAAGTGTTCCAGAAAGTGAGCCAGACCAGGCAGCGCGTCGGGCTCGCTCATGTGCCCGGCATAGACATCCAACGCCGCTGCGCCCTTCTCCGCACGCATGTCAGACACAACGACGGCCTACAATGTCGTTGTTTCAGCGATGAGTCAATCCGTCAACAACAACGGAGGTTCGGTGGAAAATTGTCAAAGAACCAAGCGTTTCTCGCTTCCTTCTGCTCGCATTGCACTCGGTCTCTCTCTCTCGCTCTCTACAACAACACCTGGTGAATTTACACGAAGTTCATTGCCGAGTTCAATGTAGCGATACTCGCGGTCATCTTCGGGAGACTTGACGACAGTCGTGTCGGACAGAGTCATAATTTCGCAAAACCCAAAAAAAAAAAAAAAAAAAAAAAAAAAAAAAAAAAAAAAAAAATAGAGTAGGAGGTTGAGCCAGAAAAAAGAAAGTCCAAAATCCTACGTAAAATTGAACTCAGAGTCTGAGAATCGACCCTCTGGTACAAAGTGAAGGAAATCTCTGCTGTACTGTTCATACAAAAATTCAACATCGCCGCTGTTCCCGGCGTTTCAACAACTCTTGACTCATACTATCCCGATCATTAAATTTCGACCCCCCCTCTTTTTTTCACTTTTTCGCCCTCCCTGGGACCTGTGTTGCTTTCCGTCTCGCCCGCGGAATGTTCATTCATGGTACGGTGTACCGAACGTCTGATGAACACCGGGAGCGGGGGTTGTGAGTCATATCAGAGCAGCGGCGAGCAAAATAAAAAATATAAGGAAACTCAAAAAATTCACTTTTCCCGCCCAAATTTTGGTTTGGGTTCAGTCTTTTTGTGCGCATGACTCGCACACGCAGTCAGTCCACGTCCCGCGTGGCTCCCAGACAGCCCCCGGTATGGCTGCGTCCAACTTCACCAAAAAGACCGCTGCCCGTGCTGGACAAGATGCCCAGGGAGGTCGTCCGCGGTCAAGTGCTCGCGTTGCGAAATGCTGGCCTCTCCTACAACAAGATCGCCACCCAGCTTCACCTCCCACGTTCTACAGTGATCAGCATCACCCAACGTTTCTCGGGAAGGGCGACGACGAGCGACAGCCCCCGCCCCGGTCGCCCCAGCAAGCTCAAGTCATTTCACCGCAACAACATTGTAGCACAGATCCTCCTCGATGAGTCCGACACCGCACCCGAAGTGGCCGCCACTATGCGCACATTGTCCAAAGTTCGTGTCTCTCCATGCACGATAAGAAGGGTGCTGCATGGTGCAGGACTTGTCAGCGGAGCGAAGGTCAAAAAAGCCCTCTTGAAAGAGACACACAAAGAGCGACGCTTGGCCTTTGCACTCGCTCATCAGCATTGGACCGTCGATGACTGGCTGAGGGTCGTCTTCTCCGACGAGACTGCTCTCTATCTCTACAGGAACAACAACGGTGGTCGTGTATGGCGTCTGGTTGGCGAAACGTTGACCGATCGATGCGTGCAGGGCACGGTCAAGTTCGGCGGTGGCCATATCAATGTTTGGGGCGCCATCTCTCGTTTCGGAATTTCGCTTTTCTGCGAGGTCGGCGACGTCATGAACGGCGACACCTACCTCTCAGTTTTGGAGAGCGAGTTGCTAGCAAGCATTCGCGTGTGGAACAACAAAAACGAGATGATTTTCATGCATGACAATGCCCCTTGTCACAAAAGAAAAGATGTGGCGAAGTGGTTCGAAACCAATCAGATCACCGTCCTGGACTGGCCTGCGAACTCTCCCGACCTCAACCCCATCGAAAATGCGTGGAACATGGTCAAGAACAAGATCTACCAGGAGAGGGAGATCAAGAGCAAGGCCGCGTTGTGGGAACGCTTCCAAGCGGTCTACGAAGAAGTGCTCACGCCAGAGGTCTGCCGCGATCTCATTTCATCGATGCCGCGCCGCATTCAAGCTGTGATAGATGCCAATGGTGGTTATACCAAGTACTGAAGTGGAGCGAAGGCGCTGCGACACGTTGTTTGTGTGCCATGTAATGCTTTGTGAAAATTGGGCAAAAAATCCGCTCTTTTTCTGTTTTTTTGAGTTTCATTTTTGTCTGTTCTCGCTTCGAATCTTAACTCCCAGCCCGCTGCTTCACTTCTAAAATGTGTCTGGTACACCGTACCATGAATGAACATTCCGCGGGCGAGACGGAAAGCAACACAGGTCCCAGGGAGGGCGAAAAAGTGAAAAAAAGAGGGGGGGTCGAAATTTAATGATCGGGATAGTATATAAAAATTTCAACACGCCTCTCGGAAGCGTGGCACAAAGGGGTCGTGTCTTCTTCGACTTCAGAAGAAAACAACGCGCTTCGTTCAGTTCTCCTGGTCTTGCAGCTGCTGCTGCTTCCTGGCCTTCTCGTGCTACATAGCAAGGGGTCAAAGAGACGAGTTGGGACTTCCGTGAGTTTACCTTCATCACTACTCGAATCACCTCTTCCCCCAAATCCTCAACACACACACACGCGCACACACAAAACACCGTTCAGGACACAACGCCGACACAAAAACTTACTCGCTTGAACATCTTCTTCTTTTCCTTCTCGGACAAGTTGGGATTGTTGAGGATCAAATCCAAGAGCTTGTCCATCTCTTGATTGGTGCTTTCAATCCTTGTCTTGACGGCGGTTTGGGAATCTGACATGACAGCAAACACAGCCGTGGGCGCAGGGACGTAGTCGCCGTTGTGCTGCTCCACGTTTTGTTTGACCTGGTCAATTTCGTTCTTGAGCTCGTCCGGTGTCTATCGCAATAAAAGATTTACACAAAAGCCGATTCGGAAAGAAACAACAACACAAACCCAATCCAAACAACATCAGACGCTCTTCGAATCCTCCTGCTCGTCACGACATCAATGTGGTTTTGTAAAACTTACCTCGAACAAGACCTCGTGCTGTTCAATGAGAAATTCGACAAGTCGAGCACGCCGCTCCGATCGCTCAATGGCATCGACGCGATTGGTAATGTTGATGCTGCTGCCGGGCTGAATAAAGTCGTCGTCCGACGAGCGCAGGAGATTCGGCTCAAACATTTTCGCAAGATTGCTGATTTGCATCTTGTTCGAGTCCGAGTGGGAAGCAACCTTCTTCAAGAAGGACAGAAGCGAATGCAGTACCGTCGCGTGGGAGGGGTGCAACAGAGCGCACACAATCTGCAGTGCATACGTGCGACGCTGGATGGACAGCGACTCGAATTGCTCTGTTTGGATTCAAAGCCATTCATGTGAGGTGCCCACTTGTACGAGCAATTCCCCCAGACAAATCTTCTCAAGCAACACAATAAGCGCCGAGGACGTACTGGCGATCTGCTCAATGTAAACAAAGAGCCTAAAGGTCAGAACGGGCTCTGGCAGCTGCTGGAAGAAGGCTTTGAATGCACCAGTAACGTCGTGCACATTCAGCACATCAAGACCATACGACTTGAGCCAGGCGGCGGAATGGAGCTCGAGCGGCAGGTTGTCATTGTAGCACTCCTCCATGACCTTCATGAGCACCTTGATGCGGCTCGCGACGCCGCTGCGGCGGAAGATTCCTTCCTCGTCGAGATCTGCCAACATTGAAGCACAGATGTGGCAGTTTGGCATGAGTGGCAGAGCGTTACGGCAGCGATGCAGCCCCAATCAAAAACGCTGCTGCTTTTCCGCGTTTGGGCCTTACGCTCAGAGAGAAACTCCATCATGGACTCGAGCACCAGCGGCATACCCTGAGCAGCGACCGAAGCCAGCGGCGATCCAAAGAATCTGCGTGTGACTGGTTGCACATCAAAACAGCAAAGACACAGAAAAACAAAATGAAAAAAAAAAAACCAGCGCGAAACGTTGAAAGTGAGTTGAATTAACATTCGCACCGTATCACCACGAAAGTACCCAATACATAAGAGCAGTGCATGCTTTGTCATGCTGCAAACGATGGTCATTCAAAACGACTATCGATTCTTATTTTTCAAAACGGATCGTTTTTTTGTTTTTTTGAAACGGTTTCAAACCTGTTTGGAATGTTTGAATCAATGCTGTCGACTGCCTTCGCTCTTCGCCCATTGGAACCAAGCTCATCTTGCTGGGTTTGAGTACTGCATGCATGCATGCACAGTGGTCCAATCATCGTGCTCTGGCCGAGTGGCCTCGGCACGACAGGGGCGCACCGCTTTTGCGAACAATGCTGTTTCAGTCTCATTCAACCTCGACTACAAACACTTACTCTTCTCGATGCCAAAGAGTCGACTGGCAGACGCTGTAATCCTGGACATGGTGCTCGGAGTCATGGGCGCGAATGCACCCGACGCGGCAGATTTGCTCGGCGTGCTCTTGACTGGGGTGGCGGGTGTGGCGGTCGAGGCGAGCGCGTTCAGTTCGGGCACGTCCAGCTGCTGAATCAGTCGGTTGAGGAGCAAGTGCTCAACCTGCTCCTTTTGGCAGCGCTCGAGTGCAGCTGGAGAGATCTTCTTCTCGCTGTGAGCATGCTGAGGCGTTTGCGGGGGTTGCTGCGGATGGGACAGTTCTCGCAAAATGGACGACATTCGAAGATGAAAGGTTTGGCTGAAGAAAAATAAAAAATGAGCGCAACGATCGAATTGGGAAAGCATGATGATTAACGTCATAAACACAAGAGCAAAAAACATGAATCAATAAATAAAATCAAAAGCAGTCAGTTAACAAACATCGGATACTTGAAAAAAAAAGAAGGGGAGGGGAAAACAAGAAAAAAAAAAAAGAAGCAAAAAAGCAAAAAAAAAAAAAGAAGCAAAAAAGCAAAAAAAAAAAAAAAAAAAAAAGCAAAGCGAAAAACGTTGTTGAAAAAGAAAATCAGAACGAAAAGAAAATTGTTAGACATTGCTGCTTTGGTGATAATCGTCCAGCGGGAAATCACCAAAAGCACGCCAGTTGGAGACAACACTCGAGGAGCGGGACAGCTTGACACTGCGCTGATCGGATTCGTCAAGCGCTGACACGTCGGATGCGAAAATATCCACACCGCCCGGCTTGCTCTCCGAGCTCGAGTCAGAGCCAGCTGCCTCGTGGGCAGCATTCTCGAACATTTCGGTCGGGGACAACTCGGATCCGATCGAGCCACGAGAGGAAACGGAGACAATGCGGGTGTCGACCGCTCCTCGGCTCGCAGTCCGTTGCCACTCGAGTTCCAGCCGAAGCTTTTGCACTTCCAGCTCGCTCAGGCGGAGAGCAGTGACGGCCATACTCTGGTGCTTTCGCGCCATCGCCAATATAGCCACTTGACGCTGCTGCTCCAGCTCCTTCCGTTCGAGGTTGCGCTCGAGACGAGCCAGGTACTGCGCGTGAGCTTCAGCCTGCGTGGATTCGTTCGCAGAGCGATTCGAAGCCAGTCGCCGAAGCCGTGCGGCGGAAGCCACGACGGAGGCAGCACCATCAGCAGCAGCAGCAGCACCAGCAGCAGTGGACGACACGCCAGCCCCGTCAGCTGCAGTTGCGGCTTGTGAACCGGAAGTGTCTGTCTTGGTCGAGTCATCCAGGTCCACGTCGGTTCCGCGGTAGGATGTCTTGTTGATTGTCGCAAACAAGGTCGAGATGGAGGCGGACTGCTTGTACAGGCCAGCAATCCGCAGGGCTTTCGGGAGGAAGATGAGGAAGAAGACAACAGTCGTCACAAACAAGGTTGCGTGGACTTCGAGCAGCAGAATGGTGCGCGGGTGAACGACAGAAGTCAGGGCAAAAATGATTGAATAAATCACCAAGCCTGCCAGCAAGGTCGCGTACACGGAGAGCGCAATGTACTGCGACTCGTTGTACGCACATAAAACGTTGCGTGTCACGAAAGCAAGGTAGCAGCAGTACACGACAAGGGCGCCCTTGATGCACAACATGACAACCAAGAAGGAAGTGTGCTCGTCACTCACGCACTCGTGGTCGTATTCGGAGCGGAGATGGAACGGAGCGATGCCGGTCCAAACCCCGAGAATCAAGCAGTCGACGAGAACAAAGATGAGCACTGGGACGAGCACTTCGCTGTTGCTTAGTTTGATGGCACGCAGCGTACAGTTGTTTTTGAGCTTGCGGAGCCGCCAGAGCTTCGAAAAGAGCGCGCCCATGGCAATCATAAACCCGAGGTTGAACAGCCAGAGGCGGGCTGTGCAAAAGGCCGCCGTCTGCACACGGCTTGCCAGCAGCGTGTCCACACTCAAGACGCAAATGCCAACCAGAAGAGTGGCGAGGAACAGGGGCGAGGAGGAATGGATGACCTTGGTTTTGCGAAGTGCAAACACGAGCACCAGGCAGATGAAGCAGACGACCAAATGGAGACCCGAGAGCGTCACCAGAAGGTTTGCCTGTCGTGGTGCAAGGTCGTTGCTCACAATGCAGGGTGCTGGATCGTTGTACTCGACGCAGAGCTTGCAGCTTGCGCTTGAAGGTTCGTCCTGGAAGTGGCCTGGAGGACACGTCAACTGCGCGCTGGCGCCAGCCTGCGGTTGGTAGTATCCGAGCTGCGTTGGCAGACAGAAGGTCTTGAACGACGGCTCGGGCCGGTACGTGCCAGGACTGCACAGTTCGCACGTCAATGTGGAGGGATTAGCACGGCGACCAGCAGCACACGCGACAGAAATGCGCACCGTCGCATTCAGCGTTGACACGACATAGCCGTCAGAGATGGTGTACGTAAAGGAGGTCAAGTTGATGCCACCCGAGGACACTGGGGCACGGTACACCACCGTGGAAACGCCGATGGGAAGTGTCCCGTTTGCAACAGTGATGGGCAAGCCGGTCACAGTGAACAGTTGACCTCGATGTGGCAGGCCTACAATGATGAACTGAAGAGGGTCGCCATCTGGATCTGCGCCAGTCAAGGTCACCGTGGTGTTCTGGCCCTGCAATGCAAGCACTGGGGAGGTGTATCCTCCGATGGGTGCGGTGGACATGAGCAACCGGGGCTTTAGCGAGGCCATAACGCCATCCAAAACGCCGTCGGAGGCGTCACGCGTGTCGTTGACAAAACACGGGCGTGCGCGAAGTGGCTGGTTGAATGCACATTGGCCATCCCCAGCTCGGCAGTACGGCTGCGTGTTCGGGGTGCAAGCTCCAAACACAAGCCGGTTGTTGAAGCGCGAAATATCGCACGAGGATGGAGCCGAGACCAGCGCGTCAGCGTCCGTTGGCAGGTCATCCAGATCGATCGTTTCGTCAATCGTCACCTCAGGATCAAACGTCCATTGAGCCAGCAAGTGCTGACTCTCGCGAGGAACAGCGCCGTCCTTGTACGCCTGCAAGGCTTCCGGTGGCTGAACACCCGACCAGACACGAAGGTTGTCAATGAGGCCCCTGTAAAAGAAGTCATCCCCCCTGGAAAAAAAAACCACAACCAGAGTATGAACAGGGGTCGGGGAAGCGCACGAAAGGAAAAGAGGAGGGCAACGTGGAAAGCACAACACAACAAGGTTAGACCAACAGCTTCCACAGAACAAACCTCCGGCACCAGTAACAGGTGAAGCAGCCACAAGGGAAAAAAAAAACAAGAACGAAAAAACGCAGGACGTACCAAAATGGCCAGTGACAGACATACAAGCCGAGCACATCAGCCTGCGAGCCAAAGGAAGGACGGACTTGGACCACTTTGCCATTCACGTAGAAGGAAGCGACGCCGCCGTCCAATCCGCCATCGGAAGTGATGGCGAAATGGTTCCATGCTCCAAAGAGCGGACGAATACCAGAGGACGCGACTGAAACATAGCCATCCGAGTTGGTCACATTCCAGCCATCGTAGATTTCGGCACCGCCCGACGACCCAGGAACGCTGGCCATGAATCGGCCAAAGCAGTCGCCAGGGTTGTTGCACCACTGACCATCGACGTCGGACGCGAACGAGTAAACAACCCCATCCATCTCTTGTGCGAAAAAGTATCCCCACCATTCAATCGTGTAGGGGCTTGTGCCGCGCACGTTCCCATAGAGTTGTGTCGGGAGGGCAAAGTCTTGGGCTAGCGCAAAGCTGTTGCCCGTGCAGTGCAGCATGCCGCCAGCCGTGCCGACAGTCGGAGCAGTGTTGTGCACGTTGTCCACAGCAACGTAGCCGTATGCCGATCGCGCCTGAGTTGTCGGGTCGACAACAAAGAACTTGACGGTAACGCGCGGGATGTTTTCCGGCAACGGCAGCGAGTTTGTGTACGAGATGACAAACTTTTCCGATTGCAGAAACCACCGAGGGTTGGCATCGGTTGGTACGGGCCCCTTCAAAACGGTACCATTCGCAAACTCCAGCTGGAAAGGCCACGTTGGGACAGAGGCAATCGCGACCCGCGACGTGCCGGTCAAGGGAGACTGCTGTGCGTCTGCGAGCCGCCCCATCAGTTGAAATGGCGAGGTTCTGAACGTGACAAAAGTGACGTCCTGAAACAGTTCGGGACCATCACGTCGCACATCATTGGGATCCACCTGGCCGCCTCCAGTCTGAGCAGGCGGATTGCTGACCTTGAACAAGACAGACTGACGTGCTCCAGCAAGCGGAGCACTGGAAATGACATACCGGCCAATGTGGCGAAGATCGAACGTTGTCCCCGCGGTTTCGGCGCCCATGACGATATCGCGCTGCTTTGGACTGCGGTCGCGGATGGTGGCCGGGCGCGAATTCGCCGAACCGGTGTAGTCGATGTTTGTGAGGAGCTCCAAACGCTCATCAAAGTTGTAGTACATGACGATATCCGCCATTTCGTCAATGCGGAGGGTGCGATGCAGGGTGGCAAGGATTTGCGGTCCGGATCGCGCAACGGACCAGATGCGAATTTCATCGACCGTGCCATCGAAATTTTCATCCAGCTGATCGCCAGTAAAGCTTCGACCAATGGACAGGCGTGTCGAGTCGAGAGACACTGCGGAGCCCGAACACTGCAGCGACAAAGTCAAAATCCCATCCACGTAAATCGTTTTGACGTTGCTGCTGTATGTGACGGCAATGTGGTGCCACTGTTGGTCGAGAAGACTGCTGGTAGTTCCGACACGCGAGCCAGGAATGGTGCCACAGGATCCTCCGAGGAACGGGGTGAGGAACTGCACAGTGTTATTGGTGATGACGGAAACATCAAAGCCGTTGACACCTGTCGTGCTGAGCAATGGCCAGCAGCACTGCTTGTCCGGCAAACCTTGCTTGTCTGGGGCACTGGCACGAAACCACAGTTCTGCGGTGAACGCTTTGAGCAAAAGCGGCCGATCCGCCCCCACACACGAGCCCGAGTCGTACACGACAATGGGCGCGAGGGCGTTTGCGAGAGAGTTTGAGCCGCGAAGCATGTTCCGTTGCGCGAGCTCGGTCGGATATCGCTGCAGGCTGGAGAGGTAGAGGGCGTTGCCACCGCTGCCGGGAATGGGAAGTGTGCGGGACATGATCGGCACTTGCACCGCAGAAATTGCATCAAGCGCTTGCAGATAGCACTTTGTGGTACTGAGTGTAACGGTTGGGAGTTGTGTGGAGTAAAAGCCGGGGCCGGGTGCAGCCCACGGAGGCAGCGGGACTGTCATGTTGGAGGCGGTGCGGTTGAGTGACGGGCTGTAATACGTCAAAAAGAAGTTGGCGGGCGTCGGAACATCGGGAACAGCATAGATGCTTGTTCCAGAGGCGGTTGGAGGCCGGTCTGGCACGTTCCAATCACTGATCGACAGGACAAATGCGTCCGAGGAAGGGTTCAAGCCCGAGTATTCCGTGGGGGAGTGGTAGTCTGCATATGGGATGCAGGTATTGACGGTCGGAACCAGGGCAATCATATCTGCAATCAGATAGTTGTACATGACTGCCCGCGCCCAGTCAATCAGCTGGGACCAAGACGAGAGCAGCGATGCAGCTTGCAGAGGCGGCACGCCGCTGAGCTGTGCCTGTAAATCTCGTCGTTCACGCCGACTTATCGTTGACCCGGAAGTTGTGCTTGGCGTAGAGCTATTGGCTGTCTTGGTGCTGTTCACAAGAGGGAAGAACGGGATTGCGCCGGACGCCAGGTTTTTCAGGTAGTTGGCGGCAATGCCAAACAAGGTGGTGGCGTTGAAGACGACCTTCCAGTCGACCACTACGTGCTCGCCGGCAATGGCATAAGGCTGGCGCAGGTTCATTTGCACGGACAGGATGTGGGATGGCGTGGTCTGTGCCGAGGCGAACAGGAGGCGGCTGTCGGGGTTTGTCGTGGTGCTGACATCTGCCAGCATCCAGCACGCAGCGACCACGAGCACGCCAAGCAGCCGCAGCGTCAGCGTCCCCGTCGTGCTGGCTCCCCGTCGCCGCAACCGCAGTGGCGCGCTGTCACGGGGCTCACGGCGGTCGGCCGTCCGAGCGGCGGTCGTCGTCGTCGTCGTCGTCGTGTGCATCGCGCGACGTTTCGTTTCAGCACCCAGATCAGTCAGAAAGGTCTGTTGGCTTTGAAATGTAGTTTGTTCCAAGAGGGCTTGTGCAGGAGTATTGTCGGTTCTTGTTTTAAGAATAGAATCAAGGAACGAGAGATCTTTGTGCTTGGCTTTTGCCTGAGTGTGGAGTTGAATAGCAGCAGGAGACGAACAGAAAAAAAAAAAAAAAAACGGAAACCAAAATGTGAGTTCGCAACAACCAATGCAAGCCCCCCTTTTTGTCAAAACAGCGAATGTACAGTCATTCACTCCCTCGCTCGCTTCCTATTTGCCAAGCAACAGAGTTGCTCTGCATTTATGGGCAAGCGGGGGTGACTGCTGTGGCGGTGATGCCCTCTTCCTTATCATAAATCTCGCGGTAAGGCTTGGGCATGGCGTGGCGTCAACGATGATGATGATAAGTGATTTTTTTTTTTTTTTTTTTTTGGTTCGCGCCGTTCTTTTAGCAGCAACCCCCCGCTGCAGCCAACGTTTCACGCAGCACGTTCGTCACCGCAGCGCCACCACAAATCCCAATCACCGTTCAACTCTGTCCAAACCGCGTGCCCCCCCTCCCCATCGCCGCCGCTTTCCTTGCCGCAGCAGCCGCTGTTAAACAAAAAACAAAACCCGCAGAAACATAAAAACAAAAAAAAAAAAAAAAAAAAAAAAAAAAAAAAAAAAGGACAAATAAAAAATAAAATACAAAATCCTTACAAAAAAAGGAACAAATGAACAAACAAAAAGACTGACACAACAGCCTAGCAAAAAACAGCAATGGTATGAAGATGGTATGTCGAGCACCACTCACCGCAGTGTGTGTAGATGGAAGGAGAGGAGACAGGAGACACGGGAGGGGGTGGAAGGAAGAGAGAAGGAGGGGTGGTGGCCTTGGTGGGTCATCACGGATGTTTTATCAAAAGTGCAAAAAGCCGATAAAAGACAAAATCAGGTCGTTGACACCCATTCACTCGCACTGTTCAGGCGGGGGGGGGGCAGAGGACAGTAGTCAGTCTATACGTAGAACACAGAGCAGCACTTGTTTTCCGGCGCCATGTTTCACGGTGAAAGTGTGGAGATGCAGAGCAACATTGTTTTTTCCCCAGCCTCAGACAGTGATTTCGATTGAACAAAACAAGTTCGTTTTGTATCGATAAAATGCGATTCCGCAGAACAACGCTTTTTCAAATCAGGGGAGTTGGTGCTCAACAAAGACAAGGAGGGGGTTGCAGAGAAAAGGCGAAAGATGGGAGGGGGTGGAAAAGGAAATGCACAAATCGAATCAAAACTTTGAACAAGAGAACTCGAAAATTTCTGAGATTAGGAAGGTGCGACATGCCTGTTTCAAATGGAAATATGTGTATTTAGTGCATGAACACATTAACTGAAATCTAAAAAAAAATGCCACCCCCAAGCGATCAAAGAACAACAGGAACCGCTCAACGTGGAAGACCAGCAACTCCTGAAATCGATGCGCGAGGACGATACACTCCTCATCAACGCGATCTTGATCGATATTTTGATCGACTGACTCGCCTGCTTGACCGACGATGCGAGTATTTCCGACCACGACATAACCTCGGAGTTTGACTGAATCGTCGAGTAAAGTTCCCGAAACCCGGCCGATATTACCACCTTTCCCGCCCCCCCCCACAGGAAATCCCGACGATCATCAGCAACGAGGAATGGGTCAACGGCCTTGCCGATGAAGCGGTTTACGGAAATCAGAGATCTGCGTGTTATCTGAATCAAAACCGCCAGAAAGTGAGACATCATTCTTTTTGTTGGTTTCTTTCTTCTCCCTTCTTCCAGGTCTCAGCTCCCCCTCCTGTTATCTCTGATCATACCACCTCCCTCCGCTTACGCCATCTCGGCTCGCTCGCTCCTTCTCCGAATCTTTACATGAATCAGCCGTCGTTAATGTCGTCATTGTCATGCGCAACTGTGCCAAGAAGCGCCACGCCCAGCGTGCCTTGGCTCCGGTCCGCCGAGGCAGCGCTTCAAGCCATACTTGCAGCGCTTAACGGCACCTCGCCCTGCCAGCTGCCATACGCTTCGAAAAAATCCAACTTGACATGTCAGGAGCTGATACTTGAGATCAAGAAGGTGTTCCGCTGTGGGACATGCGAGTCCAGTCTCTCGCTTGACTTTGTTCCCGCGCCTGACAGCAATGCCATCCCCTCCATTCAGTCCGACCACAGAAATGCGCTGGTGTACGTAAAGGTGCGGGACGCGAGCGATTCGTTCACGACGTTTACGCTCCACGTGCCGCCGCTGCCTGGTGGTGCTGTTGCGTCGCTGGTCTCGAGTTCAACCCTTCCCAAGCCCCCTGCTGTGCGACGCCGCACGTATGCTGACACGGTATTCGGATCGGTGAAAGATGTGTGTGCAGCCCTTCCGTTTGAATCTCTCGAAGCTATTACACACCGAACGCGCGTCACGCAGACGGAGGCGCCGGCTTTTCGTGCCGGCGAGCAGCTCCAAGTGCCGGAAGATCTGGCCGTCGAGTACAAGATTGGTCCAACTGGCCTCGGACTCGCCATGGATGAAACAGACCTCCTCAATTTCCTGCAGCACAAGCAAGGTCTGCTCGAGCCTCTGCTCAATGCCGCCTCGATGCGTCTGTCGCTCGGCGTGTCGGATGATTTGTTCGTGGTCGGTGTGCATCTTCAGACCTCGGCAATCGACGTCGTCCTGTCCCAATGGCTCTGGAAACACATCATCCCAAGCCCGCCAGAGCTGGGCGTTGAGCTTCACCCAATCATCTTGCCTGTAACAACACCAGCCACCAAAGTCACCTGGCTCTCGCCCGAAAAAGTGAGCAGCTTTGTGATTGAAGCTCGCGGATGCGCTGCTCGCCTCAGCCTGGACAACAATGGAGAGTTCGTGCCGATGCTCGTCTATGAATCGGCGCCCCAGTACAAAGACATTGCAGCCAGCACTCTGGATCAACTTCACGCTGCAATTGGGCGCGGAGAACCCCTTCCGCCCGGCAGGGTTCCTCCGGGCTTGATGGAACTGCTGCAGAACGCGGCCACCGTTGACGACATTCCAGCCATGATTGCTGAATACATTCAGCAGCGCCACGTCGTCGAATTCACGCATAATCTCGGCACTGTCAACCCGCGCTTCATTTCGTGCGATCGCCAGTTTGCGCCTGTAGGGAACAACGAAGTGGCTCCCACGACGATTCAGTATCATCCAGCCGCCATCTGGCTGCGTGCCAAACCTCTCAGGCGGAGTACTCATGCGCTCGTGTCATCGCTAGGTACCGGCCGCCTTCGGCTGCGACATTGGCCTCGCGCGACCACTGCGAACGCTGAACAGCATCTCGGCTGTAAGCAGTATTGGGTCTATGAATCTTCAAGCGAAAACATCGAGCGCAGCCTTGCCGAAACCAACAAACAGCGGCAACGCAGTCTCGAAGATTTCTGGGCCTGCTCCCCATTCGCACCGGCTGTCATCATAGTTGACGCTGACGAGCACGTCTGCAAGGCGCTGACGGCTCTTGCTTTCGAGGTGAAGTCGCACACAGCCGGGAACATTGCCATTGTGCTGCTCGTGCGACTTTGCGACGCGCCGCGTCTTCGCAAACTGGTCAAAAAATTCTGCGATGCACTGCCAGAAGGCGCAACGCTGGACGACATCTGTCTCGCCGACGCACCCGCAGTCTGGTTGTCACCCGATGGTGGCATTTCGACGGCTCTACCGGAAAACACCACCCTTCAGGCATTCGAGGTCGTTTGTGTACCGCCCGTGCAGCCAACCGACGTGAAGGCGCAGACCCTTGTGAAGTGGATGCGCAGTGGGGAACCTGCGCCATGGGGCATGCTTTGTGCGAATGCCCTTGGCCTTCGCTCGGAGTGCACGGTGCTTGTTGATACTGTCGAAAAGTTTGCGTCCACGACCAGCCGAGTCGTTGTTCACATGCTCAAGGGCTCGCGCGCCTGCGGTATGACCACCGTTCTGCGCCAGGCAGCGCTTCTGCTGGCGCAACGCGGTCGGTTTGGCAGGGTGCTCTGGGCACGTCCAATGACACACCCTTGCCCCCTAGATGAAACGCGAGTCGCCGACGAGATTCGTCGCCTGCTGGTCGACTCAGACGGTGTTTCGGTGCTATTTGTGGACGAGACAGCTCAGCACGTCATTCCGCTCGTTCCCGAAAATGCTCGCTGCGTTCTCGTGCACGTTCCCGTCAAAGGACAACATGACCAGCATCCAATTTGCATCGCACCGCTATTGGCTCGGGACGACGTGCGTTCTTTTTGCGAGCCGCTGCTTGAGCGCTTGGACCGCGACTCGCGCAATGCACTCAAGCACGTCCGCGATCGCAAGGACCCACACCCGGCCGAGCGCCACATCCTCAACTACGTGTTCGCCGCGGTCACAGCGTCGTCACGCTCCGCAACCGCTTTTGTCTCAGACTGCCTTGCCGGCTTTGCCGACGAAGCCCGTCCTCTCCTTGCCCTCTTCGCACTGGTCACCCTCTTTGACTTTCGCGGCGAGACCTGGTTCAATCGCGTCATGGCCCAGCCTTTAACGCAGCATCTCGGTGTCAAGCAGCTTCTGCGCGTTACCGACAGTTCTGTCACGTTTTGGCACCCGCAAATCGCCATGCTGTGTCTGTCTGAGCTCTTCTTGCAGAGCGGTCAGCGCGAGCTGATTCTGTGGGATGACGAGCGAATGAAGCCAGTCGCTCGCGTCGACTGCCACCAGATGCTGTGCGAAGCATTCGAGTGCGCGGTCAAGTCTGCTCTGCAGGTTATGCCGTACATCGACGTCCAACGCATGATTCGGCGTTTGCTATTCGACCGTCCGGTGAATTACGCTTTTTCTTTGCTGGTCACTTGCCTGGACTGGTCGCCCGACGCCGTGCCAGCTTACGATCGCATGTGTGAAGCCGTCACGAGATACCTCAATGCTGACGACCGCGTGCACATGTTCATCCATCGCTGCCGGCGTCTTCGTCTGCGCACGCCGCGGAAGGACAAGAATCAGTTCTATGCAGCTGCGTTGTTGCCACTCTCCGCCAAGGCCGTCGAGCTCGCGGGCACTGGCCGTTTGCAGCCGCTCGCTTTGCACAACCAAGCGATGTGCTTGGAAGACTCGGAGCAACTTCCTGAAGCTCTTGAAGTGCTCACCAACTTGTGGAATGCTGACAAGCTGCCGAGAACCGCGTCCGCGACAGTTCACCAGCACCGGCGCGTCAAAACGGCCCGTGTAGGCCTTCGTATTGCTGAATTGCTTGGCGAGCAAGCCGCTATTGATCAGTGGAAGGCTCGCCTCGATGACAGCGACCCTCCCGCCGCCGCTGATTCGGATGACGACGTGGACACTCTCCGAGCGACCGCCGCTAGCCTCGACGAGGATGTGGACAGTCTCGCAGCTACCGATCTCGTTCCCGATCCTCCGGCTACAAGCCTCTTCCCCCTTATTCTCCCTCAATTATCCGCGTGTGATTAGCCCTGGATGTGACCATATTCCAATATTGTGCTAGAACCCATCGCTTTGCATTCCCGATCGTTCACTATTTCAGACCACGTTTTATCGTACAACGGTGTGCGAGCCTGAGTTTAGTTACTAGTAGTTTTACTGCCACATCAAACCTTTTGCTGATCAAATAGCTGTTGGCTCATGTTTGGCCGCGTCGATCAAACCCGCGCCAACAACAAACCAGGTGCTCCACGCGACGCCCTTCCCTCTCGATTCAGCTCCAATGAAGCTAGTCATCCCATCTTGTTGATCTTTACGTATGGTTCTCTTGGTTGCCAGTCTTCCTTTCTTTCCCGATTGCTGCTATGCCCTTGTATGAGCAAAAACGCCCAATCTCGTGCCCCCATTCCAAATCATGCCACTCACCGCTCACCACCCTTGTCACCTTTTGCCATTGACCATGCCTGATCCTTGATCCTTTGTTTTGCCGGCTCGCAGGCCTGGCGTTGCGCGCGCCGATCTGGCTGGCGTTTCGCTGCATGTGCGCAAGCGCTCGCCGTGGCTGTACGGCTACGTCTGGCCATTCGCGGTGCTGTACCTGGCCTGGTTTCTGGTCGTCTTTGTGCACTTTGAGGCCTGGCGCGCCATCGATCTGGAGGGCGCGGACGCTGCCGAGGCTGCCGCTGCAGACGCTCGCCTGCCTGCTGACGAGTACCTGGGCGACGTGCTCAACGCCACCGCCGCGGGCGTCTCGGGCGGCTCGTCCGATGCGCTGCTTGCCACGAGCGATGAACCGCCCCGCGTTCGATCGACCGAGGAGCTCGCACTCGAGTACGGCCTGCTCGCGCTGTTCGGGCTCGTGTTTGCCAACATTCTCACCGTGCTCGCATGCGAGTGGTCTGTCGATGTCAAAATCCGCATGACCTGCAGTCCTGTAAGTTCTGTATGCTGCTTCGTCTTTTTTTGAGGGGTTCTTGAGAGTCTTGATTGTTTGCGAGAATGCAAGTTTCTCAATCGCTGCTTTATTCATCATTTCCCTCAGGCATCCGACATTTACTCTGCGACTCTTGTCAAGGCCACTCCGCTGCCAAACTCTGGCGCCGCTGAACTCGTTCCTCTTCTGTTCAAACAGGTACCTCCACTGCAGTGAATTTGCAGGACTTTTGGTGAAATGTCGTCCTCAATCCTGAATGTTGTCACTGATTTGTCCCCGCGTTTTCAGTCATTGAGCAGCGCAACTGCCCGACCGGATGTCATGTTCGTCTTTCAAAAGACACAGTTTGTCTACGACGCCGAGAAAAACCAGTTTGGCACAGTGGACCTGCCCATCGGCCGCCCGCTGTCTTTCTACCGCGCCGCGCGAGGTCTCAGCGACGAGACGGAAGTGGAGCGCACAGAGCGCAAATACGGCCCCAACAAGTAACGCTGGGTTTCTGAATGTTTTTGACTGCTGCGTGTCATCGACCCGTGCACAACGGTTGTGAAGAGCTCATTTTTGGAATTTGTTTTGTCGGTTTTTTTTTTGGTTTTTTTTTTTTGCTTTTTGTCCCCAGGTTTGACATCCCGATCCCGCCATTTAGCCAGCTGTTCAAAGAGCACGCCACAGCCCCGTTCTTTGTCTTCCAAGTCTTCTGCGTGCTGCTGTGGTGCTTGGACGAGTACTGGTACTACAGCGTCTTCACCTTGGTGATGCTGGTCGTTTTCGAGGCGACCGTTGTGCAGCAGGTAACCCGCTGCCTGGACCATTGTTCCGGCCGTGCGTCTGTTTGCATGTGTCTTACTCGCGCACTCCTATCCTTTTCTTGCTGTAGCGCCTGCGAAACTTGCGCGAGCTGCGACAAATGCGACTCAAGCGCTACCAGATCTACGTCTTCCGCGATCGCAAATGGCGTCAAATTCCTTCCGACCGAATCCTCCCGGGCGATCTCTGCTCGTTCAGTGAGTGTCTATTGGGTGACTTGACGCATTGGTAGCTCATTTCCCCATCTAACTTGCTTGCTCTTTTTTTTTTTCCGTGGCTTCCGTTTCAGCTCGCCACCAAGACGACACTGCCATGCCGTGCGATGCTCTTCTTCTCAGTGGCACTTGCATTGTCAATGAGGCCATGCTTACTGGCGAGTCTGTTCCCCAAATGAAGGCAAGAATCTGAGCGTTGTGGTGCGCTTTTGGAGTTGTCAATCCAACCGCCCACTTATTTTGATGTTTGCTTTCGTTTTTCGTCAAAGGAACCGGTTCACCCCACGGCCGAAGACCTGTTGGATATTGAGCGTGGAAGCAAGGTGTCCTTGGTGTTTGGCGGCACCAAGATTGTTCAGCATGCCGCTGCCGAGGAACGGACGGAGGACAAGTATCATGGTAAGTCATAGCTTGATGACCTTGCACCCTTCGGCTACCCGACTTTTCTCACAACAGATCTCCTTTCTTGCCCATGCTTCACTCGCCTACTGTTTCTTTTTTTTTTCTTCCTTTTTTCCAGCACCCGATGGTGGTTGCGTTGGCTACGCCTTGCGAACTGGATTCAACACCTCGCAGGGCAAGCTGGTCCGCACCATCCTGTTCAGCACCGAGCGCGTGACGGCCAATACTCTTGAAAGCTTCATGTTTATCCTGTTCCTGCTGATTTTCGCGATTGCTGCCTCTGTCTACGTCTGGATTTATGGTTTGTGTTTGATTTGCTGTGAACCGGGATGTCTCTGCCTTGAGCCATCGCACACTCACCGTTTCTCGCTCGTACCTGAAACAGGCGCCGAATCCAACCCGGACCGCAGCACGTACAAGCTCCTGCTCGAATGCATCTTGATCATCACCTCGGTGGTTCCTCCCGAGCTGCCGATGGAGCTTTCACTCGCCGTGAACTCGTCCCTGATCGCGCTTGCCAAGTTTGGTATGGTGTTGATTCTTTATTTGATCGGCGATCGTCCTTGCCCGAACACACGCACATTGGCACTCATTTTTCTTTTCTCCTGCTGCTCCACAGCAATCTTTTGCACCGAGCCCTTCCGCATCCCCCTGGCCGGCAAGGTCGATATCTGCTGCTTTGACAAGACTGGCACATTGACCAGCAACGACCTGATTGTCGAGGGCGTCGCGGGTATTTCGTAAGTGGTTGTCACAGAGTTTGAGCCACCCCAAAGTTTTAGGTTTTGTGGGCTCATTGTTGGGTCCCCCTCAATAGTGCGACAAATCCCGAAGAAATCCTGGCCGTCGGCGACAGCCCCGACCACACCACGCATGTGTTGGTCACCTGCCATTCTCTGATGCACGTGGATGACGGCTTGGTTGGCGACCCGATGGAGCGCGCTACTCTGCTTGCTGCAAACTGGAATTTGACCAAAGGTGCGGCAAGCGCGTCCGCAGTTTGTGCCCGTCTTCGTTTTGTTGACCGAACATTACTTCTTGCTTCCCAACACAGGTGACGTTGCCATTCCGAAAAAGAGCAACAAGCGGCAAACACTCAAAATTTTGCAACGACACCACTTCTCGAGTGCGCTCAAGCGCATGTCTGCCGTTTGCTCGTTGGACTTGGAGGGCCAGCTGTCTGTTGTGGTGACGGTGAAGGGTGAGTGATCTGGTGGACTGGCCTTCGTACGTAAAAAAAAAACAGTCGTTTCTGACATCTTGGTTGTCTGTCGTTGCGTTAGGTGCTCCGGAAATGATTGCAGGGATGCTCGAGCAGGTGCCCGACTTTTACGAAGAGACGCACAAGGCGTTTGCGCGCCGCGGTGCTCGTGTGCTGGCTCTCGCGTACAAGAAGCTTCGTGATGTTTCCCAGCATGCGGTAGGTCGCTATTCGACCAATACTACTGGTTTGCCAGCTTTCTCACCGTCCTTCCCATATTGGTTTTTTGGGATTTATTGTTGCAGGCCAAAGATATTCCGCGCGAGCAATTGGAATGTGGCTTGACCTTTGCTGGGTTTTTGATTCTGCGTTGCCCGCTCAAGCCCGATTCGCAGGCGGCGCTCAAGATGATTGCTGACGCGTCTCATTTGGTATTGATACTTACTCTGAGTTGTGTGGATCAAATTTCTAGAGCGTGCCTTAACTCACAGTTCCACTGCTGTCAAACTCCTTCAGATGGTGATGATTACGGGCGACAATCCGCTGACTGCCTGCCATGTGGCTCGCGATGTACACATTGCAAGCAAGCCGTTGTTGATCCTTGGTGGCGGCGACGCAGGTACATGCTTGAGCGAAAATTTTCGCAGCTTTGCAAGGTGTTTCTTGAATATTCGTTCTCACTTCTGAGCAATATTCTGCGCTTTTGGCAGATTTGCATGCCGAAGCTGGAGAGTGCACCTGGCAATCGGTCGACGAAAAAGAAGGCTTCCCTCTGGCGCAGTTGCTGCCCGGCAATTCGGATCGTGCTCGAATCCTCGCCAAGTACGACCTTTGCGTTACCGGCAGCGGCCTGAAGCATGTGTTGACCAGCGATCCTCGAGTTTTCAACGGCATGCTCCCATTCATTCACGTGTTTGCTCGTGTCACACCTGATCAGAAGGTATATGGCGTGTGTTTTTTTTTTTTTTTGTTTGTTTGTTTGTTTGTTTTCTTTGGATGCTGTGGTTTTGTAACTCTCCGTTTCTCACCACCGCCTCCACTCCAGGAGGCGATTGTCGTCGCCATGAAAAACGCTGGCTATGTGACTCTGATGTGCGGAGACGGTACGAACGACGTCGGTGCCCTCAAGCAAGCGCAGGTTGGTATCGCGTTGCTCGATGGAACTCCCGAAAGCCTGGCAAAAGAGCGCGAACGCCTTCGAGCTCTGGCACGTGAGCGCGCGCGCAAGATGGCCGAGGACATGGCTGCCCGCTGGGGCGCCGCGCGTCCCCGAGCAACCCTCCCCAACGGCACTGCGGCACCCGAGCTGACTCCGCGACAGCAACAGCAGCAACAGCAAATGGCGAACGCCTCCAAAGCCATGTCGGACATGATGCCAGACATGGAGGACGCCGAAGTGCCGCTGGTCAAGCTCGGCGATGCGTCGATTGCCTCCCCGTTCACCTCCAAGCTGAACTCGGTGATGGCTGTTTGCCACATTATTCGTCAGGGTCGCTGCACCCTTGTGACCACGCTCCAAATGTTCCGCATTCTTGCCCTCAACTGCCTGATCTCTGCCTACAGTCTCAGTGTCCTCTATCTCGACGGCGTTCGGCTCGGCGACGTGCAGGCGACTGCGCAAGGCATGCTCCTCGCTGGCTGCTTCCTCTTCATTTCCCGCTCCCAGCCCGCCGAGAAGCTCTCAAAGCAGCGCCCACTCCCCAATATCTTCAACCCCTACATGCTCCTCACCGTGCTCTGCCAGTTTGCCGTGCATTTGGCATGCCTGATGTTTGTAGTCTACGAGGCCAAGCTGCTTTCGCACGAGAGGTGAGGACCTTGCGATGTTTTGTTTTGCCTCATCAGATTTTTTTGGGTGGTGGTGGTGGTGGTTTTTCTATCTTATTCAACTGCGACTGTGTTGAAATGTTCTTTTTGCTGTTTTTCGCGTCGGCAGTGACGCTGTTCGCCGCAAGCATGACAAAAAATTCGAACCCAGCATCTTGAACAGCGCTGTTTACATTATTGCAATGTGCATGCAGATTTCAACCGTGACTGTCAACTACCAGGTAAGCGTGCCAGTGTTGTGCTGTGGATGAGATGGACTCGCGCGTGTCTGACTTTTGCTGGTTGCGCTTGGTAGGGTCGTCCATTCATGCAGGGACTTTCTGAAAACAAGCCTCTGCGGATTGCCATCATGATTTCCTTTGGTATCATCGTGGCTACCGTGTCTGGACTGTTCCCCGAGGTCGCCTCGGGCCTGCAGATTGTCGAGTTTGATGCCGAGGTGAGCCGCATTGTGCTGTTTTGATTGGCTGCCCAACAGTGTCGCTGCTGGACGTGGCCTCACCATCTAACTGGGTACCTTTCCTTGCTTTTCTTTCCTCTCGCACACAGTTCCGAGCGAAACTGATCGGCGCGCTGGTGGTGGACCTGGGCGTCACGTTCTCTCTCGATCGTCTCCTTGGCGCGATTTTCAACCGGAACGTCCCTCGCTTCGTCACCTATTAAACTCTAGCGCGTGTTGTTTGGTGTTGTCTTGTCACAGTACATTTTGGTTTGGATTTGATTCTTGTTTTGGTTGCAGCCAGTCGTCATTTTTCCTTATTTGTTGTTGATCTGAGCGAGTTTGACTCTTCGCCACCCAACTTGACCAACCGCCCATCATCGTGACACTTTTTTTTTTTACAGATTCGTGGTCAACGTTTCATCCGATGACCAATCCCGCCGAACCGGCGCCGCGAGATGACGCTGCAGAAGCAGAACACGTCCCAGAAGCATCGAGCTCCTCCTCCTCCTCCTCGCGGCCTCAGCGCCAGTCCGCCGGTCGCATTACTCGATTCGAGTTTGAGCCCGCGCCGCGCCAACCGCGGAGAGCGTCCGTCACGAGCTCTGCGGCGGGTCCTGCAAAGCGATCGCGTGTCGCCAACGACGACCAGCAGCCGACTGCGGACCCTTCATCCATGTCTCAGCTGCTTGCTGCTGCCAGTGTCGCGTCCAGCGCACTGCCACACGAGAGCAGTAGCAGCTCGTCTGCCGCCGCTGCTGCTCCTGGTGCGGAGGACTCTGGCGCTGCGGCGGCATTGCGTCCAGCCACAGCTGCTTGGAGCCAAGCATACATCCCAGTCACTGTGCCGGCAAGCTTGAAATCTCGAGGACACGGAGAGCTTGAAGCATATCGAACAAATCTAGTGGCGTGGCGGGACGCTTGCTGGTCCCAACTGGATCGGCAAAAGGTGGATGCGCAGCCGCCCTTGTCCAAGCAGCTGGCCGCTGCGTTTGCCGCGATGGCTCAAGAGAGCAGGTGGCAAGCAGCGGAAGACCGGGAGCCCGCAGCCGGCCAGTGTGACTATGCTCAGATTTACACGTACTTTCAACACCTGGCCGAGCCGCCATTTTCGGCACGCGTCAACATGGCCGACATGCTCGGCCCAGCTGAGAAACAAGTTGTTGAAACACTCTTTCACATGCTGCTTGACTCTCTTGAGGCTGTGGATGTGCATCACCATCGTCACATCTTGCGGCAGCGCTATCACCAGCTTTGCGACCAGCAGCAGCATGCGGTCAGTAGCAGCGGACCTCAGCTCTCTGCTAGCCCGTCCGTTGCACCTCCGCCCGCACCCGAAGCGTCGGGAATGGCCTCTGGCGGGACTTTGATCACTAATTCGGCGTTACATGCCCTCAATCCGTTCCAGCTTGCGGTGTCCATGCTGAATCCATTGGCGACAAACACCCAACAGCCGGCCGCCAGCTGAGTTGCATCGCTTATCGTTCCCCCAGACTTCTGGTTTCTTTTTGCTTATTTGATTCTCCTGTGCTTGTTCGGGTTGGCGAGGCGGGGTCTTTTTTCCATCTCGATTCCGCGACTTTTTTCCCATTCGCTACTGTACAATACGCTGCGTTAGTGACACCTCTTTAACTTATAGTAATAATACTGCATTCAATTGCTAATGGACTCGATGCTTCTTTTTTCCTGCATCCCCTTCATTGGGGGGCCATGTCAGTCATCATAATTGCAGCTTCCAGTCCATATCTCATGGTTCAGCTGGAAATCTGCATTGATTCGGTCGAGTCGGCGATCGCTGCTCAGCAAGGAGGTGAAACTGCGAGCGATCATCACAGACGCTTACTCTTGCATTGATGCAATCCTGCAAGGTCCTGACATGATGTGCGTGTAACTCGTAGGCGCCAATCGGGTCGAACTCTGCTCCGCCTTGTTCGAGGGTGGCCTCACGCCGTCAGTCGGCATGCTCAAGTGCGTTTTGAAAGCAGTGTCCGTTCCGGTCTTTGTCATGATCCGGCCGCGCGGTAAGGCCTTTGGGTGGGCGGAGCGGCGTGGTGGTGCTCGCGGGTGCGCTTAGAACTGAGCATTGAACGCTAAATTTGGACTTGACAACTTTCGTTGATGTGCGTTTTGTTTTTTTGTTTTTTTTTTTTTTTTTTTTTTTTTTTTTGGCTGACAGGTGGAGACTTTTTGTATTCGGAGCTCGAGCGAGCTGTCATGCACGAAGATGTGGTTGCTCTCAAGGCCGCCGGAGCACACGGAATCGTGCTTGGCGCGCTGAATGCAGATGGCACGATCGATGTGGATTTCTGTCGAGCGTTGATTGGTATGTAGACCAGAGAGCTCTGCACAAAGCAAGTTTCCGCACGCCGTCGAGCGCTTGGCTCGAGCGTTTCTGGTGGAGCAACTCATTCGAATGGCTGGCATGTTTGATTGGTTTTGGAGCAGCCGCAGCTCGACCGCTGCCCGTCACGTTTCATCGGGCCTTCGACATGAGTCGAAACCTAGAAGAGAGCATGTCAGCGTTGATCTCGTTGGGAGTCGAGCGAGTCTTGACGAGTGGCATGGAGGCGACTGCCTTCGAGGGCTGCGACAACATTCGAGCCATGATTGCACAGGTTGGTCTTGCTTGTGAGATTGGTGTTTGTGTGGATTTGGTGACTTTAGGGGAGTTGTGTTCTGTTGGCTGGGTTGTTTGTTGCTCAGGCTCGCTCTCCATTCTGTCGGGTCTTCAACAAAACAAACAGGCCGAGGGGAGTGGTCTGATTGTCGTTCCAGGCGGAGGCATCACCGAGCGCAATCTGCCCAAAATCCTCAAGACCACTGGTGCGACCGAGTGTCATTGCTCTGCGCGCCAATCGTATGATTCACGCATGGTTTATCGAAACACGGGCGTTTTTATGGGAGGGACGCTTCGTCCACCCGAGTTTTCCACCTCAATCACTCATGCTGGCCGCGTTGCTGGCGTCGTAGCCGCTGCTCGCCTTGCGCAGTGACTCGTTCATCTGCTTGAGTGTTGATAGGCAGCGCGGAGGTTTTTTTTTTTTCTTGGTTTTTTGTCATACTGTAAATTTGTTGGTCTTCCCCTCGTGCTGCACCCAAATTCTCGAGTGCACGATACTTTATTGCATGCTTCAGCAGTGATTCAGGGCATGCTCCTGGTTGGTAACAGGTTTCCAAGCAGGTTTTTTGTTTTTCTTGCTTTTTCTGGCGTGATGCATAGCAAAACGCATCGCTCGATGTTGCTCGATGTTGTTCATTTTCTCACGCATGGCTGTCACGAACTAGTTTCTGGCGCCCCCGAACTGGATGGCCAAGGCCATGTTCGGTGCGCGGACTGCTGGCGCAATCGACCTCACACATCATGCTGCTTTGAGGGAATGAGAGAAGATGTGTCATTTGGTGTTGTCCTGTGCTTTTGTTTTTCTGTGGTGCGGGACTTGGTTGTTATCGCTTGCTTGTTATCACCTCACACATGTCGCATCAGAAACACACTGTTTACGCCCAAGCAACCCGCCCAAGCAAGGGAGTGTTCGCATACATTTGGCCATGAGAAGATGCGCCCTTTTCTTCGATGCTACAGCTGCTACTGCTGCGAATACGCTCACTCGATGGATCAGGACCTTGAATAATCACAACGGCAAAAAAACAAAACAAAATCGCCCAACGGTGGGAAATCGTGTGAAAATCCGATCGACTGGATTCCGCATGTTACCCGCTTTTTCACGTTCTTTTTTGTGAACCTCCATTTCGGATCTTCTTCCATCTGTGCTTCCTGCTCGATCAAAGCCAATCTATCCATTTCTTCATCCTGCCACACACACACACAGCCTCCCCTCGAACCCAAGCACCAATCCAAGCTAGCTCCGATCCATTCCAAGCGACAACAACAACAACAAGCAACAAATAAAGTATTTTTTGTGCGATTCTCTACAACTACCGCAAGCACGCTCCTCCCTCCTCCTCCTCCTCCTCCCTCCCTCCCTCCTCCCTTCCCCTTTTTCTTTCGCCTCCGATTGCCTTCTCTCCTCTCTCGCTCTCTCTCGCTCTCTCTTTCTCTCCTTGTACCGCTATTTCCCCTCGCACTCCTCTCTCTCTCTCAGTCTTAAATCCTTCAAAACCTCAGTCAAAACCAACAAAGAAGAAGAGCAAGGTTGACACATTTTTTTTTTCGGTTTGCAGCTTGGACGTTGGCTTTCCTTTTTGTTTCTAGTCCCCCCCCCGCGGCAGGCTGCTGGGCTCCTCCTGAGGTTTCGGCTCAACAACAAGCCTCATCACGCGTGGTTGCTCAACCCGGCGGCTCCACCCTTCTCGTTCTCGCTTCTAACTCCACCGACAAGCGAAGCAGCTCGCAAAAAAAAAAAAAAAAAAAAAAAAAAAAAAGGACCATGCCGAGCAACAACACCTGCCCGTACCCGTACACGCCAGCGCCTGCGTGCGACCAGACGTACGCCGAGTGGTTTGGCGGGGCGTACACGGCCGTGTGGATTGTCTTTGCTGCGCTCGCTGCGCTGGAGCTGGTGCTGGGGTCGGTGCAGACCTTCCGCCTCGTCCGCCGCTTTGGCTTTGATCCATGGGGCCTGCAGCAGCTCGTCACCGAGATGGCCGTCTTCAACGGCCTCATGCTCATCATCCGCATTCCCGACCTCTTTGGCTACAAGGACAGCATGTCTCTCGTCGAAGGTGTCGCGAGTGGACTCCAGACGACCGCCTGCATCACCAGTTTGTAAGTAGACGGGTTCTCCGACCCTCGGCGTCACCAAGCGACGTTTCCCCCTTTTTTTCCATGCCATCCCTCGCCCTCGCCCCCCCCCCCTCCTCCTCCTCTGCCCTGTCTCTTCTCCTTCTTCTTCTTCTTCTCTTTCTTTTCGCTCTTTGTGCGTCGTTTCCAACAGTCCTTTGCATCTTCCTGCTAATTTGCGCAATTTGTCCTTTATTTTCTTTTTTTTTTCTTTTTTTTTTTTTGTTCTTTTTTGTATTCGATCCAAGATCACAACAAGATTTCGATCAAAGAAAATCATAGCGAGAATAAGGTTTTTTTTTTTTTTTTTTTTCGTTCTTGTTCTTGTTCTTTCTTTCGAATCACGCTCTATCGCTCGTTCCACCCGTTGTTGCTGCGTGGTTGGCAATGACGTTGCTGTTCCGCATTGTTTGTGCCATCCTGGACTGCCTCCATGGTGAGGTGGTCGTCTGGGTCAAGATCGGAGATCACACACAAAAACACACACACACACAAAAAAAAACCATTACTGCTGTTTGAATAGCAACCGAAAAAAACCAAAACGCAAACAGGCTCGTCCCTCCAAGGAACGAACGAATGAGCGGTGTCGCTTAAGAGGACAAGATATAGTGTGAGTGTGTGCAGACGTGCGAGGGACGGAGGGAGGATCTGGAGCTGGCGGGTGTTTTTCGGTTTGCGAATTCTCACCTCAAACCCACTCCCAAAATAAGGCAACGCTTGATCTTGAATGCCAAAAGCAGCTGCACTGACTCAGGTTTTTGCTGTTTTTCAATCTGCTTGCTGTGCTTGTCCGTTGTTCACCAGAATCGCGGTCGCCTTCTCCTGGTTTCGCATCGTTTTGTGGGGCGAGGAACACTTTACGCTGAAACTCATCGTTTCGTGGCTGCAGCGAGTCTCCATGCTGCTTGCATGGACTGTTTTGCCGGCCTTGTCCATCGCGTATGGACTGCTGGACGCCTGGGCTGTACAGCTGGTGCGCTTCATTTTGCTCGGCTTGATCGAGCTCGCCTGGCTTTGCGTTGCCCTGTTTTTCGGGCTCTTGATTGTCCGTCACACACGCGAAGCCAACCGGCTCTTGGCGTTGGCACCCTACACTCCGTCTCAGTCAACCGACACGGCCGCACCCACATCGCCGCCATCCAACCCATCGCCAACCGAGTCATCGTCTGTGATTGAGATGAAGGCAGTCACTCTCGAAGCGCCGCCAAGCGCGAGCTCGAGCGAGGGTGCAACGCCGTCCAGGTCGCGCGATCGCCTGGCTGGGTCGGGCGCACTGAGCACCCGAAGCAGCACTTCGAGCCTCCGCCCAGAGGATGTGCGCCCGATTCAGACACATCTCTACTCGTTCACGCTCGATCTCGCAGTCCCGAAGCCCATGCGACGACGGGCCGCGACCAAGGTGCCCCTCACCTTGCACAAGCGAAGAGCCATCTTGATTCGTCGCATTCTCAAGTTAATTATTGTGACGTGCACTCTCATGGTAGCCGTCGTGGGCTACCAGTTCTATCTGGCCAGCTCGCTCGCCAAATCGCGCGCCTCTTCGGCCAGAGCGCCATCCATCACCACCACCAGCTTCATTTTCGACATTGTGCTTGTTTCCATTCAGTGGTTTTTCGGCATGTGGCCCATGTACTCTTTCCGCTCGCTCGTTCGCGAGAAGGACAGCGCCAGTGAACGACCCACTTCCACGCTCATCCCAACGCATCACTCGGATCACGCACCTGCATCACGAGGAGCGACCTCGCGACGAGGAGTCGGTTCTGAGAACGACGATGATACCAGTGTCACCGTCGAGGATGATGATTCCGGCGCGGATGCCGGCACTCCTTGAAAAATGGCAGAATGAGCTTTGCCACAAGGTCTATCAATCGGATAGACCTCCTACATACCACTCCCTCCCCCCTCACTCCGTCCACGTTATTTTGTGATATAGCACGATTACGATTTTGTTTTTCACTGTTGTTAAGATTTTGCGATTTAGTTGTTCTTCTTGTTTTGGTTTGGTTTTGGTTTGGTTTTTTGTGTCGTGTCCTTTTTCGTTGAGCTAGAATCACTTGCAACGACTGCAGCTGTTGCATGGTGTGCTCTGTTTCATTATTATTTCCCCCCCCCCCGCTGTCTTTTTCGGAAATGCTCTGTTTGTTTCTCCCAATGAACAAAACGCTAATTCTCATTGTTTACGTTGTTGTCGTCTCCCAAACCCAAGTTGCCGTCATACTGTAAGACTGAGACTTGTCATTCAAAGATTCTTTGTTCAAATGTCACATCAGACCATGACACGGACTGAGCACGTAATTTCAAATCAAGCAAACTGTCAAAAAGTGATCCGAGAAGGGGGAAAAAAAAAAAATCACTTGGTGGGGCCAATCACCACAGTCACGAACTTGCCGTTGCTCGCGGACGAGGTGGGCGTCAAGTAGACGTGGTTCTTGATGGACGACTGGGTCACCACATTCGAGGGGTTGACGCTGACCGTGTAGCCGTTCTGGTAGTGCACATCCTCGGCGAGGAAAATGTCGGTGGGCAGCTTGCATGCAGCGTTGACGTAGTACTCGAGAATGAAAATGCGAGTGGCAACGTCGTACGAGTAGTGGAAGGTCTTGCCGGCAACAGCCTGAGGGTAGGTGCGAGCCACGGTTTCGACAACGGGCCAGTTGTACGTGCCGTTGGTGGGCCACCAGATGGACGGTCCGTAGGTGGTGTCCTCAAAGACCTTGTAATCCCAGCCAAACCAGCTCATCTGGTACTTGTCTGCGGCGTCCATGGTCTTGGACATGTGCTCGAGGGCCGAGGGGGTGTCGCTGGGGTCGATGAGGAACTCGGTCAGAGCGAGCGACGTGCCGTAGCGCTCAGCGTCCGAGTAGCGGGCAGCAAACTGATTCATGGGCGAGACGTTGGGGCCAAAGTAGTAGTGCAGGCTGATGACGGACTGGTTGGAGTACTGGAAGCCGCCGGGAGGGTGCTCAAAGCCCATGGGGACAAAGTCGTCCCACGTCACCGACTCAAACCAGATGATGGCGTTGGGGTCTTGCTCGCGGATGACGTTGCTCAGGTTGTCATAGAAGGGCTGGAGGTTGACGCGATCGGCAACACTCGGAATCATCAGCTCGGGGTTCTTGTAAATGTTACCAGCGAAGGGCTCGTTGATCAGCTCGTACCCAATCACGTTCGTGTTGTTCTTGAAGCGCTGCACGATGCGGCGCCAGTGGTCGCTGAAGCCCTGGTTGGCGGGGGTGCCAACAGTGTACAGCTTCTGGTAGGCGTCGGCCTGCGCGGCAGTGAACTGGTAGTCAGACCAGTCGAGCTTGGCGCAATCGGCGGCGCTGGGCATGTGCGTAACGGGGTCGATCGCGTAGGGCTCGGCCAGTGGCAGAGGCAGCGCGGGGGTCATGGGGTCGACGGCAATCTGAGCGAGCCAAGTGGGGAAGCCCTCGCCGCAGAGGCTGGCCGAGAAGCAGTCTGGCGTCAAAAAAAAAAAAAGAAAAAAAAAAAACAAAGGAAGAGGCAAGATGTTAGTTTCCGCCTTTTTCATTTTCTTTTTTTGTTTTTTTCCTGACTTCATCATCTCTGAGCATGGTTGTTTTACCTTGGTGGGTCTCAATCATGACATACATGTCGCGGGAGGCGGCAATCTCGATCAGGGTTTGCATCAAGCTCAAGTACGTTTCGTTGAAGGCGCCCTGAGCCGGCATTGCGCCGTCCATCATGATGCTCAAGCTGTTGCAGCAGACAAGTCCAAATAAAAAAAAACATGACAATAACGTGTAACCCGGTGAGCCATCAAGGCGGGGATTCTTTGATTGTCTTCGGTCGAGTGGTGACGCGAGGGCATATGCCCTTATGCTCCCTCCACTCTCTCGAGATTGACTCCAATCACCAAAAATTAAATCACAATAATAATTGCTTTTAGGGGAAAAATGGGAAACGGGAGCGACCAAATCAGCTCAACTGAAACAATGGCCATTGTCAAAATGTTGAACAAATGTGCAGCGAAGTGGGATATCACAAGGCCGGCAAAAAAAAAAAAAAAAAAAAAAAAAAGTTATCAATTCATTTTGCACACCTGTTCCTGTCCGTCTCTCTGTCCGTCTCTCTGTCCGTCTCTCGCTCTCTCTCAAGCTCTGTCGCGCCTTCTCCTTTCATATTGCAAAGTAGAGTAAGACTCCTTTCCCCCCCCCCCTGATCCTTTGGGCCAGCGTAGAGTCGGCCGATCCGCGCTTTTTTTTTTTTTTTTTTTGTGGATCGGCTCAATAGGCTCAAAAGGCACCATGCAGCCGCTCACCCGATCCACTCCCAGCCATTCGCTCCCTCCAGCGACGCACAATAACAATCACACACTACACACATACACGCGCATTCGATCGGCACGCTGCAGACACAGTATTGAGCAATAAAAGCTTCAATCACTCTTGTGGCTTGCGCAAATTTGGCGATTTTTTTTTTTTTTTTTTTTTTTGTGAGGTGAGTGTGCTTACCGGATAACGTTGAGGCCAAAGCCGGTGAGGACGTCGACGTCCTCCTGCGAGAAGCTAAAGTTGACATCAAAGTGGTCAATCACTGGCACGTACGGCACGTTCAAAACAAGCATCAAGGCAGCTGTCAGTTATTTTGTGTTTTGATTTTATCTTGTTTTGTTTTATTGTGTTTGATTTTTTGATTTTTTTTTTTTTTTTTTTTTTTTTGTTTCACAGGAAGCCCGTCTGCGCTGGAGCACTGCAGCAACAGGGGAGCAGAGCGAAAGGAAAGGGGGAACAGACCTTGTTGACGACGTTCATGCCGTGGAAGAAGCGCTCGCGGTTGTCCTCGTCAGCAAAGCGCTGGCCAGAGACGTGCATCTTGAGCGGCGCAGCCGACGCGAATGCAGCGAGCGCAGCCACGACAACCAAAACAGCGGCACAACGCATTTGGATTGAAGAAAAAGAAAAAGAAAAAAATGAGGAATGAGCTGCTCAGATCGAAATTAACGTTGATGTTTTAAAATGTAAGATTGCTTCTGTGGTTTAGGGACGACGTGCAAAGTTTTGGGATTGAAATTTGATGGGCTACATTTCCAAGAAACATCGAAACATAGGTCGCACAACGTTTCCAGCGAGCGTTCGAATGCCGTGCGATCTACTCCCGCAGAAACGTCATGGAAAACAGCGTGCATGGATGTCAATTGAAAACCTGTCGACCGAAACCAACCCTTGCATGATTTTCTCCCTTTCGATAATGTTCAGGTCAGTTGTCGTTTTTGTTTGTTTTTGGGAGTATTTGGGTTTCTTTGTTGTACAGTTGCTTCAATGGTGCTGGATCGACCAATGACTGAGAGCCAGCAAAGGGGGTATGACCTCGTCACGAATTCTCAGAGTCGCTCGCTCGAGTAAGAGAAAGCCGTATGTATTGGAAAGTGCGACCTTCCGCGTGCTGACGAAATGGAGAAACAGTCTGTTCAGCCGTCAGACTGGCAGTGCTGAAGCTCAGGCGATTGCTGAAGCACTCAGCCTGAACACCACGGCGACCTTGCTCAAGTAAGGCATCGCACCTTGACTGATGCATCCGAGTGGGTAATTACGCAGATGGACACGAAGAGTGCTCACTGATGGAGGGGATGGACAGGCTGAGTTGCAACCAGATTGACGATGCTGGAGCGCGCGCAATCGCCGAGACTCTCAAAGTGAACACCAGGCTGACTGAGCTCCAGTACGTCAGATCACCAGTACTGATGATGTGAGTGGATGATTTCAGTGCAGGGCATTACGAGTGCTCACTGATGGAGGGGACGGACAGCCTGAGTGCGAATCGGATTGGTGACGGTGGAGCTGAGGCGATTGCCGAGATGCTCCAAATAAACAAGACGCTGACCAAGGTTGAGTGAGTCATTTCAGTCTGATGCATGCGAGTGGGCGATTGATGCATGAGAACGAGCGACTCAACAGAAGACGTAAGCCAGCTCACTATTCGACGGGACGGAAAGTCTATATGGCAATCAGATTGAACCTGCTGGAGCGCAAGCCATCGCTGGGGCGCTCAGAGTGAACAAGACGTTGACTTATCTCGAGTAGGGCATCTCGCTTTGATTGGTGCATGTGAGTGGATGATTCAGTCGAGGCATTCAGAGAACTCACTTTGGAGGGGATGGATAGTCTGTCAAGCAATCGGATTCGTGATACTGGAACGCAGGCAATTGCAGAGACACTCAAAGTGAACAAGACGTTGACTTATCTCAAGTAAGGCATCTGATGCATACGAGTGGGTGATCCGGCTGAGGACATTCGACTGCTCACCGATGAAAGGGATGACAGTCTGCTTTGCAATGGGATTGGAGCGCAGGCGATTGCTGAGGTGCTCAACGTGAGCACGACACTGACGTCGCTCGAGTAAGGCATCTTTCTTTTACTGATGGGTGCAAGCGAATGAGTTTCCGCAGATGCTATTCAGAGTGCTCACGGAAAGAGGAACAGTGTGGGTTGGAATTCCTTTGGCGTTATTGGAGCGCAGGCGATTGCCGAGGCACTCAAAGCGAACACGAGGCTTAAAGAGCTCATGTAAAGCATATCGCTTTTACAAATGCATGGAGTGGTGATTTAGCAAAGACATTCAGTGTGCTCACTGATGGTGAGGATGAACAGTCTGGAATCGAATCAGATCGGCCATGCTGGAGCGCAGGCGATCGCTGAGGCACTCAGAGTGAACAAGACGCTGACGAGGCTCGGGTAATGCAACTTACTTTGGCTGATACCTGTGAGTGGGTGATCCAGTCGAGGGTATTCAGAGCTAACTGATGGTGAGGATGAACAGTCTGGAATTGAATCAGATTGGCGATGCTGGAGCACAGGCCCTTGCTGAGGCACTCCATGTGAACAGTACGCTGACAGATCTTACGTAAGGCATCTGATGCATATGTGTGGGTGATCAAGTAGAGACAGGAAGAGCGGCTTACTGATGGAGGAGATGTGGACAGGTTGCGGAGGAATCTGATTGGCGACGTTGGAACGCGCGAGATTGCTGATGCACTCAAAGTAAACACGACGCTGACTAATCTCGAGTATGGCATCTGATGCATATGAGTGGGTGATTCATGACAGAAAGATGGCTCACCATTGGAGGGGGGATGGACAGTTTGAGTTACAATCAGATTGGCGACGCTGGAGCGCAGGCGATTGCTGAAGCACTCAAAGTCACTCAGACGATGACTACACTCAGGTAGGTTGCTGTAAGTTTTGGTGGTCTGGGAGACTGCGTCAGGGGCCAGCCATACCTCGCCATGTTGTCTTTCTGCTCACCCGTTGCGAGATAGTCTACGCAACAATTTCATTGGCGATGCAGGTGTTCAGTCGCTTAGGAAGGCGCAGACAGTCAACTGCAGGCGTTCACTTACGTATGAGCGCCATTGTTGCTCGGGCAAACTTGCTCAAACTGACGGAGTGGCCATACTTGCTGATCATGTACCTCGCTGGTTTGTTGCACAGTTTGGATGACCAGATAAACCCTCTTGCACTCTCCTTACTGCCGCGCTTCGAAACTGCTGAGAACACTCAGACCGTGTTCAACTTGCTGATCAGCGGACCGGAGATGAAGGATCAATTCGCGACTCTGCCCGCCCTGCCGGTCGAGATTGCCGAACTCATTATGGACGAAGCGTCTTACTGGCATGGCGCACAAGACGTCACACAGTTGCCAGTCAATTCTAGGGCACTTACAGTGCCTCGGAACGTCAATGGAGCGTCGATTCGTGTGAAAACCATTCAAGCGCTTCGTGACAGAAAAATACTTCCCGACGACACGACGAATAACGTTTTCGATCTGATTATTCGAGATGCGACAAATGCCGTTCGATACGAGTGTGCTGCGAAGCCGACATTCGTCGATTCGACCACGGAGCTTTTGACGATCAGTCCGGCGAGTCATCCCATCATCCGACAAATGCGCGACGGTTGGACGGTTGAAATTCAGCCAAGCATGTCGAGCCATACAGTGCGATTCGAATGGCTTCATGTCGGATACCTCTGACAACCATAGATGGCCGATGCTCCAACGCCTTTTTCGAATCCAGGTCTGGATCGTTTCGTTGTTAAATTTCTCAATGTCCCAAAATGCTGCACACCATAAAAGTCAGTCCATTCTGAGCATCCGTGAGTGTTGTGTTGGAGGGATCACCATGGACACTGCATTCGACTCTGCCTTCCCCCAGCCGTACCTAGGCAGACAGACAGCGGCAGCAGCAACCGCAGCAGCACAGGCGGCAGCAGGACACGCAGCCAAGCAGCAGCGCCTGCAGCTCGAGTGGTCGGCGACGATGCTCAAGCAACTGCAACCTCAGGACAAGCAGCAACTACCCAGCAGCAGCACGACCACAACCAATACCACTACAACGACTAGCACTACAAGCACAACTTCAGCCACGCCCCAGTCACAAGCACAGCAGACGCCAGCAGTCCAAGGCGCCAGGTTGCCCGACTCCACTTCACTAAGTGCACTGTCGCTGTCGCGAGGGATGATGACGACACCCGTCCCCGTCCCCGTCGCTCCAGCTGCAATGTACATGTCCTCAGGACGCTGCCTAGCTCGAATGCTGCAAATGAACGAGTTGCTCAATCACAACCGCCTTGTGAGTAAAATCTGTCTGTGTCTTTTTGCTTGTTTTGGCTACGCCTGTTTTCGCACACTTTTTCACACATACTTTGAGCTGTTCCATGAAGAAACTTATCTTGATCTCATGTGTTTATTTGTTGGGTGTGACAGAATTCGTTGGGATGGTGGCAGCAGTTTACAACCGAGTTCTTTGCGACAGACGCAATCATTCAATACTCGTTGTGGAATAGTGTGGATGGTACGACGCGCTCGTTTGGTAAGCAGTCATGTCTGGTATTGACGATATTGCGTCCGCATTGACTCACGGACACCACAGACTTTCCAGCCGCGCTTTTACCGCGATTCTACAAGGCTCATTTTGACAGCGGCATCACCGAGCTCGCATTGTTGATGAAAACCCCGCGAGAGTTACCTCGCGATTCCTCGAAGGCGCCTGTCCTCTTGGAATCGAACGTTGCCTCTCTCCTTCATGGGTTTGACAAGACGACGCAGGTTGTTGCTTCACAGCGGATTTTTTTTTTTTTGTTGGGGGGGGGGGCAAGAAGTTGATCCGACTGGTGTGCTCAACATGCACTGTACTGTACTGTACTGTACTGTACTTCCTGTACTGTACTGAAAACAGGTGACTTTCAATGGTCAGTTTCAAGCTACATTTGATCAAGATGCCAAAATTACCTGCTGGAGGTTTGATGTGCAAAATTTTCGAGAATACGTGCTCCGCGACGCTGTTGCCGCTGTCCTGCCGCCTCCGTCGCCCATCAATGAATATGGCATGACAAAACCGGTGATGCGTTGTCTTGAGGTACGTAGGCACAGATGGAATTGCGTTTTGTGCGTGAACAGTGAGTGTGGCGCGTTGCGGTTTTGTTGACTTTTTCGTGCCACTTGCTTGAGATAGCTTGCGGAAAATGTGGTGCATTTGGACGACATTATTTCTGCCTCTGGCGCAAACACAAGTCCGGCTGGTAGGGTTGACGCACGAGATGTATGTACGGTTTCGCTTGATTGCGCTCATTTCCTCTGCCCCCCCCCCCTGCTGAACTTGGCTGCAGATATCATGGGTCTTATCATTTCAGAGCGCTTACAATTAATTCTTCAAAGAGAGCGTCAGCGCTCAGAGTATCCTCTGCCTCCTTTCACCAACAACTCTGGCCAGCAAAGCGTTCCCGATCGAGCGTTTGAGTTTCACGCGGGTGCCGACGACCATGAGCGCTCGGTTGGGTCTACGTCTTACGATACGTTCCTTCCAGCCAACCAGGAAGCCAATGTTCAGGCGTGGTTGGGCTCCAGGATACCGTATTCCCCCCATCCTGTGACATCCAACAAGCCTCAGGCATCCACTGGGTCTGTGGCGGTCGGAAAACCAGACCCTGCCTCTACACAGGCAACCCCATCCATCGTTGCAGTGCTAAACGCCGCACGTGAAGCTAGTCTATTACACAGCCTTGCCAATCTGACGCCTGAACAACGCGTCGCGGCAATGCAGGCGATTGGCAAAACAGCAACGCAGACTACGCATGTCAACTACTTGGCGCATTCTCCCAAAACGACGCTGTCCCAGCCAAGCGTCCATTCCCCCAATGAGTTTATGAATGAGTGAATAGTTGGATGGTTGTTTGGTCAGCTTTTGCGGTTGGATTGTGCGTCAAAGCTGTTACGAAGTAAAAACAGAAACTTGAAGAAGAAGAACAAGAGACACAGAAAATCACATCAAACACTGTATGGTATGCCAACAAATTCCGTTTATTGCGTACCGCCAGGCACAACTTGCTGCTGCTGTGCGTGTCGCTCCATCAGCTCAGCACCCGTTAGAGCACCATTATCGAACAGGAGCTCGACGACATCCACTCGCTGCTCGCGCTTTGCGTCGTCAAGTGGCGTATTGCCCCATCTGTCCATTGGGTTGATGTGCGCACCGTGCTGGAACAGATACTTGACGACGCGAGTGTGTCCTTCCGACGCGGCAAGATGGAGCGGCGTCCGGCCGTCGTAGTCACATTCATTGAGCCCGCCACCCTTCTGCAGAGCACGTCGGATTGCGCTCAGATCACCTTGACTGGCAGCAAAACACAGCTCAATCATTTGGCGATGTCGTTGGTGATTTTTTGGGAGCCGTGGATCGATTTTCCCTCCTGAGAAGTAGAGTTAAGTTGATTGGTGAGCAAAACCAAACACGCATGCATCACCTCAAACACGCTCCGTGAGGCAGAGTCGGCCACTTACGGGCGTGAACGGACTCGTCAAAGTTGTGGAAATTGAAGCGATTGCACAACTCTTTGCAAAACTCAATGCCTCGCACACTATTGCCCAACTTGTCGAGACGCGGCGACCATATACACAAGCCCTGTTTTTTTTTTGGGATGCAAGACAACAAGTTAAAAGTGAAAAAAACAACGAGTTAACAACTTGCTAGCATTCATTCAGAGTCGCGTGTGCTGGAATTACCATAATGTTTGGAACGACCACCATCAAGGCGCCTGCCACGCCTGACTTGGCAGGGATGCCAATTTTGAATGCAAACTCGCCAGAAAAGTCATACGTGCCACATGAATACATCATGGAGAGGACGGCGCGGACAGTCTCGGGACGCAGCACTTGCTCGTTGGTGATTGGACAAATTCCGCCATTGGCCAGTGTTCCCGCAATGACGGAAAGGGTCTGAACGTTGCATTCAAGAGAACAGCACTGGAAATAAAACTCGAGGATTTCTGTGAGGTTTTTTTCCACCTCAACCGGAAAGCCGTGATTTTCGCGCTGTCAATGCCAGAGGAATACAACACCACCACCAATGGTGAGCCACAAATCCTGTTCGCCATGCCAGGCGCAGAGGGTGCAAAAAAGCGTGCATCCAAACTGTTGCAAGCTCTCATCTAGTCGTACCATGAAATAGGCCAGGGCAAAATTTCGATCGGCGGTTTGCCGCTCCGACAGATATGTCGCATTGCTAAACCCAATACGGCCACCGCCAGCCATTGCCGTCCACTTTTCGACAACATATGTAAATCTCTGTCAATGTGTGGCCGGTGGAGTGAGAGAGAGAGAGGTGGGGGGGGGCGAAAGTCAATCTCAAAACCAGAGCTGTTGCTTTATACTCACATCCGCCATGTCCATCTCGGGTTGGATCAAAGAGCAGGTCATGATGGCGCCAGAGTTGATCATGGGGTTGTGCGGCTTGTGCTCGTGGTTGAGCGTGAGCTCATTAAACCGCACTCCGGACGGCTCGCGCCCGACATGCTGGTGCACCTTGTCGTGCCCACGCTCCTCCAATGCAAGAGCATAGCTGATTGGCTTCGAGCAGGACTGCACGCAAAACTCGGCTTTGGTGTCGCCCACAGCAAAGCGTTGTCCGTCAATGGTGCAAATGGCAGCAGCTGACAAATGTTCAAGCAACCAACCATGAAAGAACACGCGGGGCGTCAGCGAGAATCCGACAACACGTTGGCAATGCTCCAATTGCGTACCGTATTGTTCAGGATTGACTCGAGCTAGTTGTGGAATGTACGACGCCACATTACCACTCGTGAATCGTTTGGTAGTTTCGAAAATGTCGCAGATCTATGTCGGACGACACGATCAACCACAGTTAAAAAAAAAAACAAAGGGTCTGTCAGCCCAACTACTTGCCCGATGCTTGAAACTACTGCGAGCGGTTGCTGAGGTGCGCTTACCTCTTGTCGAAAGTACTCGAAATCAGGGATGGCAAGGTTGCCTGCCCAAAAAGCACAAGCGAACGAACAACGGAACGCCCAAAGTTGAGCGCAGCACAAGTCTCGCAGCTGTCCCTGTCAGCATCTATCAGCATGCAGGTCTTACCTTGGAGAATCTCGCAGAGAAAGCGATGCTCTGGCCAGATGGCCTGGGAAAATTGCTCGTAATCCATCAGATCGTCGAATTTGCGCATGCTTGCAATGACGGATTGGAGTCGTGGATCGTCCTCAAGAATGCCATTGGAGGCGAGGGCAGCTAGGAAGGTCGATCTTGAAACCTTCTGCAGCTTGGGCTCGCGGAAGCTTTTGAACATGTTTCCAATCGAGACGCGCGCCAGTGCTTCCGACTCGTCCTCGTCGGCGGCTCGGTCATCTCCGTTGATGAGCGAATCGTTGCTTTGATCGCGGCGGAAGCTTTCGTCAATGCTCATTGCAGGGCTTGCGGCCGCCCCCATCGCCGCCTTGAGTTGGGAAACCTGGCGGTTGGCAGCGACAGGCGTTTGAACGGTTGGCAGACCGGTAGAGCTGTCCAATCTGCGTGCGCCGCGAGCACTGGACAATGCAGCCCCTCGTCCTGGCGGGGCGCCAATAGCTGCAACACTCGGACTGGAGCTCAACGCCGGGTCGCTGAGGCTACTACCGCTGATGATGCCTTCGGACAGATCGGACTCGCTCTCGGCGCCATCATCATCCGATGATCGAGCAACAGACTCTGCGTCGGAGGACACGGAGGACGAAGGAATGTACTCTTGCGCATCCAGCTCTCCAGCCATGACGTCTGCCGTGAGCAACGAGCTGGTTGCTGCCCGCGAGGAGCTCGACAAGGCCGTCTGAGCGGGCTGCTGGAACGCACTCGCGGATGCGTGGTGCTCTTCCCGCCGGACAAAGAGCGGCGACTCGACGGGTGCATTCAGCACGATTGATGGAGTCTGCAGGCCCGTCGGCACCGCATCATCGCCTTGGACGGATTCGGCGCGCTTGACCGCGGCAGGTGCGTGAGCCTTGTACGGCACCGTCGGCATATGCATCTGCGTCTGTGACTGTGACTGTGCCTGCGACTGTGACTGCGACGACTGTGACTGGCTGCCATTGTATATTTGCGGTGGATGCGCGCCCGGCTCGGCCAGCGAGCCCTTGCGGAAGAGCGCAGGCGATCGGGGCCGCTGCTGGATTGGGACGAGCGAAGCGTCTGCCTCGCTGCCACCGTTGGAAACGGGTGCAGCAGACAAGCTCGATCCTAGTGTGTATGACGATGACAATGATGATGGGGTTGCTAAACTGTGGCTGCTGGACGAGGTCCGCTGCACTGGACGGTGCGCGGCGGCAGCAGCTACAACAGTGAGCTCCGTGTCATCACTGTCGGCATCGCTCGCTGCCTGCGCTGCTGTTGCGCCAAGTTCGAGGCTGAGATTCGCTGGGTATGATGACGAAGCGGTGGTCAAGACGTCGGCACCGCCAGTCGTTCCGCCTCCAACGCCACTGACGAGCGAGGACCTGCTCTTTGGCGTGGACATTCGGAGCAGCAGCTGTTGAACTGGGAACTGAGCTCAGAACACCCAGTTTTGGATTTGTCAGTGAAGGCGATTCCTGCAGACGAGGGTTGGCTGTGACCGGACGCGGGTGGCAGAGTTCCTTATTCAATCCTACTGTAGGCAGACAAAAGTTTCCGGATTCAGCACCAGAGATCGCCAAGAGAGAGAATTACTGCTGAGGTCTCCGAGAGACTTGGTTTACGAATAAATTATCAATATCTAATCATGCGACACGCGTAAAACAACCAGAGTACGAGAGACGACAGCTTGTCGCAATACTTCCATGTCTGTGACAGCGTGCCCGGCTTGTGTGACCAGCTGCGTCGAAGCCTTTTTCAATTTTGATGCTTTGGATTGTCGGATGTTGAGCCGCTGCATGGCGAGGTCCAGGACGTCTTGGACTGTGCATGGCTGGGTTACCGTCATGACCTTGGATTTGCCCTGGCCGTCGCCGATCGTTAAAACGAGCTGAGACATGCTGGCGTGTGCAGTGTGACTGCTGGCAGCTGCATAGTGCTCTTGAAGGAAAGTAGGGGTTTCGCAGTGTGCAATCATTGCGTCGAGTGCGCAGGAGCCATTGTGCACCTGAAAGACGAGGGCAGGCAGCCGCTTTGAGAAGCTGGCCGCCTCTGAGGTCGCACTTCCAGATGGTTCGAGAGTTGCCGCATTGTCGCACTCCAGCGTGTCTTCACTTCCAGATGAGCTGGGAAGGTGTTTGCTCGAGACCTCCTCTGAAGCAATCTTCAACGCTGATGGCTCGCAGTCCAAATCATCGAGCAACTGCAGGTTCCTCTTGCTAAACTTGTGTGGTCCTGAAACAAGCGAGAAGATGCCCAGCTTCTCTGCAGCCTGCAGAACAGCGGCAAACCCGTCATAGAAGGCATCGGGATGGTCGACCCAGACAAACTCTTTTGCCTTGCGACCTCGTTCGTGCTGCCGCAGCATTTCCACTGGCACAAAGCAGTGCGCTAGTTCGTGCAAGAAGCATGCCATGATTGTCTTCATCGAGTAGGCAACACCTGCAGTGCTCTTTGCGCCGTGCTCGGGTGACCCGCTCGGGCGTGTCAGGCAAACGTACAGCCCGTGCACGACTTGCTCTTGCGCGACCTTGCGATGGTCGCCGATTTGGCGAAACGTCGTGACGGTAATGTCCGTGTAACCACACACGTCGTCGCGGAATCCTCGTCGGATGGGAACGAGAGCGAGCGCTTGAAACGCTGCGTTCTTTGAGCTGTTGCATAACCGATCTCGGACATCCGACAAGTACCGCAGAATCTGATTGCACAGCGCGGTCAGCTCGGCCGGCTCGTCCAGCTCCGGGCGATCGTCAACGAGCGATGCATCGCCATAGATGCGCTGGGGTGCGTTGTGCGGCTGGTGTTGATGATGGTGATGACGGTGTGACATCGGGGAGCAACCCAAAAATGGTGTGGCGTTCTCGAATGCAATGAAACCAACAAAAAACAAGGACTGCAAACATCCGCTATCAGAATCATCAAGAATCGGCTAATACTGTGAGCCAAGTACGCCAAAGCGGGCACTGTAACTCTTCCACGAGACTGTTCCCAGCAAAGCAACTGACAATACAATCTTTCGCCGTGCTCTATATTTATTCTTCAAGTACTCGGCAAACCAAGCTTTCGCCGCGCTCTATATTCTTATTCTTCCAATGCTTGGCAAATCACTGTCATCCGCGTCATCTCCATCGTCGTCGAAAGATCCATACACCGGTCTTGGAAGGCTGGGGAAGACGGGAGGAGGCAGGTAGCTGGACATTGGTGAATTGTCATCTCTGGACTGCGTCAAGTCGAGCGAAGCGTCGTCTGACAGCGCATTCCGAGCATCTCGGTCTGAGCGTGGCGTGAATTCCAGCGCGCCGTCTTCCTCGTCGTCCGTTGGCGGTATCAACTCTGGCACTTCGAGGTCATCCTGTGGAGCCGACTCCAAGAATTGAACGAGTGCGCCAATGTTGGCAAGCGCTCGAGCCCGGATTGCAGCTGGATCGGGAGGCCCGCGAGTGGAGCGCGCTGTCTCACGGGTCAGGTCGTTCATAAGCCCGGCCGCAAGCATTCGCCGCAACACACCCCCTTCTTCGCCGCGTGTACCAAAGGTAAATTGGGCAAACGCCCGCCGCGTCGTCCGTCGCTCTTCACGCTCGGCGTCGGTCATGGTGGAATCATAGCTCTCGGAATCATCGTCGTCACTATCGCCGAGTCCAAAGCGGTCAAACTCGTCGGCGTCGTCCTCGTCGCTGTCGTGAGCAGGGTTGACTGTCAAGAACGTGGCGGGGCGGAGACCAAGCAGGTCGATATTGGCGAAAATCCCGCTCGGGTCCCACACGGAGTGCGTGAATTGTGTGTGCTTGCGAGCTCGCTGGCTCTGTAGAAAAGAGTATGTGCCGCTCGGACTGAAAGATGCCAAGACTTTTTGAAACAAGCGCGAGGCGGGCGGCTGGGCTGGCGAAGGTCCCGCAGTTGGTGCGGGATTGGCGGCTGCAGGCCAAACACGCACAGGTCGGTCGCAATCCCATGCCACCTCGGCCATGGAATCGGACGAATCCGTGTCATCATCATGGTCACGGTAGATGGTGCCATGCTCGTCCTGGACGAATGAGAGCTTGACGATCTCGTCCGATGCAATCGACGACGCATTGGCAATGCGCTTTGCGTGGTTGATGAAAGCCAATGCGATGAACTTGTCAGTTACTTCGTCTGGGTATTGCACGGATTGACCAGCGAGGAGCGGTGTGGGAGGTGAGCGGGAGCAGAATGAAAAACTCAACCAATCATGCCATGCTCATGCCGATCAAAGAAAGCAATGCCACAATTGCCCCCCCTCCCCTCCCCTACTCCGCACACATCAAGCATCTGCAAGGGCTGACATAGCATACTTATCGGTGAGCCACCCACACGAACGACCTGGATTGCAGTATAGTACAATGAATCGCTCGGCTGCCTGACTGTCCGCCCGAGCAGCTCGACTTTGACAAAGTTGGCCAAGATTGGGTAGTCAAACAGGAAGACTTGTGAAGCTGGGTGTGAAGGAAGTGCAACCAAAAAACGTGGCGGACGGGTGAGCTACACACACTTCAATTGCAACATTTTCCACCACAGCGGCGGCGAGCCATACTGGTCGTGGGTGCCACGGGATACTCTTGCGTAACATGATGCAAATAGTCTCGAGATATTCCAAACGAGAATCTCACGCGTTGAGGGGCATACACTGGCCGACTACCAGAACAAACCAAAAGAATACAATACGAGCGTTGTCAGAGAAAACCTATTCTCGGGGTCCTGCCTCCACCTCATCACAATGAACAAGAACACTTGAAACTCGCTGCACATACCCAAAGTGCCAGTCGGCCTTGTACGCCTCGATTGAGATGGACCGAACCACAACCAGCGGGTGGAACAAGTCGTACGTCAGCCACTCGCTCGAGTCAATGTCGTCGGAGCCTGTGCTAGACCAAAACGAGGCTGACCCTCTAGTTTTCGCGAGAGATTTGGACCGGTGAGTGTGAGATGCAGGAGCGAGACAAAAAAAGAAAACAACCCGAAAACGACATACTCGGTGACAGTGTTTGTAATGTCTTGATGGAGGTAGTCGTCCACGCTGGATGCGCAGCAAGGTTGTTCGATACAGAGGGTTGGTTGTGGCAAGGCTCCTGTGCTCATACGTGTCCAACAATGAGTTGCTTGATTTGGTGGCGAATGAACGCTCGAAAACGTTAAAACGATGAGCTGATGGTGAGGGATTTGGCAGTCAAGGGAAGCCGCTTTTGTGCCTGTGTGTGTTCTCTCGACAAAACGGTTGAAAGAGCGTCCTTCTTGTGAATGCAAGGGAGACGTTGTTTGGCAGGCAGAGCTGAGGTTGCCGTGCTTGAAGAACGAGACGTAGTTTTGCCTTTCTCGCCTTTCCCCCTCCTTTGTCATTTTGTTCGCTCCACTCACAGCAGCACTCTGAGTGAAGGCTGCGTGTTGGATTTGTCATAACCATGCCCGACCTCCACGCCGTCATCAAACTTGGCGAGACTTACGCTCAAAGTGGTACAATCGCTTCCACAGCGTCGGGTCGCCGCCGTCCGGATCAAACACTGGCCAGCACATTGGCTCTGTGGTATTCCACTTGTGCATGCACATCCTGCGCCAAGCCCGGTTGTCATCAGCCTGGTCAAGAGCAAGAACGGAGCGGAGTGAAGTGAAGTGAACTGAGCGGCAAATCACTGCACTGTGGTTTTTGATCCCTTCGTCGTTCCACTGAAGCACCAAAGTGGCGCCAAAGCGACGCGTCCCACCAACTCACCAAGTCGCGCCATCGTCGTGACACGAGCGCTGCTTGCAGACGGTCGCGCGCAGGCAGAAAGTCCAGAATCGCACTCAGCACTTCGTTCGGCACATCGTTCATTTTTGTTTGTGTCTCTGGTTTTCTTTTTCCTTCTCTCCACCAACCTCGAAATCAAAAGAGAGACTGACATCCTTCATCCATCAATAGCAACAAAATGACCGATACAGAGACAGAGAGAGAGACAGAGAGAGACAGAGAGGGCCGCTTCCAAACGCGGACGGCGGCTCAGTCCCGCTCCTTAGATCCGGCGCCGCACTCCAATCGGCGATCGTATGAGTCATTGGCGGGCGAGATAGCACTAGCTGCATTTCTCGTTAGGAAACACATTCACGGGGCTTCTGGCCCTGGTGTTCCGTTTGGCTTTCGCGGCCGCGCAATCTTCCCAACTGCACTTTGAGCAAAGCAAAAAACATGGATATGAAATGAATGGTGGAAAAGTGGACAAAGCATACGGAAACGGTCACTAGCGACACGCACAAAACAGGCTTCGAAATGCTCATGAAAATTGTCTCTTCTTTGCTGGAAACCCTGCTGAACACACTTTGTACGCTTCCGGACGGTCGGATGTTTGCAGAATCCACCACCCCGAACACGCAATATTGTTGCACCTCTCCTCTGACTCGTATGCAGGACGAGAGAAAGAGCGCGAGAAAGAGCGAGAGAGCGAGAGAAAGAGATAGAGTACACGCACAATCGAAGTGAAAGTTTGAAGCGGTTGCAAGGTCATGGCGCCCCCCTCCTCTGCAACAAGACCAACAAGGCAGATCCAAGGACAAGCTCACAAGCAAGACATCAGCGCGTATTTCGGACGCATTTGCGCCGGATGAAACAGTTCCACAGGAGGGGTCATTGAAAAGGAAGAAGGCTTTCGTCAAACAAAGATGAAACAAAAAAAAAAAAAAAAAAAAAAAAAAAAACACATGGACGGTCAAACGACCATGCTTGTTTTTTTGGATTTTTTTTTTTTTTTTTTTGATTTTTTGATTTTGGTCAACCTTTTTCTTATTTCTTGCGTGCAACTTTTTTTGAGGTTGTTTTCGCCTCCCTCCCGGCGGTCTGAGTGCTGATTCGTTTTTGTTTGTGGGGCTTTGTTTCCTTGTCCATCTGCTGGTGTGGCTCTCTTGTTTTCTGGTCCTGATGCCTTGCGCATCCACGGCGCTTTAGCCTTTTTGCCAGCCCGTTTCGCCTGTTTTCATAAAAATCTCGCATTGCGCGTTCTCTTTTTTTTTTCTGTTCTTTTCGATTTCTTTTTTTTCGTTCTTTGTCTCATTTCACTTCCTGCATTGCTGGTTGTTGGAGAGTGGTTTGGGGTTTGTGTTTTTGTGCGTTTCGGCCAGTGCGGTGGCTTGTGTTTGACGGGGGGCTTTCAGCTTGAAGGATTGATGTTTTCATTGGGTTGTTTCGGAGTCTCGTGTCGCGACGGCCTGTTTCTTGCTGCTCTGTTTTTTGCTCTTCTGCGTTTGTTTGTTTCGATCCTATTGCTCTGCGCTTTTTGCTTTTGGTGCGCACTGGACGGTTGTCGCTGCAGGGTAATTTATTTTGCTCTGCGTACAAAGATTGACCAAGCGACTACGCCCAGTAACTGACTGCTCACCTTACTGTCTGCTGACTTTCTGTCAGTGGGCAACCGAGCATCTATGCCCAGCCCAAGCGAGGAGACATTTCTTTTGCCTTCAACAAAAATGATTGCTGTTTTGTGTGAGCGCGGACGGTGTTTTGAATAAAAAGAATGGAGTTTCAGCACCCCTTTGCAACCGAATAGATGTATATAGCACTGTATATTGAGCAAGGAAACATGTCGCGCAAAAAGGACCAGTCTCGCATTCTTGTTTCATTTCCCAATAGGCACAATAATGGACCAAACTACCGTGGTGCGCCGAGCAGCGCCAATCGACGAGGACGACGATGCGAGCAACGAGCCGATGGCTGTCATCCCCTCCGTCGCAACAGCTTCTGCAAGCAGCAGCGCACCTGCCGCTGGAAGCAGCAGCTCAGGATCTGCGGCCGGTGGCAAGTCGCTCTTCTCGCGAAAGCCCAACTCGGCGGCAGTCTCCATCCACAGCAGTGACCCAGGACTCGAGTTCGACCAACTCATGCGGATCTACTATTCCCGACTGTTTCCTTTCAAAAAGTACTATCGCTGGCTGAGCTACGGCAACGGTACGTGAGCCGAGAGCGTCAAAATACATTTGGCTGGAAAATTTGGCGGGAAAAACTGCCGCCAAATTCTGGTTCAAAGTCGCATTTCGCTCCCCCTCCGCCTCGCCCCCCCCCCCTACTCCACTCCACCCCCGATATCGTGCTTCCGATCGCATCACTCACTTTTGAATCGCTCCTGCTGTATCTGTACCGACTTGCCTTATTCCTTGCAGTTCAAAAGCACTACTTTTGCAATCGCGAGTTCTCCTTCACGCTCGAAGGCGACATTTACGTGCGCTACCAGTCCTTCAGCACTGAGGAGCAACTGCGAAAGGAAATCATCCAGCGCAACCCCATCAAGATTGATATTGGCGCAGTCTACAACGTCGAGGTGAGCCCAACTCAGACTTTGACTGCCCTTCACATCTGTGCACACTCAACCCCCCCCCACCCTCTCTCTCCTCTTCAACTGCACAGCCGAAAGATCACAAGCAAGTGCGAGGGCCCGAGTTCAAGGCAGAAGAGAAAGAGGTCGTGTTCGATATCGACATGACAGACTACGACGACATTCGCACATGCTGCAAAGGCGCCGACATTTGCTTCCGCTGCTGGCCTTTCATGACGATCGCAGTGCGCATTCTTGATCGCGCTCTTCGAGGTATGGACTCGGTGACTGCGCTGAGAGTGGCTGTGTCCCAACGTTGCTGGTACATCTTTTGCTCATTTCACAACATTCACAAACACTGGCGCTGGCAGACGATTTTGGCTTCAAGAGCCTGCTCTGGATTTACTCTGGTCGTCGTGGTGTGCATTGCTGGGTCTGCGATAACAGTGTTCGAACCTACGACTCCAATATCCGCACCGTGTTGACCGACTATCTCTCGGTTGTCAAAGGGAGCGAAAAGAACGCCAAGAAGGTCGCTCTGACCAATCCTCTGCATCCTTCGCTGCAGTACGTTTGTTGTCTGGGATGTTTTGTCGACGAATTTGACGCTCTCGAGCCAACCGGTGTTGAATTCTCGTGACCTTGCTCACACTCTTTATTTGTTTTTGTTTTTTTGTTGTTTTTTTTTGCATCTCTCGCCCTCCTAGAAAATCGCTTGATATTATCGAAGAATACTGGGAACCTGTGATTCTCGGCGATCAAGACATTTTGCGCTCGCCCGCTCACATTGATCGGGTCCTTGCTACCATTCCCGACGAAGATAAGTTTGGCAAAACTCACTTTTCGGTCGTCTTTTGTTTTGTTAAAGTAGCTTGTGCAATACTGACTTGAGGTTCTTTTTGTTGCGATGGTATTGTTCTTCTCCTTCTCTGAGCGCACGTATGCGACAAGCTCTTCGCAACGAATGGAACACCCACCCAAACGGCACTTCGCAAGAGCGCTGGAAGCAACTTGTTCAGGAAGTGTACCTTTCTGTCAAGGTATGTTCAATTTTGGCGTGCATGAGTGTGTGTGTGCCAGTATTCTCACTTGACTGCCTGCCTCGCTGACAAACCGCGCTCTTGCACAGGCGGGCAAGTCCTATCTCAAGTCAACCGTGCCCGAAATCATGTTCCAGTTTGCCTACCCGCGTCTCGACGTGGAGGTCACCAAGGGTGTCAACCACTTGCTCAAAAGTCCGTTCTGCGTGCACCCCAAGACCGGACGTGTGTGCGTGCCAATGGACGTCGACAGCATCGACGACTTTGACCCCTTTGCCGTCCCGACCATCCAAGAGCTGTGCTCGCAAATCAATCAGTTCGATGCTGCCAACCCGCACGCCACCACCGACTCGGGCAAAAAGCTTCAGGATTACAAAAAGACAAAGTTGAAGGATTTCATGTCGCCCTTCCTAAAGTTCCTCGAGCCGCTCGAGAGCAACATTCGCGATGCCAAGCTCATGGACATGGGTATGTTCGAGTTTTGTTTTGGGAGAAATGATTGTTGCATTGGTTTTGTTCACATGGCTCACTTTGCTGTATTTGTCATTTGTTCCGCTTTTTTGCAGATAAAGATGGGATGGCCATGGACTGGTAAAACGCTCATATACGTTCTTTGACCTCGCCTTCCTTTGTTGCTTGCTTTTGCGTTTCGTGTCTGCTGCGTTTGATTCCTTAATTCAACTCCGTTCTTAACACAAAATCAATTGCACGAGTCGAAACCAAATTAAAGCAACTGGGTTGTTATTGCCACATTCACACAACACAAAACCCGCCGGAAATCAACTTCCTTCGGCCTGGGCACGTTCGAGAAGCTTTTCAAGCGCTTCTTGCTGCGAGCGGATGGCACGAAGAGACTGTTCGGCTTTGAGTTGCTGGCGTCGCTCGTACTCGACGCTGCGCTCCCAAATTTCTTCCTGCTCATTGACCAGGTCTATACTTTCCGCAAGATTGTCCATGGTGGTGCGAAGCGTCGCGCGAAGCACCATGGCACGCTCTACAAGGAGCTCGCGAGTGGATTTCCGTTTGTCGGCCACGGCTGGCACCACAACAACCGCGCCAGAGCCCGCGCCCGTCCCATTCTCCGCCTCCTTGGCCTCGAGCACAAGTGTCGACACTGCTGTTTGCACGTTCACCAGCTGCTTTCGGATGGCTTCCTCGTGATGGCGACTTGCTGCAATCAGACGATTGAGCTGCTCTGTGCGGCGGTTTCGCTCATCAATTTCAGTCGATTCTGCCAAGCGGGCGAGCGCCATGGCTTGCTGCGTTATTGTTTTGAGACAAGATGAAGCAGGTCGAAACAAACGATGAGCGGCCAGCATTTCGCTTGTCATCACACTTTCAAACACGCTCCAAGTAACAAAACAAACCTGAGATTTGGCGCTGCCAAGGGCAACCACCCATTGCTTGCGCTCCTCTTTGCTTGGGGCACGCAGATAGTACGCCTCGCTCTTGTTGTAAACGCTAAAGTCAGTGTCCGAGTCGGCAGCAACAGTGATGACCACGTCGCCCAGCGGGAGGAAGGAGCGCACGGCTGCACCGTCCGCTTGCTGGTTTTCGTTCATGTAGTACGACAGCGTCCATTCGGGCTCGCCCGTGATGACGACAAAGCGCGACTGCCAGTTTGTAATATAGTTGGTCCACTTGTGCAGTGTTCCTTGAAATAGCGTCCGAGCCGGACCTGACGAGGATGGCTTGACCAGCAGCAACGGTGCAGCAGCAGGAGCAGGAGCAGCAGGAGCAGGAAGAGCGGCAGCAGCATTGAGCGGGGGCGAGACTCGAGCCATTGCTGCTGGTGGCGCGCCGCCATCCTCGTACTGTGACGACAACGGCCTCGTGGCTGATGGTAACCCCGCAGAGGCTGCTGTGTTGGAGTCGAACGGCTCGTGGATGGCCGGCAGCGGCGGACTGCGACGTGTCTCTATGGCGGGCTCACTATTGCTGCTGCTGCTGCTGCTCCAGCGGATGCCTTTGCGTCATGGAGGACGGTGTTGCTGTCACTACTAATGTTTGGGCTTCCGGCCGAGCGTGAGGTCGCGCCGATGTTGCTGCTGGCATGATTGTCGCTGGCAGTGAAGCTGGGACTGGGACTGGCGCTTGTGGACGAGTCTGCGGCGGAGGGCGAGCGGCGGTGCTTGGCGATTGTCTTTGTGATGGCTGTGGCCGACGACGTGATGAGATTGGCAATGGACGACGACAGGAACGAGATGCTGGACGAGCCGGTCGAGAGCGAGCGGTGGTGCGTTGATGATGATGCTGATGATGATGGCGCCGGCGACTCGGAGTGAGCCTGGGACTGTGACTGCGACTGATGGAGGGCTGAAAGGGAGCCCTGCGTGGTGGTGGAGAGCTCGTTGGGATGGGTCGATGGCGATGCTGGCTGTGGCTGGACTGGAGGTGGTTGAGCCATTTGTCTCCGCCGCTCAGACAAGATTGAAGACTGAGAGAGTCGTTTGTTTTGTCTGGGGAGAGAGTGATCTAGAATAGCTATAAACGCGAAAATGCTGATCCAAGGACCAGTCGGACACACGAAATGAAATAATGGAACAAGTGAAATTGCATTTTGTATTTGTACGTGAAGGAAAGCCAAGAGATTACGACGAGATATTCCACAGATGGACAGAGCCGTCGTCCGATGTGGATGCCAACAAAGACCCCCGAACGGGATTCCACGCTACAGAGTTGACGTCTTGTGTGTGAGCGGCGTCGACAGAGCACACGACGGAAACAGCAGCCTGGCCATTCTGATCGACGTCGCTCTCGTTCTATTCGACATAAACGGAGGGACGGGAGCAGTACTCATCAGAATACCAGAGTCGCATACAGACACAAATCGCTGGCCGCAACACAACGGCGCAATCCTTACAAACTTCAATATCCGAATGACATTGTCAGCACCGCCAGTCGCAATCAGCCCGGTGACGGGCGACCAGTCCACAGACAGGATGGTACGCTCATGCAGGGCGGGAACGGTAGCAACACATTTCCACTTGGGTGCTTGAGACGTGAGCACGGCGACTCCCTCCTTGTTTCCAGGATTGAGGCGCTTCCAAATCTTCAACGAACGGTCGTCCGACACGCTCACTGGAGTGTTTGCGATTGTTCGGGCGAGTATCAGTGAGATTGCATCACACACCGGTGAGGCACAACAAACAAACCAAAAACAACAATCTGAGCACGTCCGTACCCATGAAAGAACCGTCGGCGTTGAAGGCCAGCGCCCAGACAGTCGACTCGTGCCCGTTCAAGGTTTCGTAGCAAACCCAATCGCCGTCGTCTTCGCGATAGAGTTTGATAGTGTTGTCGTAACTGGCGGAGGCGAGAATCTACCAATCCAAAACAAACCAGGTGGCCAAGGGAAACCAAACAAAGTGAGGGCTTGTGTGCCAAAACCCACCATCCAAACACGACCAGGCTTACAGGCTCTGTCGGATGCCATCGCACAAACTTGACGTCCTGGGTGTGCTCGTGCAGGACGCCAGCGCACTCAAATTCGCCGTCCTCCTCGACATCCCAAATCCAAACGCTCTTGTCTCGCGAGCAGGATGCAAGGACATTGCCTGCCGGTGCAAACGCAACGCCCTTGACCTCGCTTTCGTGTCCCTCGAGTGTTGCCGTGCAATCAAACTCTATGGTTTGTGAATGATGATCAGACTGTGAGCATCGAGCAGCATCCGCCCCTTCGCATCGTGTCGCATCGCGCTGTACCGCCACTGCTCTTGTCCCAGATGCAGACAGTAAAGTCAAAGCTGCCAGATGCAATCGAGCGGCCGTCGGGAGACCAGGCCACGGCTCGAACAGTGCGCGAGTGCGCTTCCTCGAGCACCGCAGTGCAGTGCCACGCTTCGCTGCCTTGACCTTCCAACTCTGGCTGCCAGACTCTGATGTGCACAACCACAAGGCAAACAGCCAGCAGATTCAAAAGCCAACACAAACGAGCAAGCGACGGGGACAAAAGAACTGGTCAAGGAAACCAAACGAAAGCTCAATAACGACGCTCAATGCAAAGTGGCTCCAATGGAGAGCACAGTCAGCACCATCATCACAAGCATCACAAGCATCATAATCGTCATAATCATCACAAGCATCATTCAAAAGTTGATGTTCGTAGCCGATATTGTCTTGTCGCCAGAGCACGTCGCGAGCAGCGTGCCGGCCGGGTTCCATGCAGCCATCCACGCACGGTCAGCATGTCCTGCGTTGTATGTGGATTATGTGTCCGAGTCAAGTCAGTATTTGTTGCATAATAATGGTGAAGGGGGACCCCTTTCTCTTTCTCGTTTGTATTGGGATGCGCCAACCATGAAGCGCTGCGACGCGTGTCAATGTTGCCATCGTTGAACAAAAAAGCTGGACTGAGCAGAGCAAGCCGTAAAAAGTGGTACACTTCAAGCGCAAAGTTCAGGCTAACAATGAGGCAGGGGTAAAAGCAGGACACCATCAAAACAGGACATCAAAAGTATCAAAAAAAAATCAAAAACCAAAAAATCACAAAATCTACGAGTTCACCGCATGTTTCACTCGATATTCAAATCCTCCCAAGAATCAGACTTGGCGAGAAGAGAGTGCTTGTCGCCGTTGTTGGTGCTGACGCGAGAATAGCCACCCGATCGCGAGGTGGGGCCGCGGGGTTTGCGAGTGGGGCTGCTGACGTTGTTGCTGTTGTTGTTGTTGTTGTTGTTGCTGTTGCTGCTGTTGGCATGGGTGCCATTGCCGTGGCCGTTGGCATCCTTGCCATTGGGCGTTTTGCCAGTGAGACGAGACATTAGCCCTCGCACGGGGGTCGCGAAAGAAGATGCGCCACCTGCAGGCTGCTGCTGCTGTTGCGGCTTTTGCTGGGCTTTCGCCACGGCATGTGCATTGCCGTTGATGCCCTCAAACGGCTGATCTTCGTCATCGCTGTGGCTCAAAATCATGCTCGTACTAGCAGCCCGCGCTGCGTTCTGCGAAGGTGTGCCGGGGGTGACATTGGCCTGACTCGATTGCCGAATCATGCGCGCTACCTTGGATGATGGCGGAGGCTTGGGTGTCCCTCCAACCAAATAGCGCTCGTCAAAGATGTCCTCCTCTTCGTCGTCGTCGTCGGAACCGTCGCCATCAGAATCATTCATCAAACCGCCAGGCTGGCTGCTGCGTGGCATGAGTTCGAGGCTGTCAAAGCGGCCGGCACCCCCACGAGAGCGGCGATCCAGCATTGTTTTGCGCGCGCCCTTCTTGCAGCAGCGTCTGTGATATCCAAGAACACGGTGTGGGTGCATGTTTTAGGGGAAGGGAAGTCAGTTTTGCCAAAACTTGCGGCACTTACTTTGAACAGGCCCAGAAAATCGCCCAACCTAGCGCAAGCAGCACCAAAAAGATGATGCCGCACACCAGAATCACATAAACGACGCTCCAACCTGGCAATCGCAAACGGGCAAAGTGAGGTCCGAGTTCAACGAGTTTCGCTCTCTGCTTTTTAATCTCTGCCTCTCTCTCTTCACGAAATGGCCTTACCGCAATTGCTGGCCGCGCCTTGGAATTTGGTTGCAAAGACATTTTCAACCCAATAAGGATCACACACGCACTCTTTTGTCAGGGTGTCGCATGTGCCATGACCAGAGCAAGTATTGTCGCACACTATCGAGAAGGGGTACATGAGCTCTCGTTCGCATCAAAATCAACAAAAGATGCGCTACCAACCCACAACACTGATACTCACAGTACGGATCCACTGAAAGAATAGGGAAGCCAACTTGGAGCTTGGACGAATGTAGCAAGTCGCGCAGCGTTGATACAATGCTACCAGCAAAGATGGGAAGACCTGTGGTGGTGTTGACGACATGGAATGTCATGATGACACTAAACCCGATTCAAAAAAATTGAATTCAAAATGGTGAGTCAAACAATCAAAAAAATGCCGAGCACCACGCAAATCTCTTACCTTCCAGAGCGAATGGTATCGATAACGACGTATTCGGAAGTTGTGCCAAGAGCCAAAGCGAGTTTTCCGCGAACGCTCTCGGCGTTGCTTTCCGTGAACTGCTCAATGTTTGCATCCAGTCGGATCTCCAGCAAGTACAGCGATTTGTCATCTGCAAGACGATAGACAGATAGGCAGGTACGCACCGTTGAAGAGTTATTTTGCGGCAGAGATTGTGAGTCAAAAGAATTGTACACACAGAAAGTTTCTCTCTGTGCAAGCTCCATTACCATTTTCGACGTAAACCGAAGTCAGGGTCGTCGCAGTTTGCCCTGCAGAGTCGGTCACAGTGAGCTTGAAGACATAAGTCCCAGAAATGAAATCGACCAACTTGGCCACGGGCAGAGATGCGTCAACAAGCGTGCCAGCAGCGGGGCTCTCCAGTTGCTTTTCCCACAGGAAACCGAGGTTGGCAGTCGCGGTGCGATCATCGGTACTCTGCGACCCATCGAGCTCAAGCAACGCCGACGTGGTGGAGATGTGATATTCTGCCGGGGCAACGGCAGTTGGAGGGAAATCTAATTGACACACACACAAGAGTGTGAGAGGTGTTGGTGTCGCAATGCAGCTAAATGTGACCAGCGCACAACGGACACCTCGCGCCGAGGGGAGACAACAGTTACCTTCAATCACGATAATAGAGACTCTGTCAACAGAAGTGTAGTCTCGGACATCCGTCACAGTCAGCTTGAAAGTATAGACGCCAGGCACCGTCAGCCCTTCCACACGGGTCTGGGTATCGTCCAGCGTTGTGAGTGTCACGACGACTGGGTTGGTCGAGTCGGCCTCCCAGACGATGCTTTTAAACCCGGCAGCAGCGGTGCTCTGGGACGAATCCAACGTGGCAGTGTTGTTTGGCAACACGACGGTGATGTTCTGACCCGCATGAGCAACCGGAATGGGAAGGGAAGCTGCCACGCATGCAAAGAAAAAAAACGTTGGGGGAGGGGGGTTGAGCGCTCCCAGTCAGGCACGCAGTACGCAATCGAAAGCAACAAAAAGCAAAGAAAAAGCTGGGGTACGTACGTTCGCGATAAACAATCGTAAAAACAGTCGGCGTCATATGCCCATCAGTGTCGGTCACTTCCAGCTTGACTGTGTACGTTCCCAGACGTAGATTGGTCACCTCGACGTGCTTGAACGAGTGCGGATCTTCAATCACCCCACCCACTCCAGAGGTAATTGCCCAATTGAATCTAGAAACAAGTGAGTGAGACAAAACACAAAAGCAAGGAATTAGAAGGGTGAGCATGCAAGTGTTGTCGGCGCATCGATCGCACGATTCACAAAAACAAAAAACAAAAAGAAAACTCACCGCAGTGGGTACGAGTTGGGGTCCATGGCATCCTCGTCATCCATGACTTCGGGAACCTGGATGTCAACGGTGGCAAGCTGATCCGGCAAACCTTCAATGTCAAAGTCCTTGATCGCGTTTCCGATTTTCGGGCCTGCATTTTGACGTGGCCGAATCTCGATGGAAGACTGGTTGCTGATGCTCAGCTCTTCCTCGCCAATTCGATAAAGCATCGTCACTTCAAATTCGTACACTCCCGCAACAAGTCGAGTCAGCGGGAGAGTCGCAGCCTCGATAAGCTGCACCAGCACAGGACCGGACTGGAGCTTCCATGTAAAGCCCAAAATGCTGCCGAATGCATCCACATTCTGCACAACGGCGTGGAGGTCCAAAGCATGCAGCTCTGTCGACAAAGTTGCCGGCTCTACAAAGAAGGCAGGAGGAAGATAGGTCGGAGTTGGTGTGGCGCTCGGCGGGTCGGGAGTGGCGCTCGAGGGCTCGGGAGTCGCGCTCGAGGGCTCTGGTGTGGCGCTCGAGGGCTCGGGAGTGGCGCTTGAAGGCTCGGGAGTGGCGCTTGAAGGCTCGGGAGTCGCGCTTCGAGGGCTCGAGCTCGAGAGTGACGCTCGGGGTGGAATCCTCAGGATCGGCTGCAGAGGGGTGGAATCCTCAGGATCGGCTGTAGAAGACTCAGGATCAGCTGTAGAAGACTCGAGATCAGCTGTGGAGGACTCGTCTGCTCCACTGGATCCGGAGTGGCTGTTGCTGGCTGATCCAGAGTGCTTGTCTCTGGCTGTTCCACTGGATCCAGAGTGCTTGTCTCTGGCTGTTCCACTGGATCCGGAGTGGCTGTTGCTGGCTGTTCGGAGGGATCCGGCGTTGCCTCGAAATGCGCAAACACAATCCCACTAATAGCATTGCTCTTGGGTTCCGACAAATGCTGACGCTCGCTCTTGTCATTCACGTGTGCGCAGTAAAGGAGGTTGTCATCACCGCGCCTTCGCTTGGCAATCGGCTGGTCGGTCGGCTCAATATAAATAACTGTTTCATCCAACGTGACCAACCCCCCTAAGAGTTGCACCACAAACGACAAATCCACCCACATCAAAACAGTGAGGGCTCTTTATCTGACCACATCATGGTGAATCACGATGACCATCGCAAGTTGGTTTTTTTTTTTTCCCCCGTATTTACCATTGCCATCGTCGCCAGGTACGGATGTGAAGGCGGCGTTGTCGAGAATCTCCTTGATGGTAGAGTCGTCTGCAGATTCAAACTCGTCCAAGTTTTTGTCCTGGAACAGCCAGACGACGCACGCTGGGTCGGCGTTGCACTTTGCGCAGCACTCGCCCGCGTTGGCGACCTCGACCAGCTTCATGTTGACGCCAAAGCTCCATGCCGGGTGCTTGTAGAGCTCGCCTTTATCGTATGATGCTGGGCATGACGGCCCGCGCCGGCTGTCCTCTCGCCTCCAGACTACAACAAAGAAGGGTGAAGAGGTGGGCGTGAGTGTGGAAGCAGATTGACAGCTCCCCCCCTCTCTCTCTCTTCGCTTGATGCCATCATCCGTCATCGCAAAACAACCACTTCATGGGAGCAATAAAAAGCCATCCAACGCTCGCTCACGTTCGAGAGAGAGAGAGAGCGAGAGAGAGAGAGTGAGCGAGAGAACGAGAGACGCCGAATCCATCTGGACCACAGCGTGTCACCACTCCTGCTACCAGTACTACTGTCACCTCACCCCCATCCCCACCCCGCTTCAAGCAACGACGACCGGTATTGACTCTTGTTATACAGGCGCGCGTTTGCTGCAAGTCGCCGGTCTTGAATCGCGGTCGTAACGTCACCCGCGCTCACACACATCCCCTCGCTCCCTGCGGCCACATCGCCTTCACTCACGCATCCGATGCTGGCATCAGACACGGAATAACTCGCTTTTTTGATTTGTCTCTTACTGGGATAGCTGTCGACGGGAGTTGGACCCCACTGCACGAGCGCGAGTGCCACGCTAGCAATCAGCAGCAGCAGCCACATCCATGTCCCAGCGCTCGCTCTCATGTGAATGAAAGCAAAACAACAATAATACACTGAAACAACAGAAAAGGAAGAATAGAAGAACAATCAAAAAAAAAAGGACTGCATCCAGTTCTCTATTCGATTCCAATAACTCAACGATCAATACAACAAAAGACAAAAGATGTCGTCCATCATGGAGTCGCTGTTCGGCTCGCGCAAGACGCCTGCGCAGATGCTCAGACAACACCAGCGCTCGCTCACAAAGGCCATGCGCGACCTCGATCGCGAACGCTCCAAGCTCGAGCAGCAAGAGAAGAAGATTGTGACGGACATCAAGAAGATGGCCAAGGAGGGCCAGATGGTAACGACACCACACACACACACACACCGCGCTTCCGTCGGAACTGAGCTCGTGTACCTCACAACGAGCTCAAGGAAGAAGGTTCCCCCAAGGTTGGTGGAGAGGCGCTGGCGGCGCTGACCGTTTTTGTCATCAAACGACGACGCGGTCATCAAACGGCGCAGCCAAACCCGAACCGAGCACTGCCACACCACACTCTGGCATTGCCTCTCGTTCAGCAAGCCTTGGGGGTACAAATGCATCTGTGCGTCTGGGATGCCCGTGGTGGACAGGGACTGACGGAAAGCAAACGAAAAACCCGGCGAATGTGACGTTCTGTTTGCTAGTGGACGAGGTCGTGCCCTTTCGTTGACTGCGACGACGCTTACGTCCACGACCGCCTTTTGTCCAGAGTTGAATGAGAGCTTGATAGAGAGAATCGTAAAAGAGACGGGGGCGTGGTGGCATGTCCTGACTTGCTACATCCGACATTTCGCATGGTCGCTCACTTGCCTTGACCCCGCGCTGACTCGAACAATCCTCGACCAATCCACTGTACACTCTGTTAGGATGCTGCAAAGATCATGGCCAAGGACCTCGTGCGCACTCGCCGCTACGTCAAGAAGTTTATCATGATGCGCGCACAGATTCAAGCTGTTTCGCTTAAAATTCAGGCATGTACCATATTTCTCAGAACGTTGCTGCTGATGCGTGTGGCTGGTGCTGTGTGTGTGCACTTGTGTTGTGCCGCAACTAATCGTCGTTGCGCCACTTTTTTTCTTCTTGTTCTTTTTTTCACAGACTTTGCGATCAAATCAGGCAATGGCAGAAGCTATGAAGGGCGTCACACGCGCCATGACCAAGATGAACAAGCAGATGAACCTGCCCGAGATCCAAAAGATCATGATGGAGTTTGAGAAGCAATCCGAAATCATGGACATGAAGGAGGAAATGATGAACGACACCATCGACGACGTCATGGGCGATGCAGACGACGATGAAGAGAGCGACCAGATTGTCAATCAAGTTCTTGACGAGATTGGCATTTCCCTTGGTCAATCGGTGAGCACGGGCGCTTGGACGATTGGGAAGGTTGATGGCTTTCGTGTGTGGCGAAATATATGTGCGCTCACTTTCTCGTGTCGATTGGCGATTGTGCACACAGATGGTCGACGCACCCATTACAGCGACGGGCGGCGGTGGTGGCAAGGTGACCGAGGCCAAGACAGCCGTCGCAGACTCTGCAGATGCCGATCTGCAAGCACGACTTGACAACTTGCGCCGAGACTAAAAGCCAAAAACCGCTGTAGTTTTGTTGTTGCTCTGTTGGAGGTTGACCCTGCTTGTTGTTTTTTTGCTGTTTGACGATTTGCTCATGCTGGTTTGCATGCTATTGGCTGAAATAAGATCAATTCTTAGTGTCTAGTTTCTGATTTTCGCCTTTGCGCACTTTTTTTTGTGTACCGATCATCCTGTGACTTGACCCAGCCGAGCTTGACCCTCTCTCTGACATTCGCAAACGCGAAATGACCAATGGAGCATGTACGCACTCTGCTGCCCCCGCCAATGGCCAACATTCAACAACATTCTCAACATTGATCTCTGAGCTTTCGTTGCAGACTTCACAGACAATGAACTTTGCAAGCTGCCTTCATTTGCCATCATTTGTTTAAATTGTTCTAGACTCACTCTTTTGTTTTTTTTTTTTCAATTTTGAAAACAAGTTCTCAGACATGTCAACGGCAGCGCAAATCGAGGAAGAGGAGGGCGACTTTACGCTCGACAACCCCGACACTGTCACCAAGTACCGCACCGCTGGTGACATTGCCAACCGTACGTCCTTTGTTTTGTTGCTGTTTTTGTGATGAGTGGCAAGCTGAGGCCTCACAGCATGATACCGAGGGGCCAAAGAAGGAAGGGGGGTTATGCAACCGCGTGGATTGAGAAAGCGAAACAAGGGCTGCGCTCTCTCTCTCCGTCTCTCCGTCTCTCTCTGCCTCGCTTTATGCACATGTGTCTGTCTCTCTCGCTGTCTCTTGCATTGCCTCCGCCTCGCCATCACCCCGTTCAGCGCTTCTTTTGCGTTGTGCGCCAAGCTTCATTCGTTTGGCTTTTTTTTTTTTCTTTTTTCCGTTTTTTTCTGCGCGATCTTTCGATTTTTTTTTTTTTTTTTTTTTTTTTTTGGCTCTGTTCATTCTGTCATCCTTCACTTGTTTGCTGGGGGGTTGCACTTCGGGTGACGAAGGCGTTCGGGCTTGAAATGTCGACAATGTGGGCTTTTCTAGGCGGTTTTGTCGCGCATCGGTGACTCGGACGAACTCGGCTCCAAGTCGATCTCCTTCAGCCAGTTAGTTAGTCTGTTCGCCAGCACACACTCCTTCAGCCAGCCAGCCAGCCAACACCACACCAAAAGCGCAAAACGAAAATCATCCAACCTGCGATCGCTCGCTTTGGAGGCCTGCTCACTGCGCACTCATTCTCTGCCGGTCTGGAAAAACGCAGGCGTCATCAAGAAGGTCCTCGCTGCCGCCGTCCCCGGCGCGACCGTCCTCGCCCTGTGCAAGCTCGGCGATGGCGAGATCAACGAGGAGGTCGCCAAGATCTACAAGGCCAACAAGAAGGTCAAGAAGGGTAAGGCACCACGCCAGACCCTCTTGTTTTTTTTTTGGTTGGCTGCCAACAAAACCACCATTCGCTCATCCCACATTCGCGATCGATGATTTCCATGCTCCGTGATTGCTGCTGCAGGCATTGCGTTCCCCACTTGCGTCTCGCTCAACAGCACCGTCTGCCACCAGTCGCCCCTTTCCAGCGATGCCGCCATCACCCTCCAGGCCGGCGACGTTGCCAAGGTTGACCTCGGTGTCCACGTCGATGGCCTGATTGCCGTCGTTGCCCACACCATCGTTGTCGGCGCCACCAAGGAGGCCCCCGTCACCGGCCGCAAGGCTGATGTCCTCCTCGCCGCATACAACGCCTCTGAGGCCGCCGTCCGCCTCGTCCAGGCTGGCAGCACCAACCACAAGGTCACCGAGACTGTCCAACAGGTTGCGCAGCAATTCAAGTGCAACACCGTTGAGGGCATGCTCTCGCACCAGCTCGAGCGCAACATCATCGACGGCAAGAAGACCATCATCCTCAACCCCAACGAGGCCCAGCGCAAGGAGCACAAGGAGCTCACCTTCGAGATTGGCGAAGTCTATGGCGTTGATGTTATTGTTAGCACAGCCGAGGGCAAGGTACAGGCGCAAGGCGGGTTTTTGGGTGTTTTGTTGCTGATGCTGTTGTTGTTATTGGGCTTGGTTCTCATCTCTTCTCATCTCATCTCTCCCATTCAGAGCCGCACCCTCGACACCCGAACCACCGTCTACAAGAAGACCGATGCCGTCTATCTCCTCAAGATGCAAGCCTCGCGCACCTTCCTCAGCCAGGCCAAGGAAAAGTACGGCAACTTCCCCTTCTCGATCCGCTCGTTCGACGACGAGAACAAGGCCAAGATTGGTGTCCTCGAGTGCACCAAGCACAACGTCATGACCCCCTTCAGCGTCCTGTACGACCGCGACGACACCGCCTCGGTTGCCCAGTTCAAGTTCACCGTCCTCCTCACCAAGAACGGCCCCATCCGCATCACCTCCGTCCCCTTCGAGGCTGAGCTTTTCAAGAGCGAGCACAGCGTCGTCGACGCCGAGCTCAAGGCTCTCCTCGCCTCGTCCGCCAAGGGCAAGAGCAAGGCCAAGAAGGCTGATGCTGCTGCTCCCGAGGCCGCCTCCAGCTCGTCCGCCCCTGCCCCCGCTGCCGCCCAGTAACAGAACACGCGTCGTGTGTTTGGATGAACTCTCCGAGTTTGCGATGACTGTTGAGATGTTGGTGTCCGCTTTTCGTGTTTTTGTGTAATGGTAGTTTTTTTTTTTTGTTTTCTTCTGCAGTTCTTGTTCCAAACGGGGGGAGGGAGAGAAGAGAGAGAGAGAGAGACTCATGTCGTGGCTGCTGCTGGATTTCAATATGATGTGACGGCTTTGAGTGCACGTAAATGTAATATCCAAAAAAAATTGACAGAGATGGGGAGAAAACCAAGCAAAAAAACCAAAAAAATTTAATGCTTCTTGGCGTCTGCGGGGACGGGCTTGCTGCCGCCGGACTTGCCGATGAGGATGGCAAGAGTGACGCCAGAGAGGGTGGCGAGCACGAGCTGTTAGATCAAAAGGGAAAAAGAAAAAAAAACGGACGATGAGTTGTTGGCGTTTCAGGCGTCAAACCAACCTCTAACGCAATCCGTCAACGCACGTTACGGCGACCGGCAGTGGTCACAGAGTTAAAGATCTTGGCAATGCCTTGGAATTGGGGCTCAACGCCGTGTCCGTGACCGCCAGCCATTTTTCTATGGATTGAGAAACCTGCCAGCAAAAGACGATGGAAAAGTCAGCCATCCAAAAAAAAAAAAAAAAAAAAAAAAAAAATCATGGCTTTGATGCGTTTTGAGCGCTGTGCTCTGGCGATTCGCTCAACGACGACGAGGGGTGGGGAAAGGGCGCGAATCATGCACATTGCATGTCTCACGCGATGCTGCTTGCGTGACACAGCCACAGCGCTGGACGATCAGCAAGAGCAAAACCAAAGCCAGCGATCTCTTTCTTTTTTTCCCCCTCCCCCACTTCCCTTCCGCGCCTCGTTGAGCGTGTGTGTGCGATCGATCTCCATGCTGCGATACACGCGTTGATCCAGCCATCCCCAGAGAGCGAACGAGAGAAGGCGTGACGGCACGGCAACAGGAGACTTTCATTGAGACCAATAGAAAAAAAAAAAAAAGCATATGGGCGCTGTTCACCGCTTGCTGCCACTTGCTGGGGACGCGACCATCACAAACCTCCCAACAAGCAAAAACCCAATCTTTGGTGCGCTTTTGTGTCAAACGGATGAACACTTCAACCGCGAACGAAAACTCAAGCCTGTGATGTGCAAACAAAGCTTTTACTTTTGGATTTAAAAAAAAAAAGGACTGCCCAGTCTTATTGCTCTCAAGCGTTCTGAGATAGACCGAGCCGAGATTAGACAGACACCGTGCAATTCGATCAGGTCTCAAGAACAACAAAATGACTAGTAGCTTGCTCAAAGACATCCTGATCACGCAGCGGGAAGCCTCTGGAATCACACTATTGGCAGACTCTGCGGCCGACCCATTGGGTGCACTGCTGGCTGCCGGGGCGCGCGCCGTCGCCACTCGAGGTTTGGAAAATGGAACAAGCAAGGTTGGACTGCTGTTGGCGAGTGGATGGATGGAACTGACCGGCTCAGGCGCCGTTGTTGCAGGTCGAGGCGTTGTGCTTGTGGCAATCGACCGCGCTCCACAGCTGCTCTGCGCGTCGCTCGGACTGACTGGTATCACTGGACAGCGACCAATCGTTGTCGATGCATTCTCGGATCCGCTCGGCTGGTCTTCAGCGTCGCGCGGGAACAGCTCGCTCTGCCAAACGTGCGTTTCGAACCTGACGCAACTCGCAGACACGATTGCCAAGGCCGCTGCTGCAGCAGCAGGAGGAGGTGTGTATTTGTTTGCAGAGATGCTCAGTAGCGTCAAAAAGAAGAAACAGCTTGCATGTTTGTTCATTGGAGTCGATTGCCACTCACCACACAACGAATGAACTGGGCAACCCTGCTACAGCAGCCCTGAGCACCGTGTACATTGATTCTCTGGCAACGTTATGTCTGCATCACTCTGTTGGAGACGTGAGTCGCTTTTTGGCCGCACTCGTCTCGAGCAATCGCGGCGTGGCAAGTGTTGTGGCACTCGTCCATCAGGACGTGCTTGCCGCGCTTTCGGAAAGTGCAGAGTCTGCGCTTGCTACACTAGCGTACGTGGCATCAACCACTGTAACAGTCCAGCCAGGTACTGCGAGTGTGGACGTGCATCATCGTCGTAAAACTGGCAAAGTTCTGCGATCGAACGAAGCCTTCTCGTTCACGTTGGCGCACGAGCTAGTCACGGTTCCAGCGTCAGAGCTCTCGACCACCGGATCCGCTGGCTCGACGGCAGGAGCCAGTGCCTCAGCGGCCTCGTCGTCGTCTTCAAGTGCAGCAGGCAAGACCAAGCAGGTGAGCTGAAGAGTGAAAAGTGTGGGTTGCACGCTGTGGATGCAGATTGGATGCAGATTGGATTGGGGGGGGGTGTGTAGTGTTGGGCTACATACGTCGCTTGTGGCTGGCTGGCAACACGTTTGCAAGCTCGAATCGCACGTGCTCGGAAACTTCGACGCTGACTCGGGCTGCTTTTGTTTGTTGCTTTGTTGTTTGTCTGTTCTTCGCAGCCCGACCCAACGGCAAATCTCACATTCAACCTCAGTCTCAATGCGGCCGAACGGCAAGCACGCCAAAACGTTGTCCTGCCGTACCTTAAAACTGAGGCGGACAAGCGAGCCATCTTGCGTCAAGACTATCCTTCGGCGTCCGCCCCGGGAACGATCGCGTATGCTGATGATACAGAGCCTCCTCGCGTTCACGCAGCGCGACCCGCCGTTGCCTCGAATATTGTCTTTGAGCCCGAGGTCGGCGTGGACGAGCTGGATGATTTCGGCGACGAGGAAGACCAGGAGGAGGAAGATCCGGACGATGATTTGGACATTTGAGTCGTGTGCACCAATATAGTTTATTGTATTTGCGGTCATGGGCTTTGTACATCAGGAGTCGGGGATGCCAAAAAAAAAAAAAAAAAAAAAAAAAGGGTGAGAGGACCAAATTTTTGCGCAGCCACTTTTGCGCTTCAGAACAACTTGTCGACCCATAGAGCGTGCCAATCCCTCGGTATCTTCTTCCTGAGTTGTCGTGGATTAGTTAGCCAGATCGGCTCATTCCTTCCTTTTTGTTTATTTTGCATTGGTTGTTTGAACATGAGCGGGTTTGTGGACGATTTGTCGACTGCGCAGACGGAAGCGCTTGAAGCCATGTGGCGCAAGGTGGAGACGACCGGCCTGCTTGATGAAGACAAGGTGAATTGTGCTTTCATGAGACGATGGCGGCGGGGGGCGGGGGGTTTGTGGCGCTCGGATTGCTTGATCCGGGCGAGCTTGAAGCCGGAAGCAAGTGACAAAAGGGATGACGCGCCGCGACGCGCCAACGCCCGGACTGGGCGCGCAGCAGAGAATCTCTGCACGATCGATGTTTCAACGGATAACGCAGCAAGTTGCGATCCTCAAAGTGGGGGGGGGGGGGGGCAAAAGCGACAACGAGAGGCCAACTTTGCACCCGATGGATGGCAGTGGGCGGGAACGGAAGCTAGCGTCGGCAAATTGAGCTCTCGACGAATCGCGGCTGAATGATGTTCAAAACTAAGATGGATTTCGATGCGAATGACAAATTTGTTCCGGTGTTTTTTTGTTTTTTTTTTTTTTGTTTTTTTTTTTTTTTTTTTTTTTTGTTCTTGTTCTTGCTATTCGCATTGTGCTGCTGCGCAGTTCTGGCTGGCGATCGGACACGAGGACGCAGACGGTAAGTGTTTCGTCGTTGTTGTTTTTTGAGTCTTCGTTTCAAACGTGGCTTGCGAGCACTCTATGATCAAATGAATGTCGCGCACAACTAAATCGAACAACGCTGACACGTTGATGCATTTAGTATTCCTGCTGCGATTTCTGCGAGCGCGCAGGTTTGAGGTGGACAAGGCGTTCACAATGCTGACCGAATGCATTGACTGGCAAGTCTCGTTCGGCACCCACCACCTCACTGTGGCTCAAGTGGCGGACAACTACTTCTTTGAGACCAATCTGATGTTCTTTTCACGCGGCCGCTGCAAGAATGGCCGCCCGATTGCGTATGGTTTTGATATGCAAGAGGTGATTTTGTTTTCAATCTTGAACACGGAATTTTGACGGCGGGTGCGCTTTCTCCGCCACAATCCCTACAGAGTCATCCGAGTCAAGGTGCATGACAAAAACCGACGCGACCTGGAGTCACTCAAGCGCTTCTGCATCCTTCAAATGCAAGCGGGTCGGCGCATGGTTCGCGGCACAGACACCTTCGCGACGCTCGTGTTCGACATGACCGACTTTGGCCTCATCAACATGGACTTTGACTTTGTCAAGTTCCTCATCGCGGCGTTCGAAAAGTACTACCCCGAGACTCTTGGCGTGCTCTTGCTGCTCAACGCGCCGTTTGTGTTCTGGGGTAAAGCTCGATGGATGGCTTGGTCTTGGTTTTTTGATTGTTTTGATTGTGCTTGTGCTTTATTTTTTTTTTGTTTTGGTTTTCTTGGCTGCTAACTGGCTACGTTCTGCCACTGGTCTGGGTAGGATGCTGGCGCATGATCTCGCCTTGGTTGGACAAGAACGTCGCCGACAAGGTCAAGTTTGTGACAACTGCTGAACTGACGCAGTACATTGATCCGGAAAACATTCTGGAGGAGCACGGCGGTCTGGACAAACACAAGTAAGAGCCTCGAGTCCAAAAAGGATTGGAACATTGAGTAGCTGACTTTATTTTTCCGGTTGTTGGCAGATACACGTTCACGCCCCTCGCGGACGACGAACACGCCGATTTGCCGTGCGGTGTCGCGAAAGACGAAGATTTCGATCGGATTATGAGCGAAATGAACGACGCTCGCAAGCAGCTCGTCGACATTCGCAAGCAACTACACGCCAAGCAGCTGGATGCCGAAAAGTTGGCCGAGCTGCGCAAGGAGTTTGCCCATCGCAAGGCCCACCTCTCCAAGACGGTCAAGTACCGACATCCCGGCTTTCACTTTGCACCCGGTCATGTTGCCAGCGAGTAAAACACGAGCAGTCTCGGCGATGTCGGGGATGGTTTGGATTAATGGAAAGCAACAAGCTGCTGTTAGATCCATCCCAAAGATGCACACTCTTCTAATACTCGCAGAAATACTTTCCATTTCTCATCATTCCAGAAATACAAACTGTACGCAAGAAAGGTGTTACGACCTTACCCGGAACTTAACCTAGAATCACTACTGAAGCGTACGAATTGAATGCGGAAGTATCGTTTACTAAGAATATAGTGAAGAATGAGGGGGAAGCCTAACTGAAGCTGAGCCCAGTTCGTACTCTCAGTCACTTTTCGCGCCTTTTTTTTTTTTTTTTTTTTGTTCTTTTTTCTCTTCCATGGTTCTTCTGATCCCTTCCTTTCCAACACACAGATGTCCTCCGCGGCCGCACCTCGAACGAAAGAGCAGTGGCTGGATTTAACTGTAAGGACTGAGTGACAGGGCGCTGTGGTTTGGGCTGCGTGGCTGTCGTTCTCACAAACTTGCCTTGTTCGTTTGCCAGGTTCCAGATCTACGAGCAGCACTCACCTCCCGCGGACTCTCGACCCGTGGAAACAAACCTGAGCTGATAACTCGTCTCATGGATGATGATGCCGCCAAATGCAGCAAGCAGCAAGCTGACGCAGCAGCAGCAGCACGAGCAGCAGCAGCACGAGCAGTCGCAGTAGCAGCACCACCACCACCACCACCAACACTACCGTCACCCAACACGGGCAGTGACAGCACTGCGAGCAGCACCAGCAGCAGCAGTAGCTCGGCTGCCGCACCACCACTCACAACCGCGCCTGCGGCTCAAGCACCGGCTGTTCAGCATTTCGTGCCTCGACCAGCTCCAGGCACCACATTCACTGTGTCCAGTGCGGACTTGGAAGGCATCACTGTTCCGGACGAGATCAAAGCATTGTTGCGGGTTCATGGCAAGAGCGTCGAATTGCTCGATCGCAACTTTTCAGAACTTTCAGCAGGTGCCTTGTATCGAGATCTGTTAATGTCAGACGAATCACCAGAACCTCGCTACCTCACCGGCGTTGGTGGTGTCGGCAAAAGCAGTATTCTGCTGATGCTGGCCGTGCTGGCGATGCGCCACAACAGGGCCTTCTTCGAGCGCCTCGCTGCTGCTCCTGCTCCTGCTCCTGCTCCTGTTAATGCTCCTGCTGCTCCCCCTTTCGATGGCGCCATTTTCCTCATCTACCTGCCTCAGACGGATGCCTTCATTCAACAACCACCTGAGGTCGCGGCCAACCAACTGATCGAAAAGTTGCGAATTGCCAACCGCCGCTTGCTGAACTCTCGTATGCTTGATGAGCCCGCGTTTGAGTTACTCAAGGATGCGTTTGTGCGACAAAAGAATTCGTCTGGGCATTTTGAGTCCGCACTCAACCAATGGGGTCGCATCAATGCTGCGTTGGTTGGCCTCGAGTCCCAAAGTCACCGTTTCCGTGTCCTCGTCCTCATCGACCAGTGGAATTCAATCATTCATCGCAAAGCCCTTCCAGTTGGCCACGAGGACAAGCTCACGGCAGACCATCCTGCTCAAGCCTTCTACAAGCTCAGCTCCCAGTTCGGGTTCTCCCTTTTCGTCGCGGCAGTCAGCTCCTCTTTCGACCTGGGCTCAGAAAATGCGCTGAAGGACGGACAGTCTTCTGGACGTAAAATTCCCATTCCGCCGCTCACTGCCGCGGAGGCTGAGACGCTGCGCGCCATTTGGTACCACCGCAACCCACCGGAGAACAAGCCGCGTTTGAAAGTCACTGCCGAACAGATGCAGAAGCTCTTCCTCAAAGTCGGTGGTGTCGCGCGCATTTTGCAGTACTACGCATCGTCGCGCTACGAAGCGAATCCCGACACCAACTTTGCCGAGCTGTGCGAGGAGTATTACGACAAGCGACTCAAACGCCTCATCGAGTCCTACCGACCCCTTGATACATTCAACGATCTTGTTCAAGACCTCTCCACGATCTTCGTGCACGGTCGACTTTCTGTACATTTGTCTGAAGTTTGGCTGAAGACCGGAATGGTCAAGAAGGATCCAGCGGAGCCTGAGCAGCTGATTCCTGTGAGCGACCTCGCTCGCAGCGCTGCAGCCAGAGTCTTCAAGGCCGCGGGAGGTGGCTTCCTGCACCTGATCTATGCCGTCGCAACCATCCGATGGTACGCGATAGAGACGTTTGTCTTGTTGCACCTCCGCTATCCGACCAACGTGTTGAGAGGCATTTCTCCATCACAAACCGAGCTGAGCCTGCCCACGACAGTCAGCGAAACCCATGTTCTCGATCGGTCGATCGGTGCCGGTAACGTCGAGGCGTATCTGAAGACGTACAACAACGGTCACCCGTTCCCGGCGAACACTCTGTTCCTTCCTGGCTGGAGCACCCATCCCGTCGCAGACGCAGTGTTGCTGACAACCAAACCGCAACCCAATGCTACGCAACCCAATGCTACGCAACCCAATGCTACGCCAACCCTGGTGTTTTTCCAAATCAGCGAATCACCATACAACAAACATGGAACGCAAATCCCTCATCTTGCGACGTCGGTTCTGAGTAAGAGCACGACCGTGATTGACACCTACCGCGCATTGTATGGTATTGGCGATGACGCAGCGTATGACACACCGCAGATCCGGCAAGGACAGCTGCCAGAGTGTGTCAAGTACATCTACGCGACCACAGACACCAGCACCAGCACGACACACTCTGTGTTTTTCATGCAAGCGAGCCATTTGCGATGGCTTGATGCGACGGGATGGGACAGAATGACGGGATCCCCTCCAGCTTCATCTGCGCCGTAATTTTTTTTTTGCCAATCGCGCCGCATTGTGATGACCGACTGCTGTCAGGCATTCTATGTGTTTTTTAATTCTGTTCGTGGTCATACATGTCTTGTATATCGAGTTGCGCTGCAATTTTTATTCATGGAGTCTTAAGTTTGGTGTACTGGCAGTCAATTGAAAACTGGGCGCGGACACCCTCAGATTTGATTGTCAGCGAGAAGAACCTTTGCAAGCATACTGGCAGTCCAATGAACACTTTGGCATTTTCGCTGACTTGAATCTGTTCCAACCTGTTACGGGTGAGACCCCCCCCCCTTGGGTCTGTTCCAACCTGTTACGGGTGAGACCCCCCCCCCTTGGGTCTAACCCACTCTTGGTATTTTGTATTAAATACGAGAATCCCGGGTTTGTTCGTAACACAACCATCAAAGAAGCGTCGGCCACCTTTCCCCCCACCCCACCCAGCCTCTTCCTTCTCGATTTCAATACCATCTCCATCTGGAATGAGAATATTATTAATATTAATATTAATATGAGACAGTCATTTCTGTTTTTGATTCTTGTTGTAGAGATTGTTTCATAGCAAAACAAGGGATGGCAGCAAACGCGCAAAGTCGAGTCATCAAAAGGTGCCGCTCCCGTCGCTTCTTTCCCTCGCCCCGCTGCCCGTTTTTGCTTGGCAGTAGTCGTTATGAGTCCTCAGCGCGCCCTCGCTCGGCCTGCCTCGCGTCCTGCCGCCTCAAAGCGACCGCAAGCGAGCCGCGTGTTGGGGGGGTTTTTTTTTTTTTTTTTTCAAGCTTGTTTGTTTCACTTGCGCGCCAAAGCTTTTTTTTCTTTTTTTTCGTCGCGGTGCTTCGGCCAGCGGCGCTCCACCTCCGTCGCCAGCCACCACTGGGCTGTGCTTAACCCAGTTGTGCGGCCAAATCCAGTCATCCGAGCGTGCCACACTGTCGCGTTCAAGCTGGACCGGCCGAATGAGTTGCTGCTGAATTTGGCGCGCTCTTTTTTTTTTTTTTTTTTTTTGTTTTTTTTTTTGTTGCTTTTTTTTTTTCTCCGCGCGATGTTCGCTGCTCAAACTGCTTCACTCACTTCCTCTTGACACACGCAGAATACAAAAGGAGCTTGCTGAAGTCACTTTGGATCCCCCGTGCAACTGCAGGTACGGCGCTTTGCTCGTTCGAAACACTGACGTTGTTGGATGCTTGTTCCGTTCGCGGCCCTGTCACTCACTGACTCGACCCTGTGCTCTGTCTTTGATTTGACTGTTCTCGTGTTACGATGTATTACGTTGGTTGGTGGTTCGTGGCTTGTGGCTGTGCCAATTCGCAGCGCCGGTCCGAAAGGCGACAACCTTCTTGAGTGGACGGCAACCATTCTCGGTCCTTCTGGCTCGCCCTACCAAGGCGGCGTCTTTTTCCTCGAGATTTTCTTCTCTGCAGACTATCCCTTCAAGCCTCCAAAGGTTTGTACCATCGCATCCCGCCGGTGGCAATCTTGGTTTTGGTTGGCAGTGCATTTGCATTGACTCTTTGTTGTTGTTGTTGTTGTCTGTTTGCAATCTCGGTCCGTCGACGGCAGGTCGTTTTCAAGACTCGTATTTATCACTGCAACATTCACGCCTCGGGAAGCATTTGCTTGGACACGTTGAAAGACCAATGGAGCCCAGCGCTCACAATCTCCAAGGTGCTCCTGTCAATCTGCTCGTTGCTCACGGATCCCAACCCTGACGACCCCTTGGTGCCTGCGATTGCCCACGAGTATCTTAAGGACCGTCAACTGCACGACAAAACGGCGCGTGACTGGACGCGGCGCTACGCACAATGAGCCACGCTGTGCTTTTGGTGATTTTTGTTTTGTTGTTGCTTTGGGTGCTTTGTGTGTGATTGACTGATCAAACAAGCTTCAAACAAATCCCAGAATCTATTTTCCCACTGTAGGGTGGTCTCAAAGTCTCAAAATCAGGGCAAAGTTTGTAATCCACTCACTTCAAAGGTACGATCGAGGCGGACCGACAAATCCCTCACGCGTCAACTCATCATCCCATAGCAGCATGATGTCGGATGAGTGAGTATCAAAAACCGCCGTGGCGAGACAGGAAGCGCTGGAGGGTGCAGTGCGAGAGATGTGAATAGCAATGATACCCGCCCCGCCGCGCACCCCTGATACTGTATTCATAATTATGGAATCGAGGGTCGCTGTTTGTTGCAAGGAGCCCAAATGCACAGCTACGCTAGCGCAGCCGCCATGCATGTCCAGTCCTCAAAATCTTTGTTTTTTTCTGTAAATGGGTTTTTTTTTTTTTTTTTTGGCTTGGTGCTGGTCGCTCGTCCATCTCTCCTCTCTCGCGCTCCAGCTAGCTCTCTCAGCTAGCTCTCTCTTTCTCTCTCTCTTTCTCTCTCTCTTTCTCTCCCTTCTCTTGTCTTGTCTTGCCGGTGTCGATGTGGGCAACCACCCTGCACGGACCCGTTGCTCAAAACCATCAAAATCAACAAATCCAAAATCAAAACTCAAAAAAAAAAAAAAAAAAAAAAAAAAAAAAGGCATCGATTTTATTTGATCAGAACGAGCGACACAGATCGCGGCTGGGCTCTGTGTGTTGCCGTGATGCCACGCAACGGGACGGGCTGACAAGAGCCAGCCTCGGTACTTGCACTGCGCTGCCGTTGTCTCCCTCGGCTTGTCGATATGGCTGTGGATGGCACAGCAAGTCGTGGGCGCAGGAGGGAGGCGCGCGAAAAGGCAACCCCCAAATTGTTTTTTTTTTCATTTTCTCTTTGGCAGTGAATGGCTTTTGCGGGGGGGAGTGGAGGCCCAGTGCCACCACGGAAGCGTCCGACACATCGTCTGTGGCTCGGTGCGATTGCACTTGTTCTTTCCTGGGCTATGGCTTCGTTTTGGCAGCCCTGCCCCACTCTCTGGGCTTCGGTGTGTCAACAAAGGGGTTTTTTTTTTTTTTTTCAGGGGGGGCTGGACTCTGTGGGACTCTGACTGGCTGGCACAACAGATGTGTATCTGTTGGGGTGTGTCTGTATCTGTGTTGCTTTTCATCCCTTGGGGCGCCGTTGTGTCTCGAGACGGGAGGGATTGTTGTTCGGTCCAAATCGTCCAACTCGATACCCAAAAAAAAAAAAAAAAAAAAAAAAAAAAAGCCAACACTGCTTTTCTCTTTGAAGATTCGTCATTCATTCATCGCGGCTCACGACGACGACGGCCACCGTGCTCGTCGCTCTGGATCTGCTGTCGTTGCTCCTGTGCAGATTCGCGCATCAGTGGTGCGTGCAGGCGGGCGGGGATTGGAGGTGGGCATGACTCGACGATGAAGGGGTGATTGGATCTAACTGTGGTTGCAGTTTTTTTTTTTTTTTTTTTTTCCTTTCCTTTTCCTTTCCTTCTCTGTCTCCATTCAATGAGCAATGTTCCTTTTTCTTGCTAGTTTTGCTTGTTTGCTCACGAATATCCCCTTTCAACCCCTCTGTTTCGTGTGTGTTTTTGCAGACGAGCCCTCAAGTTTCCACTCAGGATCAAAGACAAGGAAGTTTTGCTCTGAAACCACAAAGGGACCCAAAACCTCTCGTCTTTCTTCCTCTCGTCTTTCAACCCTCTCGAATTTTCATTTCTTTTGGGCTTTGAGTCCTCGCACAACGTGTTCGTGGCTCCCGTGCGAGAAGACACCTCCTTGCTCCACTTCAAGCGCGCATTGCACAGGATTGACGGTTGCAATTGACATTGGTTGCCATTGGTGATCGATTCCTTTCTCGTTTTTCGTCTCGCTCGTGAAACTTTCCTTTTCTCTCTCTTCTTCTATTTTTTTGCGCAAACATGCCGCCCAAGTCAGCAAACTCGTTCAACAAGAAAAACCCCGTTGAAAAGCCCCCACCGTTGGCTGGAAGCATTGCGAGCTTCCCGCCGAGCTATGGCAATCTGCTCACGCTGGTTCGGAAGAACGACTACAAGAAGCTGCAAGAGCTCGCCAACAGCCACAAGATTGCAGAGGAAGATGTCAACTATCAGGACCCACGAACGGGCCGCACGCTCGTCCATCGTGCATCCTTGCAGGGCTTGAGCAAGTGCTTGCCGATGCTGCTGGATGCCGGCGGTGATGTGAGCCTTGTCGACCACGTTGGCTATTCCGCACTCATGTACGCCGTGCGTAACGGCCATGCCGATTGCGCACAGCTCTTGATCAACGCCAATGCCAATGTCAATCACGCAGCCCAGGACGGAAGCACGCCCGTGTACTGGGCTGCCTACCACGGCTACCCAGACTGCATTTCACTGTTGATCAAGAACAACGCGTCCGTGCATGTGGTCAACGAGGAAGGCCGCACGCCTCTGCATGAGGCCAGCGAGAGCGGCCAAATCATGTGCGTCACCCTGTTGCTCAAGCAGGGCGCTCAGGTGGACGCCCAAGACAAGGATGGCAAAACCGCACTGCACTGCGCCTGCGACCGAGGCCATGCTGCCGTGATTTCGCTGCTCGTCTACCACGATGCCGACATTGGCATGGACGACAACAACCTCTGGACGCCGCTTCACTACGCCGCCGCCAGCGGTCAACAAGACCCCGTTGCCATGCTGATTGACTACGGCGCCGATCTCGAGTGCCGCACCAAGGACAACTTTACCCCCGAGATGCTTGCGAAACGCGAGGGCCGCACTGATGTGGCTGAGAGAATCGGTGAGCAATTTTTGTTCGATGTGTTTATTGGACTTGTTTGCGTTGAATGGGGGGGGTTGTTGCTTTTGGCTCACTTTCATCCATCGACGCGTGCTTGGTCTTTGCACAATAGCACAAGCTGAGGTCAAGCTGCTGAACGAAACTGGCCCAACCTCCGCCGCTCGCCGATTGTACGGCTCGGGTGCGGCGTCGGAAGACCACCCACCTCAGGTCAGTACCGCTGGGCTGAATCGCTATCGCGCGTCTATTCGTCGTGATGCTGCCCCAGACTCGGTGAAGGAACGTCAGGCGGCCAAGGAGCGTGACGAGAAGGCTGCCAAGGAGCGTGAGGAACAGGCCGCGCACGAGCGCGAACAGGCTCGACTCGTCAAAGAGCGGGAGGCGCTTGCACGTCGTGAGGCCGAGGAGCGAGAACGGCTTGCTGCTCAACACCGGGAACGTGAAGAACGCGAGCGTGAACAGCGCGAAGCCGAACAGCGCGAGGCCGAACAGGCCAAAGCTGTCGCTGCTGCTGCGGCGGCCTCCGCTGCTGCTGCCGCCGCTGCTGAGGAGGTAGCGCGAACCAAGCTTCGCGAAGCAGAGCTCGCTGCTGCGCAGGCAGCTGCCGCAGCTGCCTCTCTTGCGGCCGACTCTGACCGCAATGGACACGTGCGAATGGTCTCGGAGGATTCCCTCGGCGACGACGTGGCAACACCCCAGCATGCGCGCTTCCGCTCCTCCTCGGAAGATTCCACCAGTCGCCCAGAAGACTCGCCGAGTGCGCGTGCTCGCTCGCCCCTCCCGCCTCCTGGACCCCGCCACCCCAAGCCCACGAATCTTTCCACCTCCGCTGCCGGCGCCACGCCTTTCGCTCGACGCGCTTTGCAGGGCCAGTTGCGCCCGCCATCCGTGTGTGACGATGATGACAATGACTATGACACTCACCAGGCGCCGCAGCGCAAACTCTCCACTGCCTCTGTGGATGAAGAGTTGCAGAACATGCCCTCGCCAACGGCATTGACCGCACGCAAACTCGCCACTCCGGATTTGCCCTCCCCGCCTCCGCATGGCCCTCCGAGCTTGGCTGCCCTCCCGCCACCCCCAGCAAACTTGCCCCCGCCACCGCCGATCGCCACCATCACCGTCTCGACGGTCTCGCCCGACCCTGACGCAGCTGGGCTGTCCCACCGCCGCCACGGCAGACGTTTGTCCTGGGACGCCAAAGCCCTCCATGCGAGTGCCGATGGTGGCCACGCCACCGCTTCCCCCACGCTGCCGCCCGCGCTGGTTCCGCGCTGGTCGGATCCGACCCTTGAAGTCAGCGACTCGGAGTCGAACTCGGGCAAAGCGTCGCCAGTGTCGCCAGCGACCTTTACGAGTGCTCCGGCCCGCCCGTCGCCGCTGCGCATTTCCACGACGCGCGGGGTGCCCGATGCCTCGCACCTGCCGTCGCCACCCCCGGCGCCGGCGCCCGTTGCTGCCCGTCAGCAACCCGCGGATGACGACTTGCCTCCGCCGCTCGATCACGTTGAAAGCGACGATGATGGTCCGCCGCCGCCGGAGCCCGTTGGCCATGTTGATGATGATGACGACGGCCCACCGCCGCCGGAACCCGTTGAGCTCCCGAAGGTGCCAGCACCTGTTGTTGCGCCTGTTGCCGTTTTGCGGACGGAATCGCCTGTACAGCTGGTGTCATCGTCGCCGTCGCCGCCTCCTGCCTCTGGGGATTCGGCCATGAGCGAAGAGCAAGAGCGTGCCGAGCGGCTCAAGGCCAAAGCGGCTGCACGGCTGAAGGCGCGTCAAGAAGCCGAAGCTGCTGAAAATGCCGCGGCCGAAGAGCGTGCTCGCCAACGCGCCAAGGTCAAGGCTGAGAACGAAAAGCGCGAACGAGAGCTGCAAGCTGAGCGCGAAGAGCTGGAACGGCAGCGACTTGAGCGTATTCGTCTCGAGGAAGAGCGGAAGGCCGCCGAAGCGGCTGCAGCGGCTGAACGGGCACGCCTCGAGCGCGAGGAGCGCGAAAAGCGTCGTCGCGAAGAGCGTGAAAGACTCGAGCGTCTCCGTCAGGAAGAAGAGGAGCAAGAGCGCCTTGCAGCTGAAGCCGCCGAAGCAGAGGCCGCACTGGAGCGTGCCCGCTACGCCGAAGAGTATGCTCGCGCTGAGGAACGGCGCAAGGCTGCAGAGCTCGAGGAAGAGCGCCAACTCGAGGAGGCGCGGCAGCGCAAGATTATTGAAAAGCAGGAACGCGAAGCCGAGCGCCAACGTGAGTTGGAGGATCTGGAGCGACTCCGCGTCCAACGGGAGGAGGCTGAGCGCGCGGCTGCCGAAGAGCGCGAGCGTGTCCGCGAGTACATGACAAAGAAGGGCCTGACCAGCTCTGCCCACGTGCCATCCTCCATCAGTGGCCGCTCGTCCGGCTCATCCACCTCATCCGCGTCATCTGGTTCCAGCGGTGCCTCGCGCACGCGTGAACCTGTCAAGTCATCCCTCGCCGATGATCCCGAGCTCGCTGCCGCCCGCGGCGCCCGTGCTGCTGCCGGCAAAATGTTTGAGCAACCAGCGGAAAAGCCTGTTGAGAACCAGCGGAAAAGCCTGTTGAGAAGAAGCCTGTTGCCAAGCCCGTCGAGAAGCCTGTTGAGAAGCCTGTCGAGAAGCCTGTTGAGAAGCCCGTCGAGCCAAAGGCAGTCGAAAAGAAGACGGCTGCTGCTGCAGCAGCCTCTGTGGAATTGGATGCTGACGCCGACTATGAGGCTCGCCGTGCTGCTCGCGCTGCGCGACGATTGGCTGAAGCTGGAGGTGCTGCTGCTGCTGCTGCTGAGCCGGTTGCCGCTCCGGCCGCCTCCACTTCCTCTGCAGACGATGATTTCGAGGCCCAACGAGCCGCTCGCAAAGCTCGGCGACAACAAGAACTGCAGGAAACCGCGCCTGCTGCTACAGCTGCGGACGATGATTTTGAAGCCCAACGCGCTGCTCGTAAGGCCCGCCGCCAGCAAGAGGAGGCTGCGGCTCAACCGCCAGCGCCCACAAAGGCCAAACAAGAGCCTGCTGAAGATGACTTTGAAGCCCAGCGCGCTGCACGCAAGGCGCGCCGCCAGCAAGAAGAGGCTGCTGCTGCTGAACAAGCAGCACCCGCAAAGACCAAGCAAGAGCCTGAGGAAGATCCGGAGCTTGCTGCTGCTCGTGCGGCTCGTGCAGCTGCACGCCAGAAGCGAGAAGAGGAAGAAGCGCGCGCCAAGGAGCCCGCTCCCCGTTCCTCTGGCTCGTCCAAGCCGGCATCTTTCAACGATGATCCGGAGATTGCAGCTGCTCGTGCTGCCCGTGCTGCGCTCAAAGCCAAAACAGAGGTGCCCGCCGACGAGCCTTCCTCGGCCGGTAGCCGCAGTGGAAATGTGTCCAAGGGGACGTCGTTCAATGACGATCCCGAGATTGCCGCTGCTCGCGCCGCCAAGGCCTCACTCAAGGTCTTCCAAGACCAGTCCAAGGCGACATCGGACGCCACTTCGCGCAAGAGTCTGGCGGACGATCCCGAGATTGCCGCGGCTAAAAATGCTCGGTTGAACCGTTCCAACTCAAAGCCGGCAGATTCCGTTGAGGAAGTCAAGCCCGCTGCCAATCTGAGTCGAACCCCTTCGAAGGTGGAGTCCGTTGAGGAGGTAAAGCCCGTTGCCAAGCTGAGTCGAAACCCTTCGAAAGTGGAGCCCGTTGAGGAGACCAAGCCTGCCGCCAAACCGTCAGTCAAGATGGTCGAGGAAGAGCGAAAAGCGCCCCCGAGCAAGCTGGCTGACGACGAAAGCGTCGTTGCCGTTTCCGCCGCTCGCAAGATGTTTGGCGGTTCTGCTGCCGCTCCCGCTGCTACTGCTGCCGCTGCTGCTCCTGTCGGCAAGCTTGCTGCTGGAGGTCGCTCGCGAACTTCCATTGCAGACGAGGAGGAACCGCCTCGCAAGCCCGAGGTGCCCTCCAACAAACCTGCCCCGGTCGTCCAGGATGACACGGCGCGCTATGCCGGCGACAAGCCCTCGGTTGGCAAATTGAACTCTGCGTTTGGCGCGACCTTCAACAATGCCAAACCTGCTGCTGCTGCTGCTGCGCCGGCCAAGGCTGTGCCTGAACCTGCCAAGGCTGCGCCTGAACCTGCCAAGACCAGCGCTTCCAAGCCGACTGCCGCTGAAGCACCGACCAGCAAGTCCATGCGCCCTTCAGCCTCGACTGAAGCCGTCGCCAAGCCCGCCGAAGAAGCACTGCCTGAAATTGTCAAGCCGTCCCAACTCAAGTCTGGCCCTGTCCTTTCATCCAACACTACCACCCGCTCGTCCGAGAACGATGCCAAGGAAGCCGTGCGTGGCGTTTCTCTGGCTTCGCTGAAGCAGGGCTTCATGGCCGGCACCCCTTCCCCGACCCCGAAGTCTGACAATGGGCCGTTCTCTCCGCCTGCAGAGGATGCGGCCGTCAAGCCTCTCAAGGTGCCGTCAATGTTCGGTCCTGCCAAGACGAGCACCGCGACGCCCAAGGCGCCCGAGAATGAACCCGAAGCCGAGGCACCCAAGCGCGCGCGCCCCGTGTCTACTTTTGGTGCGCCCTCCGCCACCCCCGCAGCTGCTCCTGCCCCTGCTTCGGGCACCTCCGCCGCTGGCGGCCGAGGCCGACCCGTCTCCATGATCAACACACCGCCCGCCGAGAGTGAAAGTCTGTCCAATATTCGCTCAAAGCTTCGTTCTACCACCCAAGATACCAGCAAGTAAAATCGCGTGGCTCGTATTTGGTACGAGTCCTCGTCCTCATCATTGGCCGCGGTGGTTTCTGCTGTCGGCTGGTTGATTTTAGTCGATCTTTATTATTTTTTTTTGTCTGTTCTCTGATTGAGAGATATATCCCTGTCTGTCCCTCCCTCCGCACCCTTCTTTTTCTCCATTTTTTCCTCTTCCTTCTGTTTCGAACATAGTTTCCATCTTTCACTTTGACGTGTCTTTTTGTTTGCTTCGTTGCTTTTTTTTTTTTTTTTTGTGAAATGTCAAACCAGTACAAAATTTAACATCGGATTGGTTGCTTGTGATTTTCCAGCAGCAGCGGAGGATGCTTTCTTATTCTCACTTTTTTTGGCTGTTCACCGTTTGATCAACGAAAAAAGCGAGCTCAGACAAGTTGATGCACGTCAAAGCAAAAAAGCTGAAATCAAAGCTCATAAATTCAATCTTTTTTTTTTTTTTTTGTTTTTTTTATTCTTTATTCTTTATTCTTTGGCCATGCTTTTGGGATTGCGATCTGTTCTCGTTGCTGCTTCTGCTGCAGCCAGGCCAGCGCCCTCATCGGTGGTGGCGACGACCGCCGTGCCTCGGCGCAGCGCAACGACTGCCGCACTGTACACTGCCGTAATGACGCCGCAGCCCGTGTCGCGGGTGGCGCTCAAGAAGAACAAGAAGCGCAAGGGCACGCGGCAGCGCCCAGAGGCGACCCCGACCCCGTCCCGCCTCACCAACCAGGGCCGCAGCGCAATGGCAAACTACTTTATGCAGCGCGGCGTCCTGCTTCGTGAGCAGTACGAGGCGCTCGAGCCCGTGCGGCTGCCACTCAAGCTGCCGACCCCGGCCGCGCTTGCCGCCCAGCAGAACGCACAGCTCTCGGCGATCGTCCAGGCGCACGCCCAGAACGATACCCAGGCACTCTCGGCAGCCTATGCTGCAATGACCCGTCCAGTGTTGCCGCCGGCCAAGCTCGAGACGGTCACATCCACCACCCCGACGCTCCGCCGACCCAAGGCGGACGCTGCTGCTGCCACCTCTGCTGCGGCAAAGACCGGTGGCGCCGCCAAGGGGAAAGGCAAGACGCAGTCCGCTGAGAACGCCATGAAGGAGCGCACCAAGCGCATCCATGCACGCGCTGAGGCGTCCAACAAGATTGCCTGGGAGCAAGCCAACGCCCGAGCAGAGGCAGCCATCGCCGGTGGCCAAACTGGCGTCCAAGTCCAGGATTTCTTGCCAGGTGAGGTTTTGTTGTGAATGTTGAGCTGGAGTCAAAGAAGAAGCGGGGGAAGTTGGGTTGGGGGGATGGCAAGTTTCGTTTATTGTTTATTGGAGGCTCTGCTCGTTGTCACCCCGACTCACTTTGGATGCCATTTCTTTCTCATTTGGGCTTTGGGTGTGTGTGTGTGTTGGCTTTGATGTGGCGGCCGACCTGACTTCAATGCAGCGCACGTTCGACATGGCATGCGTGGCCGCACAGTGCGAAAGGATCGTGACTTGTATCACTTTTTCACAATGCTTGATTCGGCGAAGTTCATGGCCATCTACCACTGGTCGGCGATGGACTCGCAGGCATGGCTCAACTTTCGCATGAAGCTGAAGGCTGCAGGACTGAACGTTCGGCTGTTCAACGGCTCGCTCATCCGTCGCGCCGTCTCCCGCACAGACTTCCGCAACATGAAGCTCCTTTTCCACGGAAACACGTGTGTCATTTACTCGTACGAGAAGGAGCTGGGCGCGCTGCCCGCGGTCATGGCCGGGGATGCCCGCTTTGAGCTGCTCGGCGTCAAGGTCGAGCGAGCGCTGCTCTCGAAGGAAGACGTGCCCTCGTACTTGGCCATGCGACCGGTTCGCGACTACCAGGCCGAGATTGTCGGCTTGATGAGCAGTCCCGCCGCGCGTGTCACGAGCATGATTGAACAGGCTCCTCAGCTGCTTGTTCACGTTCTCAACACACACGCCAAATCCGCCGATGAGCCACCAGCAGATTCTGCCCCGAAATCAACCTAGTGTAATGTTGACAATGATCGAGAAAAAAAACAGTGCACTACAATGGGGCAAAATAAAAACGTTGTGTTTGTGTTGTTGAGTTTTTTTTTTTTTTTTTTTTTTTTTTTTTTGTTTGGTGGTGGTTTGTTTGTTTGGTTTTACTTCTTTATTTTTCGCCAAATCGTGTGGTGGATGGCCACAGTGGCAGAGAAGAAGAACAGAGACAAAAGGTGCAACACAGATGACACAACCAGAAAAAGGAAGAAGAGCAAAGAACAACAACCAAACATCAAGCAACGTCGCGGCTTAGAACAGGTAGTCCAGCTCCGGTCGCGCGTAGGTATTGCGCTCGTCGTTGGGAATGCGAGGGTAATGGGCCACCAAGGCATCCTGCGCACCAATGTAGGCGTTGTTGTACACCTTCCAATAAATGTCGCGAACACGGCGGGCGGGGTGGAACATGCCTTGGAGAACGTACTGAAGAATGCGGCAGGGACCAAGCGCAACGCGGCAGCCGTCGATGGCGTCAACGACGGCGTTAATCACGTGCGGCGAGGTCTCGAAAATGTTTGGCCAGACATAGTTGAGCAAATGAGTGAGCGCGTCCTCGCAGCCAAAGCCATACACGCCAAGCGAAAGATGCTTGACGACAGAGCAAGCGGTTTGCCGGTGAACCATGTCGCGGTCCATCAGTGCATCCTCGAGCAGAGGTGTGACGGCGTACACGTAATCCACGCCCATTTCGCCAATGTACTCGAAAAGGAAGGACAGTGACTTGAGCACACCGTTCTGAACGTTGAGTTCGGGCACACGGTACTCGTTCATGAGCGCAGGCAAAATAGTGTATGGCGCGCAGGTTTCGGCAACAATGGCGATCGCCACGGTCGTGCAGACACGCAGCTGTCGCTCTTGGACTTTGAGATTGTTGAGCAGCGTCGTCAGCACGTCGTGAGGGCCAATGGCCTTGGCAATGTAGCCAAAGGTATTGACAGCAGCGCGGCGGATGGACCTTCGGGGCGCCTTGAGCAGCTCGAGCAGCAAGAAGGCAATGCGCATCCACTCGCGAGCAGAAACAAACTCGGGTCCATGATCGGCAATACGACCGACGAGGTCGATGATGGCCTCGGCCACACGCTCGTGACGGTTGCGAAGGATGGGCGTGATGCGGGGAAGCAAGTCCTTGATGGGCGGGCTCATGTCCTGCATGCCAAGCACGGAAGCAATCGCCTTCAGAGCATTAATGATGGAGGCGAGGACATCGGGATACTCCTCGCCGAGATACTCGTAGAGCACCGTGCCCAGGCGCTTGAGCTGCGCGTCCTCGTCGCACGCTTTCATGACGGAGGCTGTGCGCGAGATGAGGTCGGCAGCCTGTTGGCGAATGCGCGCCGTCTTGTTGTTGAGGCGCCACAAAATGATACCGCAGATCTGGGCCAAGTAGGGCTTGGTGCGCTGGCCAAGGGCATTGCATACGACACCAAAGCCAGAGAGAATGGCGTGGTCCTCTTGCTGCTGCTCCTGGAAGGCGTGCATGACGCCGTCCATCAGGCGCACCTCGAGGTCTGAGTCAATGTCGGCCGCACCGAGGTTGGTGATAATCTTCTCGATGGTCTGCATGACCATGCGGCGGTAAAACTCGTTTTCGTGCTTCAAGTCGTCCACAATGCGACGCACAATGTCAGAGACGCCAACCCTGCTTGCGAGCTCGACGGTGGTTTCGACGACAGCCCGGTAGTTGCGGGGTTCGGCAGCCATTCTGCTCACCCAAAAGTGGCGGAAAAACTCTGGCAGGACTTCGTCGCGAATGTAGGCGGGCTCGACGCCGTCCGTCGAGCAGCACTGCTTGACGACCTTGAGGACAATCAGCTTCATTTCCGGGTCGGGCGACGCAAACTCGTGGATCAACACGACCATCACGTCGCGGGTGTAAAAGTTGGCGTACTCGGCGTCCATCAGCGGAATGATGTGGCCAATGGCCTTGAGGAAGGCGGCCAGACCCTTGCCAGAGTGGTGCTTGATGCCCTTCCAGAGCGGCTTGAGAACAGAGTCAAACGACTCGATGCCGTACGGAGTCGCGGCCTCGGCAAGGGCGGCAATGGCAAGCGCAGTGATGGTTCGCACCTTTTGCTCAGTGTCCTTGAGGCCCTCCTCGATAATGTCCACAAGGGACTTGAGATGGGGCAGCACTGCGCAGCCAATCAGAATGGCGATTTGCTGGACAACCTTGATGCCAGTGTGCCGCGCCTGCCAAGACTTTTTGCTCTTGCAGACAGCCTTGAGGAATGGCACGAGCGACTGGATGCCGAGAGCCGAGGCCACCACCGCAAAGGCGCGCGCGGTCGTGTTCCGCACGTACTCGTCTGGGTTGTCAATGTCCGGGCGCATGACGGAGATCATGGTCGGCAGGCCGGCAGCCTTGGCGAGGTTGGCAACAATCTCGCGGCCTTCCGAGCGCGCAAAGTACGACTCGTCAATCAGCAGCGGGGCAATAACCACCAGAATCTTGTGCACATACGGCCGAACCAGCTCGTCGAGCTTGTAGAGAATTCTGTCAATGACCTTGACGAGCAAATGGCGCTCCTGCTCGTCCAACGGCGACATCAGCAGGGGAAGGATTTGGTTGAAGAGCGGGCCAGCGCCAAGCTCGCGGGCCTTGTCGGTGATTTGGCGAAGGGCAACCTTGCGGACGGGCGGGGTGCCGTTCTTGATTTTGAGCAAGAGCTTCATGATGCGCCGCTCCTTGAGCTCCTCGACAGAGAGGGCATCTTCGTCGACCTCGGTCATGAGCTTGGCAAAGTGCTGCTTGTCCTCGGGACGGAGCGCAGGCAAGCCGCCCGGTGGCTGAATGGCCTCGATACCGTGGTGGTTGCCGCGCTGCTCTTCTTGCAAAAAGAAGCCTGCCTGCGCGCCGCCGTGCTCACCCACGGGAGTGGCTTGAAGCTTGCGCGAAGGGGTGCGGATGGGCACGTAGCTGGCCGGCGGGTTGATGATGCGGTACCCGTCCTTTGGCAGAATGGCGTCAAGATCGTCGTCGCTCATAAAGCGATTGCGCTCGTTCAGCTCCATGTCGAGACGGGAAGACGGGCCGGGAGCCGCGGCGCCAAAGCCCAGCTTGCCGGCCAAGCCGCCAACCAGCGGAGTGGCGGCGCCGTATGCTGCAGCACCCACGGGGGTCTCGGCACCAAAACCACCAGGGCCTCCTCCGGTGTGAACGGGCGTCTCATCCCAGCGGGAACGGCGCGAGCGCGGCGTTTCGGCCGCCGCGCCAGAGCGGTCTGCTGCGGGCGTCTCGTCCCAACGCGAGCGGCGAGCTGTCGCTCCACCAGTCGCTCCGCCAGTCGAGGCTGCTGAGTCTGCGCGCGGGGTTTCGTCCCAGCGACTGGCCGACGACGGCGCGCCAGAGTCGGCAGCGGCAGTGCGGGCACGGATGCTGCTGCTGACGGTGGCGTCATCGGCGTCCCACTCGGACTGGGCTGGTGCAGGGCGTTTCGCTGCAGGTGCATCATCGTCCGTGGCAGCTGTTGCTGTTGCTGCTGCAGCAGAAGCGGTGGAAGGGACGTCGCTGGCAGTCTGGTCCCAGCGACGCTTGCGAGGCGCTGCGATGGGTGCCGCCGCAATGCCCTGCTGCTGTTGCAGCTGCAGCTGCTCTGCCTCCTTGTCTTGCTTCTCCTTGATCTTGCGCTTGAGCTCGGCCTCTTCGCGCAGAAGGGCAGCCTCTTCCATGGCCTGCTTGTACGTTCGTCCCGTCGCTGCTCCCGACCCATCCGCCGCCGCCGCCGCTCCGCCTTTAGCGCCAGCAGCCACAGCAGCAGCAAACGGATCTGCGCGCTCGGGGGAGAGCATCCGGTTGAGCCGCCGTGCGCTGTACTCGCTTTCCGTCTCGGTGAGCTTTTTGCGCTGAAACTCCTTGAACGGATCGTGGTCTGCGTGCGCCGCCTCGAGCTCCTGCATGGCCCGCGTGTGGTGGCTCTGTCGCGCGCCCATCGTGCCAGTCGGGTCGCCCGCAGAGCCAATCTCCTCGTCGTCGACGTCAATGTCCATCTGCTTGAGCCTGCGCTGCCTCGCGCGCTCGCCGCCACCAACGAGTCCACCCGCGCCGTTGTCGCCGTCCGCATCGTCGTCGTCGTGATCAGCGTCGTCGTGATCAGCGTCATCGCGGTCGTAGTGGCCGCGGCCCTGCTGCTGATGAGCGTTGCCGCGACGTTGTCCCGACTTTGCCGTCGTCGTCGTCCCTGCGTTCAGGTAGCCCTCGCTGCCGTCGTCGTCCGCATACGCAGTCGCGCTGTTGGAGCGACGGCTGGCCTGCAGCTGCCTGATTTCGGCCTCGACGTCGTCCGCTTGCTGCTGCATCTCGCAATGGGAGTGTCAGAATGAAAGAAAAGAAAAAAAAAAAAAAAAAGAAACAAGGAAAAAAAAAGAGAAAAAAAAAATGGACTTTTGCATTGGGATTTGTTTTCAAAGCCATACAAGAGCATTAGAAGGCTGCGCGCTCAGATTACAAGCCTCGAAAAACACTTGGATCAACAACCATGGAAAGCTACATCAATGAAAAATAATAATAAAACACTCAGCTCTATTTTGCGAGGACAAGATGGTGAAGAGAGAACAACATACAACTCAAAAAAGGGGGACAGAAACAATATGCTCGTTTTGCAGCAACCAGGCCAACAAAAACAAAACCACAAATATAAAGGATGGAGGAAAAAGAGGTTGAAAAAGTCAACCTTGTTACAGATAGCGCCGATTTCCGTGTTGACACACAGATCGACTCAAAAGATGGAGGAGGGGAAAAAAAAAACCAACCTTGTGCTATCATTCCGGAAGAGGACGGCAGCCGGCCCAGTTGGGAGGGGAGACGTGATCGTACTTGGCAATAAACGACAAGAGGGTTTGGGCAGGGCGGTCGTTCGGGTACATTGACGAACAAATGTTCAGAATGTCAGTGGCCTTGGTCCAATTGCCTTGAATGTACGCCTGCACGCCCTGATGGAACGTCGTGCGATAGCGCGAAATGGCCGCAAAATCCGCAGTGGCGCTGCTCGTCGATTCAGAGCTGCCGTCCGGTGACCCATTGGCGAGTGGGGAGGGAGATGCGGAACGACTGGCCGAGCCGGATGGTGTCGTGTCGGACTTGATGCCACCAAACGCCCGCTCCCAGTCCGAGCCATGCTCGTATGTATTAAAGTCATACGTGTACAGGTCGATCGGCCACTTGCTGCCCTTGACGGAAACCCGGTCAATTTGCCGGCACATTGCCTGGTAGGCCGGCGACAAGAGCATAAAGGCCTCGCCGGAAAGCAGAATCTCGACGCCATACGCCTTGGTCGCCGCTTCAAGTCGCGAAGCGATATTGACGTGAGGCGATAGATACGACAGGCCCGATGCTGCGCCAGTGTTGCGCGAGCCACTATCGTCGTCGGCACCAATGCGGCCTTCGATGGCCCAGCCGCGGTGCAAGCCAAAGCCCATCTGAACGGCGTAGCCAGGCACATCGCGACGAACACGACGCACAAACTCGAAATGGGACTCGTCAAAGAGCAACGAGTCTTCCAACTCTCCGCAGTTCAAGCACTCCAATTCCTCCACAATGTTGACAAACGACGCGAGCGCCTCGTCCGCAGGTGTCGTGGCGACGGGCTTGCCGTCGTCGTCCGACTCTGGAAGCAAAATCACATGGGGGTCGACGACGGGCGATGCGTCTCCGGAAAAAAGGCCAGACGCAGACGCGTGCTTGCTGCTGATGGGAGCGGGCGGTTGGACTGCTGCAGCGGCTTGTGATGATGCGCCGTCGCTCGCTCCAGAAACCGACTCGGACGACGTGATTCCGCGAGCCTGTGGCGACTGGTGCTGGGAGCCAAGGCGCTCAAGGATGATGGGGACGGGAGTGCCCGGACGAGGGGTGCCAGTGAATTTCGAGCTCAAAAGCCCGCCAATCGAGCCTTCCGAATCACCCATGTAGGAGGAATTGCGAGGGCTGGAAGCGGGCGACTCGAGCAGCGCACCTCCAGAGCTCACTCGCGCCGGAATGCTGGCCGACAGACGATCAAGCTTCTTCCACACGAGCAAGAAGGCGTCGCCGACATTCTTGTTGGGGAAGTTTTCAGCGCCAGGGCAAGCCACTCGCACCAAATGCGCCAAGCCGTTGGCAAGCACAATGACATCTTCTTGGAGAATGTCGGTAGCGATGGTAAACCGACGAATGTTGCAATAGCCGAAAATGGCGGTGAGCTTGACGCCCCGCTCGTTGACAAACTGCTGCGCCTCCGTCTGCAGTGCGTTTGAGGCGCTCTTTGACGAGCCCAGGCGCTGGACGTCAGCCAGCCGCAAACTGGGCAGCGGGGCTTGGAGCAAGGGGCCCACAGAGGTGGCACGCGCGCCGGCGGCACTTTCAGGCAAATCCGCAAGTTCCGCGACCTTTGAGTTGGCAAAGAAGGACAGGTTGTCAGCAGACACGGCGGCAGCATCAAGCAGATCGGTGGCGTCGCTGTTGGCAGACTGCGCTAGTTGTGTCAGAGTCGCGGCCAGCTGCGTTTCCTTCCCGCCGGTGGGGTCGAGCAGAGAGCCCAGATGGGCAAAGACGCTGCCAAACGCACGAAGCGGATAGAAGAGCTCGGCCACGGAGGTGGCAAAGTGGCGACGAGCCTCGCGCTCGACAAGCTTGCTAAAGACGGCGAGCGCAAAGAAGGTGAAGAGCGCCAGCTGCAAATTCACTGCCATGGTCTCGCGCACAATCGCGCCCACATCCACGGCCACCGCAACAAACGGCTTGGACGCGGCTTCCCACGCGGGCGTCGACTGACTCGAACCAGCGCGAAGCGACGGCTTGCAAGTGTCCAGGGTGACGCCCAAGGAGCGCTGGTCCACAAAGCTGCGCAGCGACGGGAAGGTGACGGGCAGCAGGTCGACCGTGCGAACGGGAGAGCGATTGTCGAATGCAACCACGCCATGCACGGACAAGAAGCAAACCTCGGGATAGTCCACGCGGAAGCGTCGAATTTCGTCTGCGAGCTGTGCGTGAGCCAAAGCGTTCATGAATTGCATGCGCTCGTTCAAGGCGGTATGGATGGAGCCGGCGCCGTTCAGGAACTGGACTTCGGGCGATTGGTGGCTGCCCACCATGGCCGACAGGGCAATGCTGTGGACAAGGAGCAAAACCACCGTCACACACACCGCACGCACCAACGTGGACTGCGCAACACGCACGCCAAAAGGCTGGCGGGACGGTTTGCCCTGTGAAGAAGAAGAAGAAGAAGAAGCGGAGGAGGGGGTCGCAAATGTGCCGAAATACCGAGCAAGAACCAGGCAGCGCAGCAGCATGAGGGCCACGCCAAGAGAGGTCGTCCCGATCGGCGCAAAGCTCAGTGCGGCAATCGCACCGAGCGGGTTGCGTAGCGTACCAGGGGTGTACCCTAAAACCAGCGCAACAAGGAAGGGGATGTCAAAGCCAACCATGGCCACAAGGGCTGTGGCTTCCACCAACGAACGACCAACTCGGCCTTGTCGCAATGCTGCGACAAAATGCCACACGGCGCCCAGCACAGCCGCAAGCACTGCGGCCAGGAAGACACTGCCAAGGACGGTGGTGTCGGAGGAAAGCAGCTGGGCCGAGATGTGGTTGTGAAGGAGTTGACTGAGGACGGGCGTGGTAAATTGAGAGAGACTGTTGACAAGGGCCTCGCGGAAGGTCACGGTCGGTGTGGTCGTCGACGAAGCGGGAGTGGACACGTTCTCGGACACGGCAGTTTCGCCGGGCTTGCCCAGCTGGCCAAACGCGCTTCGTTGCATCCCGTACGAATTGGCCGAGACCGCCTCGGGCGCAGGAATAAACCATTCCAGCAGCACTGGCCAGAAAATGGCAAGCAATGTTGTAAAGAACAGGACGGTCGATGCGGCTGACGCAATCCACCGGAGGCCGGCTCGCTGGGACGACCGTTTGGTCGTCGATGGAGGCACTTGCTGCGCGGATGCATTGGTCAATAACTGGCCAACGGTCGTTGCAGCAACGGCTGCAGCAGTGCACGGGTCGGACCCGGCCAAGCACGCCAAGGCATTGGAGCTACTGGTGTCGGAGACGGAGCCAGCACGCGATCGCAGCAATGGTGTGGGCGACTGCGATGTAGCGCCCGAGCGATTCTCGGCGATGGACAGGAGCTCTGAATTAGTGTGGGAAGCGTCAGTCGGATGCAACGTGTCAATTGAGCCACTGTTACGAAGCGACTTGCGGTGGCTGTTTCGACGTGACCGAAACCACTTTGACTTTTTGGAGAACGTCTCTGGAATTTCGATTGTGCCTGGCGCAAGCGACATGCGTCGACTGCCAGCCGCAATTCCAGCAACGGTTTCTGCAATGGCCGAACCAGCATGAATGACGACGCTGGCGGCACGGCCGGAGGAGGACGGAGAGGACGAGGCAGACCCACTGGCCGCGACATCGACGCTCGGCGTTCTCGAATGTGAGCTGGCCGCTTTTTGGCGCTCGCGCTGCTGCTGTTGCTGAAGTCGCTGCTTGATGGACAAGCCATTGCCGTTGGTCGAGGATCCAGAGCGCCTGGATGAGAGCTTTGAGGCAAACCGATCGCTGGAGGAGGCAGACACGGCACCCGCGGGCGAGGCAGCTTCTTTGGCCGCAATGCCCTCCTTGTGCAAGCGCTTGAGGTCGCCCCACTTTGTGCGATTGTCACGCAGCACGTCATAGCATTCCTTTGTGAGCGGGAGGATTCGGCAGAGAGCAGAGTAGCTGGGCTCGATAATGTAATCTGCAAAGCCGCACGCCATTTGCGCCTGCACGGTCGTCTCGCGGTCCATGTTGGGCGACACGGGAAGCCCCTTGGCCTTTTCAATGTCGCCTTGTCGGAAAAACTCGTCGCAGACGAGGTCTGACCACTTTTTGCAAATCGGCCACGGCTTGACGGGGTTGCTAATGTCTGCGTTGTGCAGCAAAACCGAGATGAGCAGCTGGCGGTTGTCCTCGTTCAGCTGGAGTTTTGACCGACTGATGGTGTGTGTAGTTTGCATGTCAAACTCGAGCGTAAAGGCGTTGAGCTGGTCCATGATTTGAAAGTGGCGAGACATGTCCGTGTACAGGACCGAGTCGATCAGCTTTTTGCGCACAAGCTTGTAGTCGTTATCGCTGAGGTGGACAAACAGGCCGTGGCGATCGATAATCTCAAACAGCTTGGCAATGTGGTGGTTTTCCAGGACAGACTTGTCGTTGTATAAGAGGGCGAGGCGGTCGCGCGTCTTGACCAAAAAGTCGTTGGTGAGGCCGGGGTGGTCGACGTCGTGCCCAAGCGCGCCAATCAGCAAGACGAGAATGTCAGCCTGCGTCAAGAGCTCGTCAGCTCGGAAGCGCTTGGCAAAGGAAAAGCACGTCTGCATGACATCAAAGCCGTGGTCAAAGTTGTGGTAGGGGTTTGGGTGGTACTCGGCTTCCACGGCGCGCACAAACTCGACCAGCTTGAGCTCGGGGACCTGCAAAAAGGACAGCAGGTTGTAGTGCTGGAACATTTGCACCGTCAAGTCGATACTGTCGTTGGCAGAGTACTTCCAGACGTTAAAGCCCCCAGGCGTCCAGCGACAGATTGCCCTCCTCGTCCTCCTCGGGCGAGGTCATTTCGGCGTCAAGCAGGTGACTCAGCGTGTTGGCGAGCGGCAGCAAGCCAGAGGAGCTCGCACTACTCGTCAGGGATAGGGGCGACGGCGATGCAAGCGGAAGCGCACGAAACGCCGAAGTGGCTGGTGGTGTCGAGGGACTGGCGTTGGCGTGTTCTGCCGCGTTCGCGGTGTGGCCACTTGCAGGACTCGCGTCGCCAACAGCACCATTGGTGCCTTCAGTGTGGCGCAGCTTTGACATTTGCAGCGCAGGTTTCCGGACTGGCGTTGTTGCCGCTGATGTGGCCGCCGGCTCGTCGGACGAGGAAACGACCAGCGTCGGCACCTTGCCGTCTCGCACTTCATCGCCGCTGCCTGCGTTCGCGGGTGATCCGGACATGGTCTCTTTTCGGGATGGATGGCCGGTGGGGTCTGCGCGTCACAGTTGTGGAAGGGGCCGGGATGGGAGTTGTCCTGTCAAAAACAATACAAAATAAAAGGAAAAGAAAACGGAAACAACACCAAGTGTCCCGCTGCGACGAAAATCTTGCACAAAGCCCCCCGACGATCGATTGTCAATCGATGGATTGGGGTTTTGTGTTTGTCTGTCAGGAAAAGGAGGAGGAGGAGGAGGAGGAGGAGGAGAGACGACCAAACAAGTGAGGCAACAACGAAGGACAAACAACCGAGACAAGAACAACTGCAGACCGTTCCCCCCCCCCACACACACCCCTCTCCCAATTCAGTACGCAAGTCAAACAGTCCCATGTCCTATGCTAGTTAGCTCATCATTGCTGGTTGGAACGAAAAGGACGACAAAGTTACCATCACTCGTTCAAAAAAAAAATACAAAAAAAAAAAAAGACTTCGAGGTCATCGCTGCATTGACGCCGCTGTTTTCGCTGGTTTCACAGTACAGAGCCCGACTCTTGGCATCAGCATCGACGCGTTGCAAAGTGCCATACAACAAGACCCGCACGAGCGGCGACGAACGAGGGCGAGCAAGGCAAACGAGTCCATAACGCCGCTCGTACACTGAAAAAAATAAAAATAATAAAAAATAATAATAAATTAAAAAGAAAAAGTTGGCTTCATTCTCACACTCGCTATCGGGGGACGAGGTCTGGCTTTCGGACAGCATGCGCAACCCCAGAGCCAGCGCGGACAAGTGGCTCTGCTGAATGCGACGGTGAGGAGCTGACTTTGTGGCCGTGCAGCAGAGCGGAAATGAGGAGCGCACTCCGACAGCTCATGTTACTACCCGCAACCCCATGGAAAAGGAAAAGGCACTCCCCAGAGCGGCCTCCGCTGCCCCCCCCTTCCTGCCACCGCATCGAGGACTCGACATGGAATGCTGCCGATAACAGACCCAGCCTCCACGTCGTTGTCTGTCGGCTCCCCATCAGTCCCGCAAAGCGAAAAACTGGGTCTTTTTTTTTTTTTTTTTTTTTTTTTTTTGTCTTTTTTTCAAATTCAAAAAAATTGGCCCAGCGAATCAGCATCCAAACTGTAACAACTCATGGAAACAGAGCCCAGGGAGGGAGAACGTCGACGCGAGGCAAGCAGTCAGCGAGGAGTGGGCAGTGTGTGTGTGCGGACAGACGGAACGGACTGCGTTGTGGAAACGAAATGGCGTCGCATTGCGTCGTGACAACTTACAGTTGAAAAGAAAAAAAATATATACGAAAATGAAATTTAAAAATGAAAAAAAAAAAAAAAAAAAAACGAATGGCTGTTGGCTGGCTGAATGTCGCCAGTTAGTGTGAGAAACAGGTGGGTGGGGTGAGATGGGGTGTGTTGGGAGAGGGAATGTGTGGCCTTTGTTTGGTAGCAAAGTAACGAAGAGAGGGAATCAACACGCACACACAAAAATACAAAAGGAAGCGCATCAGAGCAAACCACGCAATTTGAGCAGTTGGTATTCGATTTTGGAGCTGCTTTCAAAATGCCTCGATCCAATAATGCTATTTCGGTGATGGAATAGTGCAGCAATACATGTATGTTCAACAGGTTGTGAAAGCTGCAATCGAGCGAGAACCGACCGGCATTTGTGTCTCAAAAAAAGCCATAACTTAACTTATAAGTTGCCATGCAGTCGACGCTCGAGTCACTCCGTAACCACAGTATGAAGGCCCCACAAAGTTACAAAGTTGGGCCTCGACGCTTGGGCGAGGTGATGTTGGGCGATTGAACCAACTCAATCCGAGTCGTGCCAGCTCATCGACCAAAACGGGGCCCTGCCAGTTGGCGGGTTTTGCACGAGTTAGTGCTCCCACAAAACATCATTTCGTTTCCGCAACACAATACAACAGTTGCCGTGTCAGACGACAGTGCAATACGGAAAAGACAAAGGACCTGCGATCTTTCATCTGGACGAACGGAGGACAACCGGACTGAAGAATTAGGACTGTCCCAAACGTCCCCCAGCAATCAAGGAAGAGCCAACGAAAGCAAAACATTGGGATCAGGGTCGCTCGGTGCATCATCGGGAGCAGGCTCGTCGTCTTCCAACGGAGATGAAGACTGTAAAACCGGCCAGTTGGACGGGCCGATAGGAGACGTCGGCGTTGCCTCATGCATCCGCTGCGCCCAGAGTTCCGTATCGCGCTGCGCTTCCTCCGCAATCCTGGCGCCAGTCTTTGCAGTGGCCAAGCGTGGGGCTTGCTTCCAGAGCTCGTCCAGAGTAGTGAGGGCGTTGTCAACATCACCCGACAGCTCCCAGCACATTGCCTGGTTCTGGAGCGTCAACGGAAGTAAAGCTTGATGAGACTGAGTGGCCCACGTGACCGCGAGTGCTGCAAGCTCATTCAGCGTTTGAAGGAACTGTGGCGTTCGCTGGGCCCGGCGGCTGCACAAACGGCGACGCCTGCAGTCGTGGACGAGGAGGTGGACCTGTTCAGGTGCCGCCTTGGCAAGGACGTCGGATGCAGCCTCGCGCAATGGGGTGTAGGAAGTGAACGGTTGTAACGCCCAGTCAAAGCAGTGCACGAAGGTCGAGAACTTCCGGCCGGAAAGACGTTCGGTAAGCAGCAGGCGGACGAGCAGGCCAACTTGTACAGCTGAAAACTGCTCAGAGGCCGTCTTGAGGACAAGCTTGAATGCCTGGACAAGAACGTCATCGAAACCAGCGCAAGGGCGGACAGCCTTGTCAGTTGTCGACCAGACCACGAGCGCAAATCCATGCAGTTCGGAAAGGCAAAGACTGGCGAGCTGTGGATGCCAGAGCTCAGTACGCTCAGGTGTTATGCGTAGCAGATGGCGCAGTGCCTTGTGCTCGCGCAGCGACATGAACGGAAGACTCGGGAGACCATTCTTGCGAGGCGTGAAGATGGTGATGAAGGACAGCAGCCCGAGCAGTGCGCGCTTTTCGTCGTCCAAGCCAGTAAGACATGATCGTACAAGCATCACTGCTGTTTGACATGACGCGGTCACCGCAGCCAAGACAAAATTGAGCGGATGAGTGGCGAAAGGGAGACCCCCGCGAGCCAGTTTCTCGGCTTGCTGAAGGGCACGTGCACTATCTGGAATACAACATGCTAGCTGCATAGTCATCCCGGCAAACTCGTCCACATCAAGGAACGGCGTGAGGTAAAACGTTTCGCCAACCAGCGAGCCAGTGCGTTGCACGCGGACAATGATGGTTGCCGGAGACGAGATGAGCTTCGCATACTCGTCTGACTTGTAAACCGTATCATCAAAAAAGATGATCGCAGGGTCGGAGACGACCACGACATCACGGTCCTCCGGCTGCTTGTCTGGATGCGCCCAAAGGACAACAAAGTCGACGCTGAGCCAAAGTGCAGCCTGCCGCATGACCGTGGTCAGGCCAATGCCGCGGTATTCTTTTGGTATGGACAAAACCATGTGCGAACGCGCGCGGGCAAGGTCGCGAATGCGGTGCTCCAGGGCAACGACAGCAGCGCGGACTGGAAGCAGATTGGATCGCAAGAGAGACCATGGCGCTTCCAGTCCACTCCGCATCCACTGTGATATGAAGTCCTGATCGTTGTGGCTCGCAGGAGCGCGGCCGTCGACAAGGTCAAAACATGCCGGTATCGGTATCTGAGGGCGGGTTGCTCGGACCGAGCCGGAGGGATACCAACCAAGGGCGGCCACGGCAGGGCAAACGTCGAGAATGGCCGCAACGTTACTGGCCGTCTTGTACAACGAGTGGACGTTATGCAGGTCATTTTCACGAACGAGAAGAACGGCTTGGATATGGATTTGGATGTCCGTCTCTTTACTCAAGAGCTGATTTCTGAGTGCAGTCAGGCAACCAACCGCCTTTTCAGTCCCGTCAACAACGCAAATGAGTGGCGTTGGCATGGAGTGAAGACGTTCGACGAGGAGTGCAACGGAGCTTGGACCGCTGATGTCGTCAAATGTGAAGTCACTGGGCCTGTCAAAGCCGAGGATGTGCTCGATGTTGCGGGTCACATCAGCTTGCCATGTGGCGTCGCGAATGCGGACGCGCACAGTGAAGTCGCTGGCGGTCGCACGCACGACGAGCGGGTTGAGCGTATGCCCACGAAGCCAAATGGCCAATGCGTCCGGCGTGCGAAATGATGGCTCCGTAGTCGAGTTCCCAGTGGAGTCAAATAGGTACATGAATGGACGGCCGCGCCGTAGGTAGCGCGCGGGAGTAGCATTGAGGTCGTGCGAGATGCAAATAACCTTGCGCTGGACAAGCTGGTTGTTGAGCCATGCAACAAGTTCACCTTCGATTATCGGGCGCGTGCCAAATTGGCCAACAATGTCAGCAAACGCGTTCGGCACCTGGGTCTCGTCCAACAGCTCGGAAACGAGAATGCAGGGTGACTCGCCGTGGTTTGCGAGCACTGTACTGAGTATCGGGCATGTATCCCAAACTAGTACGACAGCATAATTGTCGTCCTGACGAATGTCCAGGCGAGCCGCCCAGCCACGGCATTTCAACGGATGAATGACGGGACCTTATTGCGAAGAAGACGAAGCCGACGACACGACGAATTCACCGGAGGTAGCTGTAGGTCGTTGACGGAGATGCTGAGCCGTGTCGGGGTGGGAACAATGTGCTTGACAAGCCATTCACGAAGAGCGCGGCAAAGAGTCTCTGGGTCGATGCAAAGCTCAACGCCGACGATGACGCCATGCTTGTCGACTTCGTCGACACCGAGATGAAATTCCATACTTGCCGCGTTCAGAAGAGGCTCAAGATAGTCTCCAAGCCAGGCGCTAAATGCGTCCTCCGTGACAGCGCGAGCATTTTTCTTCACGTTCGCTTTGAACTCGCGGACGGTCGACTCGCGTGGAAGGTGGGCACCCGCAGCAACAGACGAGGACGGTCCCCGGTTAATATCGGGCTGGGTGAAGACGACGCTCGGCGGCTGCGACCTCAAGGCATCAATCACCTGTGTGGCGTCCATTGAAGCCGTGGATGCGTCGTCACGTCGTTGGACAATCGGCTGGTCGAGTCCGGCTCTGTTGTCCGTCCGACAGCAAATCTGGACAGCACCACCGGGCAGCGGCGGAATGACGAGCGTGTGTGATTTCGTCAGGTAGACAACTGCAAGATCGACACGGCCCTGCATGAGCGGGATGGCGCTTGTGTCGATGGCAAGCTCGACATTGACAGGAATCGTGGTGAGACCTCGGACGGCCTTCTGTAGCTCCTCGAGCTCAATCTCAAGCTCTCGCGTGTTGGCAAGCGCAAACCGCACTACTGACGACCCGTTTAGGCCTGCAACGATGCAGCGGGTAACCGTCGCTGTGCTTGACACGGACAAAGTCATCAAACGACGATCTTCTCTTTTTTTTTTCAGTCGTTGTTTCTCACTGCCCCTGTCTCTCCCAGGCAAGATAGAAAGACACCGCTTTCGGTGGTGCGGTGACGGGATTGATGGGTAAGTCCAGGCGAAAAATGGAAGACAGGGGATGAAACTGCGCAAAGGTGGCGAGTGACACAAAGCGAGAGGAAAACTGGAGTGGTTTTTTCAAAGCATTGAATTTTGAGTGACACAAAGCGAGTCGCGATCCATGTGCGCTTGGGTTTTAGAGTTGTCGGCCAGGTAACGTCAATTGACTGATACAAAATGCGCAATGACAACGATCTAAAAGTGTCCAAACACACTAGAATGCGCGAAATCCTCGTTCAATACCACCGGCTCCCTTCGCCTGCTGGATGGACGCGACTCGTGTCCTGGCACTGCATCCTTGTGCTTTCATAAAGCTCTGGATGGTTTCAACAACCAAACAACGACCAAAGAAAAAAAAAAGAAAAAAAAAAAAACGCGCTCAAGCCAAAAAACGAAAAAATAAAAACCAGCAACCAAAAAAACTGAAAAGTCCAAATTTTTACGGCGACTGGCAAACTTCGCAATAAGGACGTTACAAAGACACCTCCCTCAATGCAACATCACACTTGACATACGACACCACGGAAATCCAACAAAATTCGCAAAACCAATGAGATTGTTCGAGTTGCGATGTGCTCCGCTTGAGGCAATCTCTCACACTGCGAAAATCACCAAACACTGCCTGCCATTCTAACGCGACCAGGTCTAGTATTTCACAGGTCATATTTGCAACAACTTTACACACGGGTCG